ACGTGATAGAGCCCTCTTCTAGCCCTTGGTGTTCACCTGTCGTGCTTGTCAAGAAGAAAGATGGTTCAACGAGGTTTTGCGTAGACTATCGACGATTGAATGATGTAACCAAGAAGGATAGCTACCCGTTACCAAGAATCGATGACACACTTGACACACTGAGTGGCATGAAATGGTTTTCAACGCTCGATCTGAAAAGCGGCTATTGGCAGGTGGATTTGGATCCCAAGGACAAGGAAAAGACCGCATTCTCAACTGGGAAGGGACTCTGGCAATTTAAGGTGATGCCATTTGGATTATGCAATGCACCGGCAACCTTTGAGCGTTTGATGGAACAGGTGCTGGCGGGACTGCTGGGCGAAACCTGCCTAGTTTACCTCGATGACATCATCATCGTTGGACGGGATTTTGACGATCATCTAAGAAAATTGGAAAGGGTACTCGAAAAGCTGCGTGGAGCAAATTTAAAGTTGAGTCCAAAGAAATGCTCTTTCTTTAAGCGCGAAGTGAATTATCTAGGACATGTTATTTCTGAGAGAGGAATTGAGACTGATCCAGCCAAGACTGCCGCTGTTAAGGAATGGCCAACACCTAAAGACAAAACGCAAGTTCGGGCATTTCTTGGATTATGCTCGTATTATCGGCGGTTTGTGAAGGGATTCTCGGACATTGCCAAGCCATTGCATCGATTGACAGAGGAGAAACGTGCCTTTATATGGGACGAGGATTGTGAGCAAGCCTTTCGCGAACTAAAAGAACGGCTTAGTAAAACGCCAATTCTCGGATACCCCAGCGCGAAAGGAATATTCGTAGTTGATACGGACGCCAGTAATATCGGAATAGGAGGTGTCCTTTCACAACGCGATGGTGAGCAGGAGAAGGTTATTGCTTACTTCAGCAAGTCACTATCCAAGCCGGAGAGGAATTATTGCGTGACCAGGAGGGAATTACTGGCCGTAGTCAAAACTCTGCACCATTTCAAGAAGTATTTACTGGGACGGAAATTTTTAATCAGAACTGATCACGCTGCTTTGAAATGGCTGCTTCAGTTTAAGGATCCTGAAGGCCAAGTAGCCAGATGGTTGGAACAACTTCAGGAATTTGACTTTGAAATCGAACATCGCGGCGGAAGAATTCATGGCAACGCAGATGCATTATCGAGACGCCCATGCGTGGAAGATTGCAAGCATTGTGCCAAGAAGGAAATTGCTTTTCTTAAGGTGATAAGGACTGATACTGTTGACGAGGCATGGGGAGATGATGCGATGAAATTAGAACAGGAAAGAGATGCGGATATCAAACCAATACTGGAGTGGCTACGAAGTGGTAACAAGCCAAGTTGGAGTGACGTCGCCCAATATAGCGCGGTAACGAAAGGTTTATGGGCACAGTGGAAAAGCCTTACGCTGCATAACGGACTTCTGTGCAGAAAATGGGAATCAACAAACGGCAAGGATGAGCATTTGCAATTGGTGGTGCCTCGTTCAAAAATAAGGGATGTATTAAAAGCGTTCCATGATGGATCTTCTGGAGGACATTTGGGAATTAGGAGGACTTTGGTGAAGATCAAGGAGAGGTTTTATTGGCTGCATTGCAAATATGACGTCGAAGATTGGTGCCGGAAATGCACTAGTTGTGCAGCTGTCAAGGGTCCACAAACAAGAAGCAGAGGGGCGATGAAAATCTACAATGTTGGTATGCCTTGGGAGAGAATAGCCTTAGACATCGCTGGACCATTTCCAATCACTGATTCGGGCAATCGCTACGTTTTAGTGGTTATGGATTATTTTACAAAATGGCCGGAGGTCTTTGCCATACCGAATCAAGAGGCAGTAACTGTAGCCACGAAGTTGGTAAACGAGGTATTCACCCGATTCGGAGTGCCCTTGGAGATGCACAGTGATCAAGGACGGAACTTTGAGTCCCAAGTTTTTCAGGAAACTTGTAAACTTTTGGGAATCCATAAGACTCGAACGACTCCTTATCATCCACAGTCAGATGGAATGGTCGAACGTTTCAACCAAACATTGGAACGACACTTAGCAAAGGTGGTTGACAGCCATCAGAGAGATTGGGACACTTACATACCTCTCTTCTTGCTTGCCTATCGGACTGCTGTACATGAAAGTACCGCAAAGACGCCTGCATTTGCAAATTTTGGAAGGGAATTGAGATTACCGGCAGATCTTGTATCGGGCTGTCCACCTGGCGACTCTCGCACCGAATTTAGCGATTACATAAGCGAGTTAAGGGCAAAAATGTTGGACATTTATGAGCAGATCAGGGAGGCCGGTCTTCAAGCTAGTGATCGCGCAAAGACGCGCTATGATCGACGAGCCAATTCTGTTGGGTTTGAAGAAGGGTCATTGGTCTGGCTTCATAATCCAGTCAGAAGGAAGGGAAAATCTCCGAAGCTGCAACCGAGTTGGGAAGGTCCTTATGAGATAGTCACGAAGATCAATGACATTACTTACAGAATTCGGAAGACTTCAAGGAGCCCTTTGAAAGTTGTCCATATAGACAGGTTGGCGAGGTATTACGGCAGCAACGATGCTCGGGACGAGCGAATCTAAGAGGGGGGCAGTGTGACGGAAAACTCTTTGACATCATGACGTCAAGGGATGGTTGTCAAACGTTGCCTAGAGATTGTAAATTTCGTCGTGAATTGTCAACACGAGTTGGTGTAATCGGTAAGGCGTGTGGATTACACCACAGAGACCCCGAGTTCGAGTCCCGCCGTAAACATGAAGTTTTTTAGTTGATGGAAGTTTTGTCGAACTTTCTGGAATTATTTGAGTGAAAGAAATGAAAAATTAAGGAGCGAGAAGGAGAATAAATAAAAATGAATAACGAAATTATTGGAAGGTTCTGGAGGCATGACGATCAAAAAGAATAACGAAATTGAATGTTCTAGAACCTGACCGGGGGTATATAAGCGGAACTGCGGCTCACCGCTAGCAGTTGAGTTCTAAGTCTAAAGCGATTCGGAAGAAAAGGAAGAAGTGGAAAAGAAGAAAAGTGAGTGAAATAGTGAAGTGCAGTGAAATAGTGAAGTGCAGTCAGTTAAGTGAGTTAAGTCAGCGTGAACGGCAAAGTTGTGTCAGTCGGCCGGACTCTGCTGGAGAAGAACGCCGATAACTTAACTCCGTGGACGCTGTAACTTAAGTACAATAGAAAGTTTGAAAACCGGTATTAGTGTTTCATTTCATCCAATCCCGTAACCCAAGCCCGCATAGTCAGGAACGTGACGTCAGGCACGTAACATTATGTAATGAATATGGTAAGCATATACCTTAAATCTCATTTAATTTGGTAAGTATGTACTCTCAAATCTCATTGGAGATTATGGATGGTGGGAAATCCTCGAGAAACCTCGTAATCTGGTGAAGATTAAGGGAATTGTCAGCTGTGGTGGTGAAGGTTTAAACTAGCTATGATCTCCCATTACTCATACTAGCATGTGCCACTACATATTGTCTTAACAACAAATAAAGTGGAAGGAACTTCCTGAAACAACCCTGTCCTGTGTCAATGTCTTCGCTTGAGCCAAATATCGAATACTAACCGGAGTATCTCGGCAGTGTTTAGGCTATCCCTACTGGTTGTTACACGTCCACTGATTAGCTGATAGCCAATCCGCTCGACTGGTGTCGTGAAAGGCAGGTAAACTGGTCCTCGGGAAGAAGCCGGGGCGTCCTACAGGCCCATTGTGCTGCTCGACGAGGTGGGAAAACTGTTCGAGAGAATAATATCACACCGCCTCGTCAGGTACCTTTCTGGAAGCGGGGGCCGGATTTAGCGGACGGCCAGTTCGTCTTCCGCAGAGGGCGCTCCACGGTGGATGCCATCATGCGCGCCGACCTCATGATGGGGGTTGCGTTGGCCAGGGGGCGAGTTGTCGTGGTGGTGTCTCTGGACATCGCCAATGCCTTCAACGCGTTGCCCTGGAGCTGCATTCTGCAGGCACTCCGGTATCACCGGGTAACCGGGGCGTGTGGAATCGGCGAGGAATGTCGCGCGGTGTCCCACAGGGATCGGTCCTGGGACCACTCCTGTGGAACATCGGGTACGATTGGGTGCTACGCACTGACCTCCCTAACAGCGTCAGTATAGTTTGCTACGCTGACAACACGCTGGTGCTGGCCAATGGGAGGTCGCATCGGGCGGCGGCCGACCTGATGTCGAGCATAATAACCAGAAACCAGACCTTAGAGCAGTTACGATAGTCGTTGCAAGGATATAGCAGTTGGGACTCGAGGTGGCGCTCCACAAGTCCGAGGCCATGTGTTTTTATGGCCGTCGGAACGCGCCACCTCCAGATAGGTCCCAAATAACGGCAGGAGGAGTAACCATCGGCGTCGAGTCGACGATGAAGTACCTGGGTCTCATTCTCGACAGCCAGTGGAACTTCACGGAGTGGAGCATTTCCATCGTTTGGCTCCCAAGTTGGAACGGACTGGGGTCGCATCGGGCGCATTATTCGGATAATGCGCGGATATCCCACGATCTCCGGGGAGGCGGCGAACCTCCTTATCGGATCACCGCCGTGGGAACTGGAAGCGAAAACGCTCGCGCACGTCTGGTGAGGACCGTCTGCCGCGCCGAGGGGGGTTTAGTCAATAAGAGTCATTTCATGATTTTGATTTAATAAAAAATGGCAGCGGACTCGTAAGTATTGCGGGCGTCCACGGGCGGCGCCGATAACTTACGTTTGCAGAACTATCACATAAAAATAGGCAAATTCCCGACACTAACTGCACATTACCATGACGACACTATTTAATATTGCGAGTACTATAATATGGATCATTACTTTGCCGTAATATGAGTAATCATTAGGTTCTACTGGAATGGTAAAAAGATTCGTAGTCAAGTAAAAAACACCTTTCTGATGAGCGATCAAAACAGTTTTGTATCCAGGCCATAAACCCAAAAAAAAATGAAGACAGTTTGATTAATGTCATTTGTTTTATGTCATCTGTCAATGTTGACAAATAAATGTCGATATTTTCTGTGATATGATGTGATTTTGTGATAAAACTTTTAGCGCGAAAAATACAGAAATGCTTTATTCTTATAATAATGACTAAACAATATTCCGTCTATATTGTGAATAACTCGAAGAAATTAAAAGAAAGTACAAAATGGATCAAGATAATCGTGTGGTAGTCCTAATTGACATGGACTGTTTTTATTGCCAAGTGGAAGAAAAACTCAACCCTGAATTACGTGGAAAACCTATAGCTGTAGTGCAATATAATCCTTGGCAAGGTGGCGGGTGCGTAACCCAACATCCTAGTATATTATAAAATGCCTGTTCATCATATCTAAAAAATGTTTTAAGTACTTCATAGAAATAGATGCTTTTCACAACTGAAAGTTATTTCTTTTATTTCTAGGATCATAGCAGTCAACTATGTAGCAAGAGCCCGCGGAGTTACACGGCACATGAGAGGGAATGAGGCTAAAGAGAAGTGTCCAGATATAGAATTGCCATCTGTTCCCTGTCAAAGAGGCAAGGCTGACATATCTAAGTAAGATTTAATTTAAAATACGTAAAATACAGCTAAATGTTCTCTTAATCCGTATAATAAGGGATAATATTGTTTCTAAGGTATAGAGATGCTGGTAAAGAAGTAGCTAGAGTACTGCAAAAGTTCACACCTCTCCTGGAGAGAGCTTCCATTGATGAGGCTTACCTTGACATTACAGCTCCAGTAAGTAGCTCTTTAGATACCAATTGACTATTCATCTATACTAATATTATAAAGAGGTAAAATTTGTAAGTTTGTATGTAGGGGGTAATCTTTAAAACCTCTGGTCGGATTGTCAAAATTCTGATACACTGATAGGTAGCTACAATGTTCCTGAGGGCTATGAAACATCCACGATATGATCAAATGGGGCCGAGCAGCGGGTGAAACCGCGCGAGAATAGCTAGTTACCAATATTCAGATAAAACAGGCTTTTTTTGAAGGTGGAAAATCATCCAATTGCTGCTGCCCTGAGTAATGCGAGTGTCAGAGATCTTCTATCTGAGAAGTCAGATTAAACTACATACTATGGACAAGTGTTACCATAGAATAATTTTTTTCAACAATATTTAGTTTATTAACTTCATTTCTCACTTCAATTTCCAGGTGGAAGCTCGACTAAATACTCTTAATGTAAACTCAGTACGCACTGGAATGATGCCCAACACCTTTGCCCTTGGCTATGATAGTGTGGATGAGTTCCTGGCTGACATCCACTCATGTGGCTTTGAGAATATTGAGTTTGACTATGAGCATGCCAAGCGGTTGCTTGTAGGTGCAGTTATTGTCAGCGAGATCAGGGCTGCTGTTTATGAAGAAACAGGTATCAACAAACTTATTTGTCTTATACTTAATAATAAAGATGTCTAGTTAAATCATCCACAACCTTTTTTTGTCCAGGGTACAGATGCTCAGCAGGCATAGCTCACAATAAAATGTTAGCCAAACTAGTTTGTGGAATGAACAAACCTAACAAACAGACTATCCTTCCAAAACATTCTATTAATTTATTGTACAGGTATGTAGTAAATTATATTTATTGAATAAGAACATCTGATTTGTTGTATTTGTTTCACTAAAGTAGACAAAACTAAGAACTTATCTTTTCATTTTTGCAGCACATTGCCACTGAAAAAAGTGAAACATCTTGGAGGAAAGTTTGGTTTCACAGTTTGTGAAGTATTGAAAATAAGCAAAATGGGAGAACTACAAAAGTTTACAGAAAAACAATTACAGTTGAAATTTGATGAGAAAAATGGGTCAGTAAAAAACTAATTCTAAAAATGTATTTTTGCACTCGAAGTTTCAATAAATTCTGTTTATATGTTACAGAACGTGGCTACATAATATTGCGCGAGGAATTGACTTGGAACCAGTTCAAGCAAGGTTCAATCCTAAAAGTATAGGATGCTGCAAAAATTTTAAAGGGAAGGCTGCTCTGCTTGACTTAGAGAGCTTGCAGAGGTGGCTTAAAGATCTGGGTGATGAAATAGAAGATAGATTAGAGCAAGATGCAATAGAAAACAATAGGACACCAAAACAAATGGTTGTTAGCTACTCTGTGCAGGTCTCTGATAGCAGAGACATAAGTAGTTCTCGATCATACAATTTTAGCCCTGAAGATGAACTGTGTGGTGAACTATTTTCAAATAAAGCTTTGGAACTTCTATTAGAAAGTTCTGAAGGAGTTAAGAGTAAGGGTCACCTCACTTCAAACAAATTAATATTAAAATAGAAATGAATTATAGAACTGAAATTGTTGCTTTGTATTACAGATTGCACAAGTAACAGGAGGTTGAAAGCTCCAATAAAATTCTTAGGTATTAGTGTCGGAAAGTTTGAAGATAACACAGAAGTGAAGAAAACTAAGAAAATTTTAGATTATTTTGTTGCTGGATCATCTAAAGAGGTTATTGCTAAACCTAGAGATGGCACACAACAAGAAAAAACTATGTTTGAAACAAGTAATAAAATTAAATCAGAACCTAAGAATATAGGTAAAGATTACATAATGCAAAAATTTTTGCAAACTACGCAAAAACAACAAGAAAATGAAAGTACACAAAAGGAGAATATTGAAATCATCAACAAAACAAACAATCCAGTTGTGGAGTCCAGCTTAGAAAAACAAGAGTCATTTTTTGCAAAAATGTTGAATCAAAACAAGTGTAATTCTAATATTAGTAGAGTGCAACAAACAGAAGCCGTCGTACAGAAAATACGTCCCACTACACCACTTTGTGATGTAGTCGCGTGTGGGGAAGATAGTAATGACTCGAATTATTCACGCTCAACAATTAACGAGGAAATAAACAATAGCGTTGCTTTATTTGAAGAGGACCCTACAGAAGTGGCTCGTGTTAGAAGTATGAGGGAGCTGTTAACTAGTTCGAGAACAATCAATGAAGATGACTCTGACACTGTATTGGAACCTGAACAACAAAGTAATGCACTACTACAGAAAAGCACAACTCCTCGAAATGAATCTCATATAGATACCTATAAATGTCCTGATTGCGAGAAAGCAGTACCTATTACAGAAATTACTGAACATTCAGATTTCCATCTTGCTTTAAAATTGAGAGAAGAAGAGAGGCAAAACGTTCGTAAAGAAATTAAAGAAAAAAGGTATACAAAATATAATCAGAATGTGGAAACCCAAAAGCAACTAGAACAGACCTCTAAGAGTGAAAGTGTGCCTGCTGTATCTTCTATAGCAAACTTCCTAGTTAAAATAGATGACAATATTCCAACAGAGGTTTGTTCAACCTGTGGCAAAAAGGTTCCTATTGATAAGTTTGGAGAACATCTAGATTTTCATGAAGCTCAAAAGCTAAGTAGAGAACTAAATAAAAAAACCAGTCCACCATTTACTAGCAATAATGTAAAGCGAAAACGGAAATCTAATTCACCAGTAAAGAAAACAAAAATGCCATGTAGATCAATTGACTCTTTCTTTAGATGACATATTGTGAAATGATATTAAGTGATAATAAAAATTAAAACACAGTTGCTGTTGTTTCATGGTGTATTTATGATGTTAAAGATTTACATGCTGTAGATCTCATTCTGGATTTTCCTCCACGCGTCGAGAGGTCCGTGCTCAGGGCGGTACTTGACGTTGCAACCGTCATTAGCTAGGCGACCATCCTCACGCAGCTTCTCGAATTCTTCACGCTCGTACTTGGTGAAGCCCCATTTCTTGGAGACATAGATCTGTAAATTTTCGTTGTAAATTTATAACTATTCTTCATGCCTTTAGAAGGCAACTTAGTAAACAAGAACCTTCTACTTTTATAAATTAATAAATGTTCTACAAAGTCCTTGAAAATTTGAAAAAGTATGACTGTCATAGAAAATTAGCATATCATACCTTCTGACGACCAGGGAACTTGAACTTGGCACGACGCAGAGCCTCGATGACCTGCGCCTTCCAACGGTCGCTGGAGCGCACGGACATGATGGGCTGCCCAATGCGCACACGTGCTACAGTACCTTGGGGCTTTCCGAAAGCACCACGCATCCCAGTCTGGAGCCTGAAAAGAAGCAATTTTGACATTCGTTTAATATCATCATCCTTAGTCTATAATAATATTATTAAGAGGTAAAATTTGTAAGTTTCTATGTAGGGGGTAATCTTTAAAACCGCGAGTGCTATAGGCTATAAAACATCACGCTAAAATTAAATGGAGTCGAGCAGCGGTTGAAACCGTGCGAGAGTAGCTAGTGTTATAATAAAAAAGTAGTCTAATGGAAAGATTCAATTTCAAAACAATTAGGATGTTTTTTGCTTTTGCTAAACTAAATTTGGCTGACCTTCAAGACAAACTATAGAACAAGGGCTTTTTATAAAAAACAGAAAGAATGACGAAATTACACAGCAGTTTGCATCCAATCAAATAACTGATAAGATGTAGAAGATTATGAATAAATCTGAAAGTCATTCAACTTCTATGAGTCAGTAATAAATAGCATGAATTAAGTAAACAAATTATTGTGCAATCATTGGTATAGTGTTTTGTTTATCACTATTTACCAGTGAGAGATGACATGCAAATTTTAATATTACAGCTTATCATGAACATGAAACAGGTGTGATAAGAAAATTGAGCTGGTACCCAGTACTCACCTAGCACAATGTTCTTAAAGAATAGAAACATATTATACAAGTTAGTAAATAATAAAAAAATCACATGATATTGTGCTTAACATGCAGGGCTGATAAGAAAATGGACAAAATTATAAACTTCCACCATTATACTGCACATAGGAATGATCAGGCTAAACAAAGAAAGGCTAAGTAAAAACGTAATAAAATTATCCCTTAACATTAAAAGTAGCGTTAAAAGCTTTTAACTAATGTTAAAAGTAGCTAGTCAATTCAATATTTTTTGTCAAAAACAGTAGTATATTTATTTGTAATTATTGGTAGAAGAATTAAATGTGTAGTTAATTCAATTAACTGAATGAAAGTATGATTATAATTATATCATATCAAAACTACCTATTTATGGTTTAGTAGGAATAATTGATTTTGATTATATTTCATTAAACAATAGTATTAGAAGATTGAATTTATTTGGTTTTGACCTAAGAAAAGTACCTAATTAATTAATGAAAAACACAGACACATGAGAACTTGAATATGAAGAGGTTATGTCAAGATACTTATCAGTTTCTAAAGCATTCTGAATTGTTCCAATTCAACACTCAAAGTGTGTCTCACAAGGCCCATTCTCTACTATACCTAGTGGTATGGTTAGATACTAGTCAAAGTAGTCAACAATACCACATTTCAAAACAGACTGAGACATACTGAAATTTTTTGAGGTTATATTAGTTATTATTGTAATTAGGCTATTTCAGCATCAGTTAAAACTAACCACAATGACTAACAAACTATATTCACTCGAAAAGCATGCAATTTTAGAAAGTACCTTTAAAATAGTACATTTGAACATTACTAAAATTTTGAAGCTAAGTTACCTTTAGCTTAATAAATGAAAGTGTGCTTACCTATCAGCTCCAGCGCACGATAACATTTTGTTGATGCGGATGACATGGAATGGATGCAGCCTCATGCGGATGTGGAACTGATCTTTGCCGCAGTTCTTGACAAGGTACTTGTTGCAGCAAATACGGCCTGCTTCCAGAGCTTCAGAGCTAAGCTGCTCGTATTCGTCAGATACCAAGTGGACGCATAGTGGGAAGTCGTCGACCGTAGCCTTCTTCTTACCCAAGTCGAAGATACGGATCTTGGGGTCGGGCACACCACGACAGAACCGTGATTTGGGGTATGGTTTGTTTTTACAGTACCGGTAACTGAAACATAATTTTAATCATTAAAATATGTTCAAATGGTTACGAAAACAACTTTCAGAGGTTGTAAATAATTTACCATCTCGCTGGCCGGCGCCCCATTGTGATCTGAAATAAATAAAAATATTCACTTAATTAATTTCACACAACAAGCCTTTGCAATATGGCCAAGAAATATCAAGCACTTTTCAAGATTACAACAGATTTTATATCAAAAAGTTTATCCGCACCTTCACAAAGTGACACCACTTCCACGAAAAGATAGACGGATGTTAGTTTGACATTGACGTAAGCTTTGGCTTAGTGCTGCCAGCAGAAAAAAACATTAGCTTTAACTCTGCATTAAAAATATTTATCATTATTTTAGACTTTTTAGATTATGTAAGTAGTCCTAAAATTACTGTTATATTTATGTTTAAATGTAACTCTAACTGTATACTATTGTTTTCTTTACTAATTCTCAAAAAATATAACTGATATATCATAGAGAGATCATAAGAGACCCTACAACAATACACCAATTTATGTTTGGCATTTGTATCTAAAAAATAGATGTTGATATTCATCATCATCATCATCATCAGCCTATAAGTGCCCACTGCTGAGCAAAGGCCTCTTCTCACACGGAGAAGGTTTGAGCATTAATCACCACGCTTGCTCAATGCGGGTTGGCGATTTCAAACTTACAATTAGAAATTATAAGTCCAGGTTTCCTCACGATGTTTACCTTCACCGTATGTCAGTGGTGTCTAAATAATCATAGAAAATACATATAACTCGGAAAAAGTCACATTGGTACTTGCCAGGTTTCGAACCCACACTCTCATGCATGAGAAGCGGGCTCCTTAACCTCCAGGCCACCACGACGATGTTGATATTACACACCGGTAATATCAGACAAAAGAATTTGTCTTCAACTACAAAACAACAACTTTCAAAAATATGATAATATTGTAACTTGACTTATTTCTGAACTTTATTTCATTGCCATAGCATAGAAGTGTCCCTACAAGTAGTTTTGAACGATTATTAAATTGACAATTTGACAATACATTTCTATAATGTCAGCTGTGTTTCGAACAAAACAATAGACGTATTTATGCGTAAAAATATTAATTTAATGCGATTATATTCCTAAGTGATTATTGAAAATGGGAGCCTTAACGAGTAGGCAAAATGCTGGTGTTGAAGAGGCAGATGTAGTGTCTAATCATGCGTATAAATATCCTCCTCGATCAGGTAAATGATTTTTTTTTTACGATTACCTATTTATAATTAAGATGCTGTACGCGGTCAATAAATCCGATTATTCTTAATGTTAATTCGAATAGTAATTTATGCAGATAATTCGGCTCATGCTAATATTTTCACATACTAGAATGGACTGTAAAGTCTGTATTTCCTTATGTATTGATTTCTTGACACAATGACCTTATATTGTTTGCAGGGTCCATTTATAACATCAATTTAGATGTATAATTGAATAATATGCTGACTATTTGGTGTAAAAATTGCATTTGCTGCATACATACTGTGTAGACCTCAACATGATTCTGTAATATTTTTACATGCTTATTCTCTCCCAAATCCAAGTCGATTTCAGACAATGACATTAATATCAGACTATGGATATAAGTAAGTCTATGGCATAAGGAACATTAAAAAACTGATGTTGCAGGTAATTACTTTGGGAGCCACTTCATCATGGGTGGTGAAAGATTTGACACACCACAGCCTGAAGCCTATTTATTTGGTGAAAATGCTGACTTAAATTTCCTTGGAAGTAGACCTACACCTGTAAGTATTAACACTAATAATAATGATTAAGAATTTCCTACTATTTAATATAAAATCTTAAGTTTAGACATTGAAGGTATGGAATGGTAAGATAAATAGAACTGTTCCTTTTATTCTTTACTAGAATATTTATTTTAACTTTCTCGAAGTTAATAACTCTTAACAGCATCATTATATGGTTTATCACAATTTAATTAACTCTGATGGTTTGTCCCCAGTTCCCGTATCCTCCACCGCAGTCCAATGAACCAACAAAAACATTAAAAAGTCTGGTAAACATACGCAAAGAGTCTTTGCGTTTTGTGCGCTGTCCAGAACCAGTTGGTAAATTGGCAGAGAACAAGATTGGAGATGGGATAAACAAGTCTCTAGATAATAATGGCAAGGGGACGTACTACAATATTGAGTTTACATTTGATTGTGACGCAAGATGTGCTATTACAATCTTCTATTTCTGTACGGAAGAGGTCACTCCTACTGGTGTAGTGTAAGTACTACTTCTCTTAATATCTTATTATGCTATATTAAATTAGTTATGTACAGTTGCATATAATTTATTGTTAAAATTTTATTATACTCTGCTGACATAGGGAATGTGCATTAGGAAACATTTTCAACCCATTATCATTGAAATTCTTGATTATAATCAATAATTATGCCAATGTGACATCAAGGCCATTTCTAGTATACAATGATATGCTATAGAGACAATAGTACAATATAGTACAATAAACTTTTATATTTACAATGAAATTGTAGAGATTTTTATCATAGATTGCAATCAAATTAAAACACTATAATATCCTAAACCATAAATAGTTAGTAATTTATTTGATCAATTTACATTAACAGCATTATTTATTAACCATCCTTGACAGTATTATAAGGAAGTTGACTAAATCAAAAGCAATTTAATGATTGTCATAATTTTTTTCCTGCCACAGATACTACCCACGCGATCCTGCAATGAGTTCCCAGACATACCATTACAAGAAGGGTGCCAACCAGCAGTTCTGTCAGATATCACATGTGTTTGACCCTTCAAAGCACCCTGAGGAAGACTTGATATACAATGCAGACAGAGAAATTATACCTATTGCTATTTACTGTGTTGTTGATGAGGGACAAGAAGGTAGGGCAACCCGTACATAATTATTAACTTATGTTATTATGCTTGGGCCACACTAACGGGAAACGCCAATAATTATCGCAATAATAGACGTTAATTGTAGGTGGAATTTGATCACTAAACAAATGACTTAAGGTATATTTTTTATTGTTTAATATCATCAATTATCGCGATAATTATTGACACTTCCCGCTGGTGTGGCCCAAGCATTACAAATATTTGAACTGGCATTATTCAAATGCTTTGTTGTCATCATAATAAAAAAAAAATGCTTTGTCTACTCATTGTATCTTGGTTGTACATCAGGTACCAGTTTATCAACCTATTCCAGTCTGTCATAGTCTCTAATAAATTTTCGACTTTATAACAAAAGGTATAAAGAACAATTCATGTATTTTGAGGTATTATAATATGTTGAACATTCTTTAATATTTACATACCATTGTTATTTGTAACTTACTTTTCAATGTGGTTGGCCAAGTACTGTCCTGTTAAAATATAATATGAAAAAAAAACTTCTTCAAAATCAAAATCACTTCCTATGGATATTTTTATACATTACTAATATTGGTTAGTTCCATAGATAAATTATTTTTGCTTTTCAATACGAATAAATACAAAAATATAGTTGATCGATATAAATAAGTAGATCCCTTTGCAGATGTACTTCTTTAATCGCTAATTGTAATATAAGTTTACAATAATTGAGTGTGTTTTCGTCGCGACTATTAGAGATGGCAGTGGCCGGAAGGCGCGCAGCTCGAACCTCTCGCTCGCGCTACGGATGCGTTCCATACACGACGAAGAATGATGTGTTCCGGCGTAGACAATAGTCATAATTTCATTCCTTGACTTGAAGATCTACTTCATTTTAGTTTCTTTGTTTTTCGTTATCACGTAATGCACCGTCATGTAATGGTTAATTTAAATCAAATTTACAGAAAACTATTAGTTTTTGAAATCTTATTAAAAGCATTGAATTAGTCTAGTTGGAAACTAACATATTAAAGGTATTCTTGTGGTTGTAGAAATAAGACAGTCACACACGACTATTGCGGTGGTTGAGAAGCACTCGGACGGTACGTACGTGCTGAAGGCCCTGAAACAAAAGTTGTTCGTAGACGGACTATGCTACTTGCTGCAGGAAATATACGGTATTGAGAACAAGAACCTCGACACTAAGGTAAGGGGCCTCGAGGGTGCACATGTTGTGGCAGGCTCAATCTAATAAATCTGAAATAAGCGGAATTTTATGTGATAGGTCGGCAAACGAGCAGACGTATTACCTGATGGTAAGCAATCGGCGCCGCCCATGGACACCCGCAATAACAGAGGAGTTACGAGTGCGTTGCCGACCTTTCGAGGATTAGGGATCTGGGAGAGTTAGGGAGTGGGCCCCCAGTTACCTCACTTTTCACGTGGTTGTTTCACGCCGGTTTTTTGTAAGGTCGAGGTATTACTCCGGTCTAGCGGACCCATTCGTGCCGAAGCATGGTTCTTCCACACTTATGATTTGTCTGTCTACTTCTCCAACCCTTCGCGTAAAACTGGTGTGATGATTGTGTACAGCCGAGTTCAGACGAGGAGACGGAGGACGGCGGGTCGGAGTGCGTGATCTGTATGTGCGACGTCCGCGACACGTTGATCCTGCCGTGCCGGCACCTGTGCCTGTGCAACTCGTGCGCGGACTCGCTGCGCTACCAGGCCAACAACTGCCCCATCTGTCGCGCGCCCTTCCGCGCGCTGCTGCAGATACGCGCGCTGCAACGACGCCCCGATAACGCGCCCGCGGCCCCCGCTGCCGCGACTGATGTAAGTACTATAAATCAAGAATATCAAACTCCTCGTACTAAATTATTACACGTTTTGCTATGCATTCTTTTTAAGGTCAAGGTCATAAGGAAGTATTTGGAGCTGAAATTAATCAACTGATTGCAATGTTTTACATTTCGAAAGGAAGTTCGAAGATGCTAGATTAATTTCAAGCCACGACCGGGACTCATAAACTACAGTTTTTATTGCACGGCTCAACCAACGCCATTCGAATTTTGATTTCGAGAAAACACGTTTAATGGGTCACAATTTTTTTTTCTATTTTCTCTTTCGGATATTTCGTATTGTTTTGAGAAGGATTGAAAATAATAGAATGATGTTGTAATGGTGCAGGGTAGCACGGAGAATATCCCGGCGGGCTACGAGCCGGTGTCCCTGCTGGAGGCGCTGAACGGTCCGCACCCGGCGCGCGCGCTGCCCGCCCCGCGCCCCGCGCCCGCCATCGCCAGCCCCGACACCGACACCGCCTCGCAGGTATACCAATATTATACAATACACAACCATAAACTCCATAACGTTAGTTGTAGCCTGATGTTATAACTAGTTTAAAACATAATTATTAGAATCATAAAAATTTGTAGATTTTCTTCAATGGCCAATTCTTAAAATCAATCCTCAAATGCCGTATCCTTAAACACCTAATAACCCATAAGTGGCTAGTTGTTACTACGAGTGTTCATGGGCTTCGCTAATTGGGTAATTTCCTAGGTCAAAAATAAATTAATTTGACATTTCAATACAACAAAATATTGAATATTAACTATACTTACTTTAATTCATCGATCGATCGATACAATGAATTTGAGATTGTTTTTAGATGTTTTTAAAGAAATAAGTAAACTATTTGACGGAAGAAAACTATGACGTCATAACTCAGTTTTTCATACCAATTTCATAAAAAAGTATAGTTTTTGACATTTCGATAGAAATATTGAATTTGACTAGTTGGAAGCTACCGTATTAATTTATTTTTGAAAAACTATGACGTCATAGCTCAGTTTTTCATACTAATTTCATAGAAAAGTATCGTTTTTGACATTTGGATAAAAGTATTGAATTTGACTAGTTGGAAACTACCGTGTTGCACACCATCCGTATCCTATACTCTTTTGTCGACCAAATAAAAATGTTTTTTGAATTGGAGCACTAGGTACTAGATTATCCATTAAAGAATTTTGTGTTGGGTTATATTTATCATTATAATAAACAACACGAAATGCAATAAATGAATATTTATTGCATTTCGTGTTTTTTACAGGTTGTTATATTATGATAGTCACAAACAATGAACCCTGCCAGGGCACAGCGATGTATAGGCGATAGGTTTTGCTTAATTAACATGCTATCTATATATTTATGTTACAGGCAGCTGAGATATTGAACCGTTGCAACTTGGAGCGTAGTTCGTCCACCAGCCTCGGCAGCAGTGGCAGCAGGAAGGCCAAGAGCGGTTCCAAAGATGATGTCAAGAGTGTCAGGGACAGGTCCGCTGCGCAGACTGTCACTCCTGAGGTGAGATACACTACAAAGACATTAAGATTAATCTACACACTAGTAATATCTTTTCTTATGGGATAGGATGGTAAATGAACAGACGAATCACTTGATGGTAAGCAATTTATACACCCACCCGAAACACAATCAAAGGAGTTTTTCGAAAACGTTGCCACACCGTATTATTTTCTCCTAGGTGGTGGGTCCTTCTCGTGTGTGCGTTTACTATTTGTGGATCACACAAAGGGTTGTTCCGTGCGGGAATCGAACCCGCGACACACTGCACAGGAACCAGTAGTGGTTGAATGTGTATTGCAACTTATGCAGAATAATTCACATCATGTTCACATCCGGAAACCTCATTTACACTAATTTTCTATGAGGCTGTGTTTATATCGATCTAGCAAACTCACTTGTGACAAAACAAATATAGAACTGGTTCTGTGGTTAAAATTGTTTTAATGTACCTTATCTTTGTATACAGTTCCGTATGTCGGTGCTACTGGCGCGCGAGGAGGAAGCCAAGCGCGCTGAGGAGAAGGCGGCTGCAGCCAACAGTCCGCTACTCTACAACCACAAGGTTGTCAATGGAGACAAGATCTCTAAGGTAAGTTGATAAAGAATCTCTCTTTCATCTTTCCTCTTCTCGCACTCGCCCTCTCTTTCTCTCTCCAAAGAATTTGGAAAAGGAACCTGTAAAACTTTTCACTCTAGTTGCATTTTTTTTATGGTCGACAAACGAACACACGGTTTACCCTATAGTAAACAATCAGCGCCGCCCATGGATACCCGCAACACCAAAGGAGTTAAGGGGTTGAGATATTAAAGGATTGGGAAGGTATGTGGGGAGGAGGAGGGATTGGGCCTTCGGTAACCTCAGTCACACGGCGAAACACAATGTTTGTGTTGCGTCATGCTGGTTTTCTGTGAGGCCGTGGTTTCACTCCGGTCGAGCCGACCCATCCGTGCCGAAGCTTGGCTCTCCCACACTTTGCATTTCATAATTCCCTTTATAACACGTTATTCATGATATTGTCGATTTGTTTGGTTTAAAGTCGTCGCTAAGCCTGGAGTACCCGGGTGACATGGAGTCCGTGCAAGAGGCTTCGGGCTCAGACGACGAGGCGCGGGCCGCACCGGAACCCGACAGTGACGCCGAGCGACTCTCGCCATTACTCACACATCCTACTGCTAACGGGGTAAGCTATTGTTTTATTAGGATATTATTTTTTTTATTTTATTTATTTTTATTTATTTATTGTTAAACATACACATTATCATTACAGTATTTATTGCCCAATACAATAGTGGTGCTTACGTTTATTACTAAGTACACATTACATTACTAGACAATACACAACAAATCAGACGAATAAAAACAAAACATTAAACTTACAGCTAACACACAATAACCAAACAAAAACTTAACATTATTCCTAACACAAAAAAAAGCAAATAAGTATCTTACAATAAAATTAACAATTTCTTTTATTCTAACAACTTTTAACACTTATTTCTGTAAACATAGATTTATTTATTTTTCAACTGGCTACACACGCAGCTAGTGTTGCCATGGATTTTTTTTGTTGTTGTATGTGAATCTCGTATATTCTCATATATTCCGTCTTGCTCGTTCACCAAAAATTATATTTTTTTACATATGATATGGTAGATGCATAACTAAAAAACTAGGTATTGCATAATATTATTTTAATGTAACAAAAAATTTGTTTGTGAAACTTATTGAAAAAGAGTGACTATGGAATTTCTTGCTACTTCTTCTCCATGGGACATTTTTTAACTTTTATCTTTGTTTGACGTTCAAAAGTGATTGCATTGGTCTAATTGAAATGCATACGTGATTTTTACTTGGATTAATATTAAAGTGATAAACTCCTGTTTAGTCTTCTAAAAGTAGAGACTGTATGTTGTATGCAGACGGTTCCGAGTGGTTGCGGCGATTCACCAGGCGCGGCGCGCGCGGCGGGCGACGCGCTGCGACTGTCGACGCCTGCGCTGGCGCATATCGACGACACCGACACAGACGAACCCGACCACAAACACAACTGTCAGTATGCACACTTATATTATGTACAGGACTATCATGTAGCTCAGTCTACCCACAAACAGTGCTATTATTATTATTACCACCTTTATATAAGTTCCCCATAACTGTATGTGGCATGTTAATTACGTTCTTATACACACAAATGTTCAATTTTGTCTGGAATACAGCGGCTCTGAATGTCACAAAAGACAGTGATCATTCCACAAAGAATGATATTTTTGTAAGATTTGTCAAAAGTGATATTGATTCTTCCAGTAATAAAAATAGTTCTGTTTCATACTCTGGGCTACTACATAATTACTGACTTTTTAAATGATGTTGTCTTAAGTAGACGAAACACAGGCACAGAATAGTATACAAATGGTTCAAAAGTGATTCCTTAAATATTAATTACTGACCTAACTAAATGGAAGAAATTACCGTAAGATTAACTAATTTGGTTCTTCAACTTAACTTTCCATTTACATACTACTCTGTGACCACAGTTACACTTCTATTCTATAATAATATAATTTCTTTCATGCTCCTTAAGTCATATTATGTAAATCTCTCGACCGTCCGCTAGTAGGCCGCTATTTTTCAATTCAAATTGTAGATATTTATAAAGTGAAAGCTTTGCTTGTGGAAATAAGGGTCAAATCGCGCTGACATTTAAATTAATGATAATTTGTGTTCGATCCATTGAATATATGTATAGAGCTGGTGATTGTTTATACATATCGTGACGTCTTAGGCTAAGAACTCACGGAGCGATTTTGAACCGTGCCCGCCGCGGTAGCGGAACTGCGGTTTTATTTCCAAACTCACGAGACCGGTTATTTGCGCGGTTACACAGCCGCCGCGGTTGAGATCATCGCCCGCAAACGTGGCGGGCGATGATCGGATGATGCGTTATATTTACATCACAGAAGACCCGCCGGCCCTCGCGGTCGCTCGCCAACCGATCGCAAAGCGCGCGGGTGCCACCCGCCGAGGCTGCGGGTAACCGCAGCCCGCGCGATTCTACTAGTTGCCCGCCGGTACAGCGGGAGCCGCATACAACCGCGTACACCGCGGGCGTAAAACGCGTCGTGAAATGTGCTTTAATTTTTTATATAAATATTTGAATTCTACAGAAGCTGCGGGCCCGCAACCGCAGCGGACGCGGGCGAAAATCGCTCCGTGAGTTCTTAGCCTTAAGTGGTAGAGGACGATTGCAATGTTCGTTTTACATATTCTCACAAAGCAAACGACATTGCATTTTAAGTTTTGCGCATAATGTTTAGATAGGAAATATATATTCATAACAGCGTATTTTAATTACTGAAATAGTTAAATATTATTTATTCATACTTAGTTAATGTACCAATAGTAGCAGTCATTCACATTTTCCACTAGCTTGTCGTCAGAATCCTATTAGACTGAAGCGCGTTGAGCCTGAGGTAGCTATACTTACACAAGTAAAGTACGGATAGGTCAGGAGTAGTGGTACCGTGGACGGTTGATATAATTGGGTGTAACATCGCACGCAGCGAGCGGAACACAATCTCGTAACGATGTGGAGTCGCCGGCAGTGGCCGAGGACTCCGATTATTTCACGCCGGAAGACACCAACACGACCATTCTGACCGTTCCTAAGACGAACAAACTTGCCGTAAGTCCGCCATCTTGCATCAGCTGTCATCGTAGTCGTGACGTCATCATTGAGCTTTGTTTGTGTGCGTTTTAGTTCGGTTTTGGTTTACGCGATTTTGTTTTTTTCCGCGTCGTGTTTAATTTGCACTTTCATTATCATGTAACGCATCCGTATGAATGTTGTAAGGTGTACACTGGCACGTTGCAGGAGCCGAGCGATGCACTGCGGTAACCATATAACGGAGCTTGGGGTGTCCAGGCATTGCGGGGCTTTTGAAACGCACCAAGCATATTGTTGCCAATTGAAAAACTGCACTTTTAACTTAATTTTGAATCAATCTTTCAATATTGGCAACTATGTTTACTTAGTTTTAGAAATCTTATTGATTTACGAAGGCACTATTCTGAAGCAGGTATCTGTTACAGGAGCCAACTAGCAATGGAGATTGTACTCCTCAGCGTTGGGCCCTGCCACATCACGTCACCTCACTACCTGGTAAGATAGCTACCGAAACTTTCTAGATAAGTATATGTATAGAGATGGACTAAAATCCTTGACATGTGTAACTTTGATGTAGGAACCCCCCTGAGTCAGTCCAGCGTGCGTTCATCAGGAGACTCGTACAGTTCTACATCGTCCACCCGGCAGCTACTGGCGCCTGTGGCCGGGTCCCCGCTGGCTACCGACACTGCCTGCTAGCGACCAACGCGTCGCAAACCTCACCCGTACCGCCCCGCACAGCTCTACAACCACGTAGAATACACTCTACCACCTTACTGAGATATACTGCCCACTACGGATGTTATGAGCAGTTATGAGCTCTGTATTAACTCCGGATCCGACTTCGGTTCCGATACTATTTTTTTGTCGTGAACTTTCACTAAATCGTTACAACACTTCTTTGAATACGACTACCCCTATACATACTACTCATAGTTTATGTAAGTGTAAACTTTTCGTGGACACCTGAATAGTTCCGATCCACAAAAAGCTCAATGTCCAAATAGGCACGGGCAACAACGTCTCGAAACCAACTGGCAAACTCTTATTGGAATTTATTAATTTTCGATTCAGAGTATTCGTTTAAAACTGCCTTGTAACATCCTTATTGTACTCTGTATTCTGAAAATTCTACAATATGACAAGCTAGTGCGAAATGTTACCACATTTAAAAATATGTTTGCAACACTTTATGTAACACCACGGGTGCAGTGGGTATGCGACCCTTCTTAAAGAATGTATGTTACATACATACGTACATTATTATCCATTAAAATAAGACAAATAAGCTTTGTAATATTATAATTAATGGGTTTAATTTAATGTTTTGCAGCTATATTTAATTACAAGTTGATAATAGCATGACATGTAAAATAGGTTACCCAAACTTCTAGTATAGGAACTCTAATGGTGCAAGATTTCTATGTTACATTAGTATAATAAAAGCTCGAGTTTTCATGTATAAATGGTATATCATATTACAACTATGTATGTACATTGATTCTCTATGAATTATCAGTGCCAAATATGGTACTAGACATAATAAATTATGCATTAGTGAATCTGAAATTCTGTTTACGCAAAAGCCACAAGTAAAGTGGATTCATAAATACAAGTGGGGTGCATTTAGATCATTTGTTTTGTATATATTTGCACTAATAACAGTAACCACCCACATCTGCCCTTAGAATTGCTAATTTTATTGACAATTGTCTATGAGTTAGTTCTCTTGACATTTATGTAATGCTCAATTTTACTAAAACTTAGCTCTTATTTTCCATTGTTATAGCAATCAAGAGTTTAATATATTTTGATGATATCAATTATAAACAGTCACCTATTCAATGTTTGGTATTAGGTAATTCCTAAATGTGTTTTTGTTATAAAAACACAGATTCACTAGTAAATCATTATTATATGTATTGTTGCTGTGTTACAACAGTAATGTAATTTGCTTAAATATAAGATGCATCCAAGTTACTCCAATTGAGTAAAAGTATTGTAGGACACTTTTAATAGACTGATTAAGAACATTCCCATGCAAGAATCTCAAAAAGTTTAAGTGTCATAAATTATTGATACACATTTGTATTATTGCCTAACTATTATTTTCTTGAAGTGTATTATTTGATTTAAAATAAACTTTACTAATACTAAAGGGGCTTTTAATTTGCAATTAAAATGCATATTGCTTTAGTACAAAACTTTATTGTGATGTTGCACAATACAATATGCTGATTAATACAAAACTAGAGCAGATTAATAATAATCAAGCCATTTAAACAAAAGCAAATAGGAATTAACTCTAAAATAAAATAATAATAAGTATGTGTAAACATCTTATTCTGTAAATAAACTTTACATATTATATTTTATAAAATATGAACTCAAAATAAAAGTTACTCTCATTTTTGGTTAGGCATTGTTTGTATATTATTATAGTTAGAATTTTCAGAATGACAATCATCAGAAGAGCTAGTCTTGGCCACTTTCATCATTGCTTGTCTCCGGGCAGCATATGCAGACATTCTAGCTAGTCTTGCTTGCCTCTGCTCGGGAGATTCATTTGCCAATCTCTTGGCAGCATAAGCTGACATTCGAGAAAGGCGTTTGGCTCTCTGTTCGCTGGTCTCCATTGATAATCTTTTCGCCGCGTATTCAGACATACGCCGCAGCCTGCTAGCGCGTTGATCCGGCGTTTCATTAGCGAGGCGCTGAGCCGCATATGCTGACATTTTCGCCAACCGGGACGCTCGCTCATCTGGGGACTCACATTTGCGGCCTGAATCTTTACGACTTCTTCGTTTATCAGGAGTGATCAATGCAAGTGGGTCTAAATTTTGTGTTAATAACAACGGATCATCCGTTTCATAACTTCTATCATTGCTTGTTTCTTCGTTCTCCCTTTTCACATTCACATCATAAGATATTTGCTCAGATTCAAAATTCAGTTTTGTAGTGCTCATTGTGGTGTCCATTTTTCGATATACTCAGAATTTAATAGCACCTTGAGATCCACTCATTTTATTTGCTTTCGCTATCACCATTTTCTTCCAGGAGCAATCGGATGAATTTAATTCACCCATATTGATTGTTTAGGGATAGACGTATCCATAATACCATAACGGATTCGATAATTAATGAAATAAATGAACTATTGGATTTCACTTCACACAAATGAGTACATGAATAAATAAACAAACACCGTATATTTTCACTAAAATAAAAGTAAGACCAGCAAAATACGAGACGAGAAGGCGCGACTGAATAAATGACACTTGACAGTTTGACAGTGAAATGAGTTTTTTTTTTTTTTTGGAGTTTATGGCCTGGATAGTGAAATGAGAATGAAGATGAACCCGCAGATGATTAATTTTACATTACAGTACCTCCAGAGCTTTTGCCATGAAACAGATGAAATCAAAATATATTTCTATTCATGTAACTAACTATGATAAAAAAGACTTTCACTTTACCGACTCTCAAATTTTTAAAAGAATTCAAGATAAAAATATTATATAATATGAATGTATGTATAATTATACAGTATAAAAAAATAAAAAATTACTATAGTAACACAGAGCGTATGAGTTGTCAAAAAGTTGGCATATATTCCATCTGTTTTATTTAGCCAATCTATTTTCATATCTTATACTGCGGATAACAAGGGTATTTAACTTATTTTACAAAATAAAATTCAGAAAATATGTGTTTATAGGGGGCTTGCTTGCGTACATTTTAATTTTCTCATTTCATATTATTGTTAAATACAATTCGGAATTTTAGCATCTGTGATCACAATAAAATTGTAGTAATTTATTACATTATTTCCTTGTTTTGGGTTCTTTGTAAAAGTTAGTTTTAAATTATTTCGTTTTTAGGGACAGTGACCGAGAAGAGGATCTCAGGATACTTGTATAGTGATGACATAATGGTGTAATAGTTTGTTGCTGTTTGTTGTCGATTGTCACTAACCATGGATAGTATACCCGAGTCACCTTCGAAGACGAGCCCACTCGCAGAGCCCGAAGGCTTCCCGGAGAGTGAGACGGATTATTCCAGCATCAGAGGGAAGGTGAGCATTAAACACTGTCTTTGTTTACTAACATCATTGTTCGCGCGTAAACTACGCCTACTCGCAAGTCTGAGCAAGTGAATGATTGGACTATATATCTTTCAAAGATATTTCTTATATATTTTTTCTGAAATTATTTACATTACAACTATATAATATATCACATACATACCTACATCATAAATGTATTTCTTAACAATTTCGCATTCAGTAGGCATATGAACAGAACCTACAATGAGAGAAAGTTGAATGAACAATAATATAAAAAGATTCCAATTAGTTAAAAATCTATTGAACTTGTAATTTTACACATTTTTTACATTAAAATTAATTAATCAAAACATTTAAGAATTTTTTGATGCACCTGCCTAATATCCTTTTCTGAAAAAGGGCAATAGAGGGCATTTAAAACAAAAACACTTTTATTATTATAAAAGAAGAGTGAATATTTGATTTGATTTAAAGAAATGAATAAGAGTTTTAAATAAATCCTTATAAAATAAATTTTAATTATTTCGAAATCAACTATTGCACCATAAAATTATTGCATCATTCTCCCTTTTGTTCTAAGTATTTTATTATGTTGCTAATGTAAACATCAAAGCCTCAATATTCAATTAGCCTAGGCTAGTCTAGTTATAAATATCAGTAATACCCAAAGTGCCTGCAGATAAGTAATAGTTATAGATACCAGCTTATCAAAATTGCAAATCTTTATTATTGTATATCTACATATATTAATTTCCAGAGATACTATGGACAATTTGTAGTAGTTGCAATCTTCTATTTAGAATTTGTTGCACCATTCCAATTAGGCAGCTATGGGATATTGTTACCTATAACTGTCACTATTCTACTATGTATACATATTTTGTCATGTATAGACATGTTTGTTGATTAAGTCTTGCACCACTTAACACACAAGTGCAGTCATTATGTCATGAATGAAGCTTTTAATGCATCATTATCAGTAATTAAATTGACTAGCAGAGAAACTTCTGTTTTTCCCCAAAATAAAATGTAAATATAAGAGATATGCAACAAGATGACACTTAAATTGTTTTACACTTAATTATTATAAACAATCTTTTGCTAAAATTTACATTATACATCTTGATCATTCTTAAAGAAATTGCCCCTTTTTTTGATGATTAAAAGAATATGTTATTGTCAAAGATGGTGCTGGTAAGTCCTTCAGCGGATGAATATGAGCTGCTCCGTAAGCAACTGCTGGAGAGATTGGAGTCAGGGAATGGAGAAATCATATATGACATTGGTCAAGGAGAAGGTAAAATATTCATTTATTTAATTTTACATATTATTTCGGTCAGTTTAACTTTTCAATGGTGGTTATTTGAGACACAATAGCAAAACAATAGGTGTGTGAACACCTCTGTTCACTTGGGGTTAATTGAATATAACATTAATTCCTAAAAAATGAATTTTCTGCTAGTTTGGTTTGTGATATAATATCAAAAATTGTAATATCAAAAAATTAAAAAAATAAATATATGATATTTAAAATAAACATTTTATAAATTAGTAAGTGTTTGAATGATGTATCTTCAAAGTAACTTATATGAAATTATTTAATATATTCTGTATTCTGAGTATATAATATGATAATAAATTTTAGAGGAAAAGGGGAATAGAAACACTAGAATGGCGGCTATATGTTTATGAACAAGTTGGCCGTAACCACCTGTGGCGCAGGGTGTCGCGGGTTCCATTCTTGCACGGAAAAACTCTTTGTGTTATTCACAAAATTAAATTGTTTTTTTTTTCTTATTGAAACAATGAAACAATGAATTTATTTTTGCAAATAGGCCATAAAACGGCAATTTTACACGTCAAATTATATGTGAAAAACTAGATGAAGCCGGCATTTCCTATCTGACTACTCTGAGAAGAAATGCCGAAACAAACTCAGAGGTCAGTCCCTTTTCATTATTGGCAACTGAGTCTGCAATACGATGTTGTTGACTATACTGCCAGAGTCGACACAAATTGTTTCGGGTCTGTGTGTGATGTCTTTGTCACATTGTATGTTTGTAAACATACCCACAACACAGGAAAAATCATAGGGCGAGGAAATGTTTTATGATTGGGGACACTACATATATCATAGATTTATAAGTGCCACTGAATTCAATCTTTTTGTCAACATTGAAAGTACAATTCTTGATGATTAGATAAATTATAATTTCGTAATATGCTGCACATTTTCAATGTGCTGATAAAATGTAGATACTGTAACTGACCGCTGACCAGCCAATGTTATCGCTTAGGATCTCGGTCACGTGTGTTAGGACGTGTGGTAATATTTATCTAGATCTAGTGTTAATGGTGCGTGAGTTTACCGCGAATGAAATAAAATGGTTGAAAGTTGAAACACATAGATTGTAGACGGTAGATTTACACATACTTAGAAAGTATAAATGTTAGAGTTAGAAATACATTGATAGATATTTAATAATAATTTTTTTAGTTTTGGCAGATATTTAATAGCTGATATTATTTAAATATGTGTAGATGCATAGGTGCAGTTGGTACTTCAATAGTAACGTTATTTGTAGCATTGTTAACTTTGGTACCACAGCTATCTTAGTTTTTAGTCAGGGTTAAAGGTCCAATAAGGTACCCCATCCTCGGGTTGGAGTAGGAGAAGAAATGAGGGGGTATGTCCAGTAAGAGTCTGATACTCCTTCTCGCCATACCCTGGGCAAGAGAAGTAATTTGACGATTATCCTTCCACAAAAAAGCTATCATGGTGTCCTCAAGTAATCTGTAACCTGTTTGAAAATCTGCAGGCAAATCAGCAGCTATACAAAATTTACATTCATCTTTATTGAACTTCCAATTTCAAATTATTTTGCCAATTACCAAACATATTACGCTTATAAATAAAAAGCTAGAATATCGCCATTTTTTCGTTGTAAGATCAATTTCTCATGATATCGATTTTTGCAGATGGACGTGGTCTGACAGAGGACGAGTACAGCGCGTCAGTGGCGACGCTGCAGTCCTTGGTGAGCGGAGAGCGAGTCTCGTGCGTGGAGCTGCGACGCTGGGACTGCGGGAGTGGGCTGACTGGCCAGTATCTGCTACGCACTGAACTCGACCATACAGACTTCATGGAGATCAGGTATGATTGAGATCATCAACAAAGGCAAGGCAATATATTATCAGATAGACCTGCTCGAAATGGTCAAAACAAGTGTTCGTCACAATAATGCAGTGATTTTGAAAGCCAACTAAAAGTTTCTTCTTAAATCCTTCAAATTCCCGAAGTACTAAGCTGAATATAACGCCCTGTATCAATTAATATGCTGATTGTTTTAAGACTGTAGTCTGTGAAGTTAGCCGAGCGTACGGCGCGTAGCATTCCGCGCGCGCCTCATAGAGCCAATAGACCACCACAGACGGGGCCATACAGGGCTGATGTTCAGCTGGGGTTGCGGGGTAAGCGCAATGAGGCATCGCGACCTCGGCCCAGAGCAGGAAAAGGAACAGGGGGGTTTTTAGTCAGTAAGAGTCTGAAGGGGCCCTGGGCAGGAGAAGTTATTTGATGATTTTCCACTCACAAAAAAAAAGTCTGTGAAGGTACTTACCAAAAATAAAATGAAAACAAATAGGTGCCTACATATAGTATGTGAGTTGTAAATATATAAAACTTGACCACAGATACCTGCCTTTCCCCATTTTAAATTCTGTGTAGTCAAAGATCTAAATAAAAATTCTTCGACACCAGAGTGGCGGTGGTGGGCAATGTGGACGCGGGCAAGTCGACGCTACTGGGAGTGTTGACCCACGGCGAGCTGGACAACGGACGAGGGTACGCGCGCCAGCGACTGTTCCGACACAAGCACGAGATGGAGAGCGGAAGGACCAGCTCCGTTGGAAACGATATACTCGGCTTCGATAGTATGGGTGAGTGGCTTATGGCATATGGAATGTACCTATCCTCTTTTGTTTTTTTTTGTATCGTAGTATATCAACGCCTTCATGTAACTAGGTCTAATTAGACATGGCTGGTTAAGAATATTCTGTATCTGGATTTCATCGGAGGATGTCTTTATTTTTTCTATGAAAGACATATAACCTGTTATTACTATATTAATATCGTTCAGATTGGTATAATCTTGAGTTTAAGAACCTATTTATTCAACTTCTTAAAAGACTCCGAAAATAAAGTTATAAGGCACAAAAATGATTTTAAAACAGAATTTGTAGATTAAAATACTTAACAAAAGAAAATGAAAATTGATGTTTACGTGAGAAACTTTGGATCTGCGGTCTTGATAAGGAAATTATAAAAGTACACGTATGTTTTTAGATTCGAAGGAAATGTGGCTTATCTCGAAAAAGTACCGAGAAAGTTAGTCATGTACTTGGTATTAGGATACATTTATCAATTATTTATCTTGGACACGTAGTGATATTCAATTGGCGGGCGTAGTCCTAACTCATGTATTTTCAATCGTTGTCCTGTATTGACCTAGAACAAGTAGAGCATACATTATGTACGCTATCAAAGTAAACAACAATGGTAAAGTCAACATAGAAGGCGCTACAGCTGTATTACCGCTATGCGCTAATGCTGACCTTTCGGCGCGTTGTGCTTTATGAACCGGAGAATAATAATGACACAAGTTTTTGAACTGATAAGTTTCAAGTTTCTTTATCTAACTTGGCCTTTCAGATCTGTATTGGTAACGTTTGAGTAGTCGTAATATTGCTAAAATACAAATTCCTGTCGTATACATAGAGTATATGGGAGAAAAATGAAAAAAAACCTATATCTCAAATTCATAACGACCTTCAAAAGGCCGGCAACCCACTTATAACTTCACTGGTGTTGTGGGTGCCCATAAGCGCATAATTACTATCGTTCCATGCTCGTTTGTCGAACTATTCCATAAAACAGGTTTAATCAATGCATGATGCTGAACGAATGATGAAAATATAACTTCAGGGATTCATTTGCACCACAAGTCAAACAATATTTGTATTAAAATGTTTTACAAAGAGCTAAGTACTAGTTATTATATAAAGAAGAACAAGACTTCAGTGTGTGCATTTGAACGAATTGCATAATCAATCATTAAGACATCATTATCAGTGACAGTTCAAGTTCTATAAATAGTACAGCATTTACTACATTAATGAACGAATTACACACTATTGGGTACGCTCTATCGATATTCAATATGTAAATACGCAGATAGCAATTCAATCAAGTTGCAGCATCATTGATTTTTTACGAAATAGTGACGTAAAAATGATCTATTTTATATAAATTACAAAGAAATTTGTCGTTTTTCACTTTTGGGTCAAGTATTGAATTGTACTGATTGGAAACTACCCTATTTTAGAAAAGGTTTAGCTAATGTACCTGGAGCGCTAACCGCGATTCACAATAAAGCTCTAAGTAGTGTTTGAGACGAAAAGGCCATAAAACTCGGTTTTTATGTGTTGTCTCGGCAAACGAACAAACGGATTGCCTGAAGGTAAGCCATCAGCGTCGCCCATGGACACCCGCAACGACGGAGGAGTTACGTGTGCGTTGTCGACTGTATGGGGATTTGGAGATTTTGGGAATGGGAAGGGATTGGGGCAGGGGAAGAATTGGGCCTCAAGTAACCTCACACATGGCGAAACACAACGCTGTGGTTATTTCTCGCTGGTTTTCTGTGAGGCCGTGGTTTCACTCCGGTCGAGCCCACCCATTCGCGCCGAAGCTTGGCTCTCCCACACTTATCATATGTACGAATGTACTTATACAGTAAATAGGTAAGAAGTTTATATTACAACTATGACTCCTTCTACCTCTACGTACTCAATGCTAACGTACAAAGTATTTGCTTAGCTGCCTGCTCTGAATAGAAACACTTGAATATAGAATGAATAGAATTATGACATTACTCCATGTTAGTTTTTTCAATACAATAAATATCTCAAGGCAAATATTACATAATTATAGAAACAAATAAAAGTTTTAAAATAACAATGTGTTGAAACTATGCTTTGAAAGGCATATTGTAGTATACAATTTGAATTTAGGTAAATACCATTGTTTATTCCGTTTTGGAACGCTGCTCATTTCTTTTTTATTCGCTTTTTTATTTAAATGTGAGAGAGTCATTTTTATAGGAGGATATAACGGCCTCATAGAAAACTGTCGTGAAACAACCACAGCGTTGTAGTTTGCCAATGTGAGTAAAGAAATTCCTCGCCTCATTCCTTCCCAATCCCTAAATCCCCAAAAGACGCACTTGTAACTCCACTGCTGCGAGTGTCCATGGAGGGCACTGACCAGGCCGATCGTTTGTCGCCGTATCATGTACAAAAAATACTTCTATCGAACTAATCTGTTTAATTAGTAGGATTTGGTTGTAAGGGACTCTGAATCGGAAGGATCTCTAGTTAGGTACTATAAAGTACACACAAAATGTTCTTTCACCGAAAGTTTACCAAATAAATTGAAAACTTAATTAAATTAAATTAATACTGTTGTCCTATCTATGTTAATTTAATTAGTTCTAGTTTTATTTTTTTTTAACTTTTCCCTACACTAGGATTTTCTCATGTGTCGTGGGTGCGTTTACAAACATACAATTTCACATACACATCACATCCAGACCCAGAACAACAATTTGTGGATCACACAAAGAGTTGTTGCGGGAATCGAACCCGCGACACGTTGCACGGCAACCAGTCACCCAGCCACCGCGCCAACAGTGTAGTCAAACCGTGCAGTTTGACTGTATAAACGCATAATTTTTAGAATGTTGGTTAGCTCGTAACTGGCTAATGTATATAACCTACTGCCTATAACCAATACTTTAAATCACTTTGTATACATAAGCTGTGAGCCTACCTTATAATAAATAAATAAATAAAACTTGTTTACAGGCAATGTAGTAAACAAACCAGACCACGGCACGCTCGACTGGGTGAAGATCTGCGAGAAGTCTTCCAAGGTGATCACGTTCATCGACCTGGCTGGTCACGAGCGATACCTCAAGACCACTGTGTTCGGAATGACTGGACATGCGCCCGACTTCGGCATGCTTATGGTAGGGCTACTTCTATATTGTTTGAATTTATTTATATAACTAGCTATACTCTCACGCGGTTTTACCCGCTACACAGCTCCTATAGATAATAGCGTGATGTTTTATAGCTTATAGCCTTCCTCGATAAATGACTAACAAAAAGAATTGTTCAATCCGAACCAGTAGTTAGCTTTATAATATTAGTATAGATAAAAGGAACGACGAATACGCTTTTTAATAAGCGTTTTTTATGATTATTTTAAAGTATTTTATAAACTGCGTTGTTTTAACATTTTTTGGTCACATAAATTGTTCTAAAATTTCAAACATACTGCTCTCAGATTGGTGCCAACGCTGGAATAGTGGGTATGACGAAGGAGCACCTCGGCTTGGCTCTCGCACTTTCTGTACCAGTATTCGTAGTGGTGACGAAGATCGACATGTGTCCTCCAAACGTCCTTCAAGATAACCTCAAGCTGCTGATCAGGATCCTGAAGTCGTCAGGCTGTCGCAAAGTCCCCGTCATGGTGAAGACGAAAGATGACGTCATAGTTAGCGCAACTAACTTCGTGTCGCAGAGGTAAGTGAGTCGATCGAGTGATGATCTCCTTCTACTGTAAGCGCGGGTCTGCGGACGGCGAGTAAGAGTAACTCGCCGCCCGAGCGTACGGAGCGTAGCGTTCCGCGCACGCCTCTGAGAGTCAATAGACTACTACAGACGGGGCCCTATGGGGCTGATGTTCAGGCGGGGTTGCGGGGTAAGCAAATTAAGGCACCGCGGCCTCGGCCTAGAAACAGGAGAAGGAAGGAACAGGGGGTTCAAGTCACTAAGAGTCTGACACTTAATCTCGCCCCACATTGCGCGGGAGAAGTCATTGTAATGTAATGTAGTAGTAATGATTTACCCCTCTAAAAAAGGGTAAGGATCTGTATAATGAACACTAGATACTCCATTAACAAATATTTTTTTTATTTGTTTATCAGGCTATGTCCAATCTTCCAAGTGTCGAATGTGACGGGAGAGAACTTGGAGCTGCTGACGATGTTCCTCAACCTGTTGAAGACGAGAATGCCCTCGCAGGACGACAAGCCGGCAGAGTTCCAGATTGATGACACTTACTCAGTACCGGTATTATATCATATACTTCAATTTTTTTATGGCATAGGTCAGGAAATAATTTTCACAGATCTTTGCTCATAGATATTCGCAACACCAATTGAGCCACAACTGCGTTGTCGGGCTTTTGTGGTCAGTGTAGATCTATCCTTAAGTATAGGGATTGGGGATGGAGGAGACACGGCGAAATACAATGTTGTTTCATTCAGGTATTCTGTGAGGCCGTGGTATCACTCCGGTAAAAAATATTTTATTAAAAAGGGTGACATAGTATCACCTTAATTGACCAATTGGCAATTTATCACAAAATTTCTACATGTATAGATTAAATTCGGCTTACAACTATCTTTTCTCTGTCCTAGGGTGTTGGTACGGTAGTATCAGGAACGACGCTAGCAGGAGTGATCAAGCTGAACGACACACTACTGCTGGGCCCCGACCCGCTCGGCCGCTTCACTCCCATCACTGTCAAGAGCATACACAGGAAGCGAATGCCTGTGCCTGAGGTCAGGGGGGGACAGACTGCTAGCTTTGCGCTCAAAAAGGTTTGTAGATTATGCTAAAGTTTGTAAATTACAGACATCTTGTGTTTTACATAATTGTAATATTGAAAAATATTACGTCTCTACCCAAAGCTGGGGTTGCAGGTAAAGCGAAATAATGTACCGCTGCCGGCATGAAATAAGAAAAGGAAAGCGTTTTAAGTTAGAAAGAATCTGCCATCCTCGCCCGCTCAGGGCGAGAGAAGAAATCTAATGATTTTCCCCCTGAAAAAACCCAGCCATATCAGACTAAAAGTGAAATAATGTGAAACAGAACTGAGAAACTGCTGCATGTTATATTTGGTGTTGATGGCAAACAGCATAGTAGGCCTTTTTTATAATTATGTAGTCAAATAAGAATGCTATAAGTATATCATACTTCTCTTTAATCTAACTCAAGAAGAAGGGCTTTTAATATTGTACTCTACTATTGACAACAAATCAACAATAATTATCTTTATAAATCTTTAATCTATCTATCAAGATCTGCAATGTATTTTTTCTCCATAGATAAAACGTTCACAAATCCGCAAGGGTATGGTGATGGTGTCTCCCGCGCTGAACCCACAAGCTTGTTGGCAGTTCGAGGGCGAAATCCTAGTCCTGCATCACCCCACCACCATCTCCTCACGATACCAGGCTATGGGTACGTACCTATTAATGTATTGAACGCACAGGTGCGTCGAGGGCACACAGAGAAACGCACATACGCGTCGGGGGCACTGGATGTGTTAAGCCGTGACTAACGTACCAACTGACAATATTCTCCATATGTTTATAACCGCTAAACCAATTATAGAAATAGATTCTCCGGCAACTGCTTTTATGTACAACAATTTTATTATTTGTAAGTTTGTATGTGGGGGTTATTCTTTGAAACCGCTGGTCGATTTACAAATTCTTTCACTGATAGATAGCTACAATGTTCCTAAACACTATAAATTATATTAGTCAGTATAGGTTAAATATTATACGTGATTTGCGTATTTTATTCGAACTATCGCTTTAAACGCTGCTGTTTAAAATATACGATACATTAATCGTGCGAGGCTGTGGGTGGAAGCTAGATTTTATAAAGATAGTGGAATATTATATTTATTTACATGGCTGTTAAATAATTAAGTATGAAATTTTTAAAGATGTTGTGGCGTACAATGTACCCCATTGAAATAACCTGAATGATACCTTTCAATGTTTATTTGCAGTGCACTGTGGCAGCATCAGACAGACGGCGTCGATCCTGTCGATGTCCCGCGACTGCCTGCGTACTGGAGACAAGGCGCTCGTCCGATTCCGTTTCATCAAGCACCCAGAATACCTCAAGAGGGGGCAGAGAATGGTCAGTACTCGCTATACTTATATTAATAACATATGAAGTGAAAAATAATCTATATACCAGGCAACTCTCTTCAGAAATAAAAATCATATCAAATATAGATTTGGGTTGACATTCAGAGGAGGATAATCACGCGGTGACCACTGGCGACCGCCTTCGAGTTGAGGCCATAGTGCGAAGCGAGAGAGAGGAAAATGGGAAAATCGAAAGTTGACTGAAGTGCGAAGTATTTTATTAAACACTCGTTCAATTTGGCGAGATGTGTAGTAAATACAAATAAATATTTCACTCGACTGCTTAAATAAAATTATTATTTAGCTAAAACTTGATCATTTTCTTCTGATAATTCAGGTATTCCGCGAAGGTCGTACGAAAGCAGTGGGCAACGTGTTGCGGCCCGAGCCGGCCGCCGTGAAGCTGGCGCCGCGCACCAACACCGCGCGACACGACCGCCGCGCCCAGACACACGACAAGCCCGACGCACTCACCGCACAAGTCGTATGTATTCCCTCCTACTTTATATATTTTATTATCATTTTCTTCTATCATTCAGAACAAGTCTGTATTAGGAGTAGAATGACAGATTCAACCTTTCTATTTGCAGCAAGAGAGTGACGTAACTGCAGCAGATTCTCCATTCGAGGTGCAAGCAGACAAGCGCGGCGCGGCAGCAGGCGGGGGCGGAACACCCGGCGCGGGCGGCGGGGGGCGGCGCCCCCGCAAGCGACACGACAAGCCGCCCGACGCGCCCACTCTCGCCGCGGCAGCAAACTAAACCCTCACACACCTATACCGTCTACAACCACTCGCTGGGAATATCTGTCAACCTGGCCTGACTTCCGGACCTTTTGTATACAACGAGAATAGAATGTACCCAGGTTCACAGATATTCTCCCACAGTACGAGCTACTGGCGCTAGGGACTTTGTTAATACTTTTAATTCACTGTAGTGCCCGATATCGGTACACTATACAAATTTAAAGCATAATGTAACTAATTTCATTGAAGAAAATTTTTAAGGTACTGCTGTAAATATTTTTCTTTATAGCTTTAAGAAATTGTTTTTAGTACCTATATATAGCTTCCCTAGCGCAACTAATTCGGTCCAATCACTAAATCAAAGTACAAGGTACTTGGGTCTCATCTACTTGCCACGTCGCTGTGTAACGACGTCGGTCCTTTGGATAACGATGTGTGTGTTTACTAGTTAGTACACACGCCATGACGACAGTTACATATTTTTGACTATACTATACTATTACTAGTTACTACTATAGGTCTCGTATCTTGGACATTTTCTCGAAATTTTGTCAAGATAATAAATATATTTTTCAATATTTATCTGCTTTTGTGACATTTGTCAAAGTAGGTACATTATATTTATTTGATTCATGACCTTTTTTATCAGTTGATCAGTAATTTGACATGCAAATTTAAAATATTAGTTTTTAAATTTTATTTGGGGTTGCCAATTTTTTGTTATATTTATAAATGGAAATTATTTTATGGATAAATCCTAAAGGAATAATTTTGTTTTGGAATTTATATTTGTTGGTTTCATGTGTTATAGTGGTTTGAATTTGATTGATAACTTCATTGAGCAGCCTAGGTTCCATGGGCATGTTTGTGTTTGCTTAGTGGGTATCTCACTGCACAAGTGGTGAGTGACAGAGGAGTGAATCTGTTGTACTTTATAGTTGAACTATTACAAATATTGCAATACTATAATAGTGTTAGTGAGGCTAGCTGCTCTACTCCATATCATAATTCAGTATTTGATTACTTCACAGTACCATTATAATGTGATTTTTGTAGTTTAAGTAAATGAATATTTTTATGGTTTGTTTCGAGTGAGTGAAATAAAACTAGCTCAGATGAATTTTGCAGTATTATTTAATACCTACACATGGAAAAGACATATTGGTAGTAGCATAATATGTATGTAGCAATATTTTGACTAAACTAAATTATATACATTATTTCTTCAATTGTTTCTTTGCATCCTGAATCCCTTCTCTTAAATTTTCATTAAACTTTTTTATAAATGACATGATTCTATTTACTTGTTGAGGGTCCATATCAGACAACTTTTCCTTACTCCTGTAAAACACAGACACAACTAGTTGTGCAGCTCTCCGTACAGGGTATGACTCTGCAATCTTCTGCACAAGGTGCTCATTGTTTGCGAGATACCTCAGTAAAGCTCTAATAGGCATTGTAATAAATTAATCACTTGAATGATGTTTCAAATGAGCACATATTCCGATACTTCTGTAAAAGCTCTCTCTTCAACCTCAGCTGTGTTCTGAGGATTTCAAACTGCTTCAACTGATCTTGTTTGTTGAAATCAATTCCAGGCAAACGTTTTATCTGTAACAAATCAATATTTTTTTATTTAGTTTTATATTGGTATGACATTATGTAAACTAACCTAAACTCCTGACATAATATAATACAAACACAAAATATTGAAAAATATTATATTCACCTGCGTGCGAGCTATGTCAAATTTCTTTTGCAGCTCGAGTACCCTTTGACTGCAGTCTTGAGACTCCCTAGCCTTAGCAGAGTTGTCATGAAAGTCCCTCTCGACACTAAACAAAACAAAGGTTATTTACAACTTACTAAATAATAACGACTAATCAAAGACGTATTTTCTAAAAATAAAGAGCACTACTTATAGTACCTTCGTATGATTTCGTAAACAATCGGTAAAAAATCTACATCTACGTCCTGCACAGATATAGGACTAAAGTTGTTTTGTTCAGAATGATCTGTGTTATTTTCCATCGTATGAGAGTGGCATGAGTCGGACACAAATTAATAAAACGCACTTGCCTAAGTGTTACAGTTATGTTAAATATCTAGATCTATCATTTTCGAAATCGCTATCGAACAAACCCGAACCCGAAAAACTATCAACAGACAGGAGACGACAGGCGAAGTCAAATCACCACGCCAGCCATTTCATCCATTTATGTCATGACAAATGTCACGATTGTCAATGTCATTCTCAGTATTGTCTATGGTTAGCATGTAAAAGAGCTGAACATGGTCAAATCAATTAATCTATCGGTCTTGTTTATTTTAATAATGATTTTATCTAAGTCATCTAAGATTTTTTTATTTTTTGTTAATGTAAATTACGCAAATATAACTTTTTGATTTTATGCTACAAAATTAGACACTTGACGTACTACTTCATTTGTCAATTTGGCATTGCATTGAGTAAAAGTCAATTATTGTCTTGTTTTCGTGTGTATTTGTGAAATGGTGAAGAATATTTAATGTGTGTTTCTCAGGTATATAAAATCAGATAAAAATGGATGAAGTAGCTAAATTAGAACATCTTTCGCTTGTATCAAAAGTGTGTACTGAGCTGGACAATCATTTAGGATTGAATGACAAAGACTTGGGTGAGTACACCATAACTTAGTTGCGTGGTATTGTGTTTCTTATTTATATTGCATCTTCCTTAATCTTCTTGCCTAATATTGTTATATCCTTCATTGATTTGGGTATGGTTATGTCAGTGATGGTTACTTCAGCATTGTTTTGACGTGCTTCTGGTACCTAGTCATAGTCTGTTTATCGATTGTAACTTATTAGGGGTTAGATGTATTCTACATAAAGGTTACCCAGTATATGTCCTATTTATTCACAAAAATAAACTTTATTTAGAATGCTTTATATAAGAAGTATACTTTAGGCAGAAATTCAGTTATTTCAGTAATTCATAGATATTTAATCATTTATTACTTTAATTTTTCAGCTGAGTTCATTATAGACATAGCTGATAAAAACACAGCATTTGACAGTTTCAAGAAAGCACTGATTGAAAATGGAGCTGAATTCTCAGATTCATTTATGACAAACTTACTGCGAATCATACAGCATATGAAACCTGTAAACAATGCTTCACAAAAATGTGCTGTACCTCAGGAAAATGCAAACCCATTGGCTAATAAGTTTCCAGGACTTGCAATACCAAATGAGAAGCCTCCGAAATTCTCATCTGATGAAGAAAGTGAAGAAGAAGAAGAAGATAAAAAGGACAAAAGACTGACTGCAAAAGATATATTTGTAGAAGAGTCTAAAACTAAGACAAATGATGCAGTGGTTGATCAAGCAATGGCTGAGTTAGAGGCTTTGGCACCTTCACAATCAACTTCTGTAAAGGAACCATTAAAAAAAGAAAATATTAAAGAGGAAGTTAAAAAACGGGAAAGGAGTCGCAGCAGAGATAGGAGAGACAGCAGTAGAAAAAGAGAGAGATCAAGAGAAAGAGATAGGGATAGAAAAAGTCGGCGAAGTAGGAGTAGAGACAAAAGAAGCCGCAGTAGAGACCGTAGGAGCAGAAGTCAGGATAGAGATAGAAGGAGAAGATCTAGGAGCCGACCCACTTCTAGCAGACACAGATCCAGGGAAAGGCAAAGAAGATCCAAATCTCGAGGAAGGGCATCCCCATCTAGAGGTAGAAATTCTCCATCAAGAGGTAGAAGATCACCATCTAGGGAAAGAGATAACAAATACAATGATTATGGCAAGAAATCAAGGAAGAGGAGTCCAGAGGTTGAAATGAGTGATGACCCTGAACCTGGGAAAGTAAGAAATTAACATTTCTACAATATTATAAAATTGAAATTGTAATGAAATAAATAGTCTGGGATTGATAATGCACAGTATCAATAAAAAGTAATAATGGCCCAATTTAATGTCTTGCAAGGTTTCTTTTATAATAATAAATATGTTTATAGACCTTTTTGCATGGGACTTTTAGCAATAGCTATTTCAATTAATAGAAAAACTAGCATAGTGTAATTTTTATTGTCTTTGTTGCATTTTTTACAGATTTACAATGGTAGAGTTGCAAACATCGTGCCTTTTGGTTGTTTTGTACAAATTGAAGGTGTAAGGAAGAGGTGGGAAGGTCTCGTTCACATCTCTCAGCTGCGATCAGAAGGGCGCGTCACCAACGTATCTGATGTCGTCAATAGAGGAGATAAAGTCAAGGTGAGAGTTTTGATATGTTATAAATAAATAGAATCGAGAGAATAGAATTTATAACAATAAAAATTGCTAATTTTTACTGCATGATTGGCGCAGATGCACAACAGAAACTTGCTGCTGTCCAACGTGGCGCGGGTTAGATTCCCGCACCGAACAACACTCGGTGTGATCAAATTGTTGTTTTAGATCTGGGTGGCTTCTGTACGTAAATTTGTGCGTTCGTAAACGAATCCACGATACAGGAGAAAGAACTAGTGTGGGCAACTTTTTATTTATTTCTCTTGCCCCTAGCTTAGCATATGCACTAATTCTGACCAACCTTTATGAAGCCGTCATTTTATTGCGGAAAAAGCGCTATAAAGCTCCATGACCTTGGTCTGCGATAGGAGACGTCTAACGCTCCCTCTCGATTTTACGCCCCCAAAAATATAGCGTATATGAGTCTTCATGAAGCAAGTTGTACATTGTTTCAGGTGAAAGTGCTTTCAGTAACTGGACAGAAGGTTTCTCTCACTATGAAGGATGTGTGTCAAGACACCGGAAAAGATCTGAACCCGGCATCTCATGCTCATTTAGAGGTAAATAATCAAATATTAATATGTTTTTTATTGCAGTTCAATTAGTCTATATTAATGTTAAGAAGAGGAAACATTTTGTAATTTTTTTGTTTAAACCAAATACACTATGTGAATAATGACTACTCTGACAACAAAATTAGTCTCTTTATAGTTTATACTGATGTTGTCGCAAAAGATGGACCTTGAAGAAAGGCTTTTAATAAAGTAATCAAAAATAAAATGTGTTCTCATATTTCTAATTATAGGCTGAACGTGAAGGTCGTAACCCTGACCGTCCTCCTCCGAATGCCACCGTGTTGGCGGGCCTGCAGGGCGGGCTCGATCCTGACGAGGACTCCAGCAGAAAGAGAGTGACTAGGATCTCCAGTCCTGAAAGATGGGAGATCAAACAGGTATGGAGAATTTATTTGAAAATAACGACTTACGTGATTTAACTGAGAAAACCTCTACTACATAGTTTCAAGTTACAATGATAGTCTTATTCATGAGTAGCATTCTTCTCACGATAATAACGATTCAAAACTCCATATTTTTCTGAAAAATATGTATTTGATTTAACTCTCACTTTTCACCAGTTATTGGCCTTATGGAAGAGGCCTTGGCCATGGCTTTGCATTGTGCTTTAATTAACATTCTGTGCTACTATAATAATTCTAGTCTTCTTAATAGTCGTGCTTCACTAACTTTTAAACTTTCGCGTTTCATCTTAACAACATTATATTTACGCGGGTATTAACGCGGAAAATTATAATTTGAATACCTTGGTAGGCTTGACGTTTCGACCCGGTTGCACATGTCGTGGTCACAAGCAGACTGAAGACGCGATGTCAGAGCTCCCTGCATTCGGGTGATGAATCTTCATCTACCCCCTTATTTTCATTTTCTACCATATTAGGCCGTCTACACACTACGCTGATATAATCAGCGTAAGGACAAGGTATTCAAATTATAATTTTCCGCGTTAATACCCGCGTAAATATAAAGTCGTGCTTCACTCGTAAGACTGTATACTTATTGATGTCACACTGACATCAATAAGTATACAGTCTGATATTGTCAGAGTATCAAGAAGCTCATCATGTAATAAAATCTTATTTTCAGATGATATCATCAGGGGTCATAGATAAGAGTGAGTTGCCAGACTTCGATGAGGAGACAGGTCTATTGCCCAAAGACGAGGATGGTGAAGCCGATATCGAAATAGAACTTGTGGAAGAAGAGCCACCGTTCTTGCAAGGACATGGCCGCGCACTGCACGACCTGTCCCCGGTCAGGATTGTAAAGAATCCTGATGGGTCCCTAGCCCAAGCTGCCATGATGCAGTCAGCTCTTTCAAAAGAGAGAAGAGAACAGAAGATGTTACAAAGGGAACAAGAGATGGAAAGTCTCCCCATGGGCCTTAACAAGAACTGGATAGATCCTCTCCCAGAAAGCGATGGCAGAACTCTAGCTGCGAACATGAGGGGAACTGGCATAACTCCTCAAGACCTGCCTGAATGGAAGAAGCATGTGATTGGTGGCAAGAAGTCGTCATTTGGAAAGAAAACTAATTTGTCGCTTTTGGAGCAGAGACAGTCGCTGCCCATTTATAAATTGAGAGATGAATTGACTAAGGTCTGTATGGGATTATTGTTTATCACGTATTGTGCATTAATAAAAGAATGGACCTTGTAATCCTAAAGGTTACTCTAAAGGTTACGCTAAGGTGCACATTTGAATGTAATACCCAATTTTACTAGGTTAGTTATAATTCGGAATAAAAAGGGGTCATATTGCCAACTAGCACCATTCCATACACAGTGGTTAAATTTAGAAAACTGTAAATCTCAATATTTTGCCTATCCAAAAACAAACCAGAAGTTATAATCAATCGAAAGCATTTAAATTTGAAAATGTTTTACATATAAATTTTCTTCATTATACAGGCCGTAGCTGACAATCAGATCTTGATCGTAATTGGAGAGACAGGGTCAGGTAAGACGACGCAGATCACGCAGTACCTGGCGGAGTGCGGTCTCACAGCGCGGGGTAAGATAGCCTGCACCCAGCCCAGGAGAGTGGCCGCCATGTCCGTCGCCAAGCGAGTCGCCGAGGAGTTCGGATGCCGGCTCGGTCAGGAAGTTGGATACACCATCCGTTTCGAAGATTGTACCAGCCCTGAGACTGTTATCAAGTTAGTATTTCTTGTTGTAAAATAAAATTTGTAATAAAAAGTAACGAATATTTTATTATGAACCTGCTGCCTATTGATATCTGTTGATTTGTGTAGTCAGCCACACAAAAATCCATGGTTAATTTAATTACTTATTAATAATATAGATAGTTTTCATTTTGTACTTAATTGTTTGTATTTTGTTCCCAGATACATGACGGACGGTATGTTACTGCGTGAGTGTCTCATGGACCTCGACTTGAAGACATACTCAGTAATCATGTTGGACGAGGCTCACGAGCGTACCATCCATACAGACGTTCTCTTCGGTCTTCTCAAGCAGGCGGTCCAGAAAAGACCAGAGCTTAAACTGATTGTCACGTCCGCTACATTAGACGCCGTCAAATTCTCACAGTATTTCTTCGAAGCTCCCATTTTTACCATCCCTGGTCGTACCTTCCCAGTAGAAGTTTTGTACACCAAGGAACCAGAAACTGATTATCTGGATGCATCCTTGATTACTGTTATGCAAATTCATTTAAGGGAACCTCCAGGAGATATATTGCTCTTCTTGACCGGTCAAGAAGAAATTGACACTGCTTGTGAGATCCTGTATGAGAGAATGAAGTCCCTTGGCCCTGATGTGCCAGAACTCATCATTCTACCAGTATATTCTGCGCTGCCCTCTGAAATGCAAACACGTATTTTCGAACCAGCACCTCCCGGCTCCAGGAAAGTCGTCATAGCTACCAACATTGCGGAAACTTCGTTGACTATCGACGGAATTTACTATGTTGTTGACCCGGGATTTGTGAAGCAAAAAGTTTATAATTCCAAGACCGGTATGGACTCCTTGGTGGTTACGCCAATTTCGCAGGTAAGCTAAGATAAATGTCTTTTCTGCGTATGTATTAATAATGTAGATGAAATTAGTTTTTGGTCAACTATAATAATCTTCTAAAAACTATACTATCCTACCCATAGCTAATGTAAGTGTTCCATTTTTTTATATGTGGTTATTACCTGATGTTGAGCAATCGGCGCCACCCATGGACACCCGTTATACCAGAGGAATTCCAGTAACCTCACTCACACGACGAAATACAACGCTGTTATTGTTTCTGGTCGGTCGAACCGACCCTTTCGTGCCGAAGCTTAGCTCTACCACACTTATGTACTTAATAAATGAAAACTTAACTATCCCTTCAATATAGCGAATAACTTCACTCAACAAAACTAGGCTGCATTACCTGTCCCTAAACATGACCTCTCTTGATGTATGATGTATGATGAACTTATTTGTTTGTCCAGGCTGCGGCAAAGCAAAGAGCGGGTCGCGCCGGGCGTACAGGCCCGGGCAAGTGTTACCGGCTGTACACCGAGCGCGCCTACAGGGACGAGATGTTGCCCACACCCGTACCCGAGATACAACGCACCAATCTTGCTACTACTGTACGTATTGCATGGATTTTCGTCAAACTTTATCATTTATAATCTGTTTAATTTGTCACTTAGTATAAATATATTCGAAATGTATATATACTTTAATTTAATCCGTTTATGACAGTTGGGTAGTTTCCTAGGACAAAAATAAATTAATTCGATGTTCCAATACAATCAAATATTGAAAAATAACTATACTTTTATTCATCGATCGATCGATACACCAAATTTTAGATATTTTTCAAGAAATACGTAAACTATTTGACTCAAGAATCATAACTCAGTGTTTCATAAAAATTTCATAGAAAAGTATCGTTTTTGACATTTGGATAAAAATATTCAATTTGACTAGTTGGAAACTACCGTATTATGGTGAGATAAGGCGAATTAAATTCGCTAGATTCAAAGTAATAAGTTTGCTTTGAACTGAAAAAAAATGTAACTCTAATAAGCATTTACTATTTTGGCGCTTTACAAAATATAATACAACTTTTCTTAATTTCATAATTCAGGTGCTGCAACTGAAGACGATGGGTATCAACGACCTGCTCCACTTCGACTTCATGGACGCTCCGCCCGTCGAGTCGCTCATCATGGCGCTAGAACAACTCCACTCCTTGTCTGCGCTCGATTCTGAAGGATTACTCACTAGACTTGGTCGACGGGTATGTAATTCTGTTAAATTGAATCTATACTTAATATTATAAATCTGTAGAATTTGATTGTTTTTTGAACGCGCTAATTTCCGGGTTACTGGTTCGAATTGAAACAGTGACTTATGCAACAAATTGGTCGACAAAATATTTTTTATCATCTTAAACTCATTTGTATTTTTTATTGCAGATGGCGGAATTTCCTCTCGAGCCCAATCTATCAAAAATCCTAATCATGTCAGTAGCACTGCAGTGTTCGGACGAGATTCTAACAATAGTATCGATGCTGAGCGTGCAGAATGTGTTCTACCGTCCTAAAGACAAGCAAGCGTTGGCTGACCAGAAGAAGGCGAAGTTCAACCAGCCTGAGGGCGACCACCTCACCCTGCTGGCGGTCTACAACAGTTGGAGGAACAACAAGTTCTCTAACGCGTGGTGCTACGAGAACTTCGTTCAGATACGTACGCTGAAACGGGCGCAGGACGTCCGGAAACAATTACTCGGCATTATGGATAGGTCAGTTATATTACTCTGTGAAGTTTTAAGCGTTGTCAAAAAAGACTTTATATTTATTCAGGCGTTAATGATAACAGTAGCATCGTTTTCATTCAGTCACCTATACCTATTTGATTTTCTACTAGTGACCTCTATACCTACATGCCTAAAATGGGGTCCTTATATGAAGCATATTATATCGTGTGTTTACGTGTACACATTACTATTTTGTCAACAGGCACAAGCTAGATGTGGTGTCTGCGGGTAAAAACACAGTTCGTATCCAGAAGACGATTTGTTCCGGTTTCTTCAGGAACGCGGCCAAGAAGGACCCACAGGAAGGCTACAGAACCCTCGTGGACAGCCAAGTAGTCTACATACATCCTTCTAGCGCGCTCTTTAATAGACAACCGGAATGGTAAGTCATCCTGAATATTAAATAATAACTCCAGCAACATCTTTCGTTACTAAAAAGGAACATCATAGAATCCTTCCACTAGTATGAGTTTCCGCCAACAAAACGAATTCTCCAAAATTATCAACAAAACGTCAACAGATTATGGACTTTATCACAATACAGAAAAGTTAGAAATCTTTTTTCTTTTTAAAATAAACGTTGCCACATTAGGATTTTCTCCTGTATCGTGGTGCGGTTACAAACATACAATTTCACATACACATCAGCCCGGAACAACAATTTGTGGATCACACAAAGAGTTGTTCCGAGCGGTAATGTTCGATTCCCGCGACACGTTGCACGGCAGCCAGTTGCCCAGCCACCGCACCAACCGTGCAGTAAATCTATTAAAGCCTACTTAAACTGATTACTTATCAAAGTTTATTTTAACCAATTGATCACTTCCATCTTTCAACAGGGTAATCTACCACGAGCTCGTACAGACGACAAAGGAGTACATGCGAGAGGTCACCACTATCGATCCAAAATGGCTTGTGGAGTTCGCGCCAGCATTCTTCAAGTTCTCCGACCCAACCAAACTGTCCAAGTTCAAGAAGAACCAGAGACTGGAACCTCTTTACAACAAATACGAAGAGCCGAACGCTTGGAGAATATCCAGGGTCCGCAGGAGAAGAAACTAAACTGCCAATTTTATCATTTACTGCTGTACTAAATAAATTAATAAGAAATGTTATGATGTTTTGTTATTTTACCCGAGATAAAAATAGGAAGGAAGCGGTAAGACCCAAAGACTCCAGTATATAGTATAGAGAGTAAGACCTTTCTTTAAGGAGTGTCTAGAAAAACGCCATGGCGGCCTCTCCACCGAAAGGTGCGACAATTTGTTCGAACGGTGAACAAGGATAGCTCGCGAATAAGGATGCACAGATACTACTGGTAGAGATCCAACGGGGTTTGTAAGTCAAGCACAATTTATTTTGTAGGTACCGCCACATGCAGCAGGATGAAAGAAATAATCTAATGGTTTTGCCCCGTCAATAAAAAGGTTAAGTCGTTATTCGAGCTACCTGTCCCGTATCTATCATGTCTTTTTATTAATTTGAGGCCAAAGGATCATGAAGTTCGATCGATCGAAATCGATTGCATTCAATGAATCAGTCGTAAAAAGTGACAGCTGATCAAGCGTGAGAATGGTAGGGAATTTAATTGAGGGGCCTTAATTTTCCTAGATCATTACTTTTCAGTATTCGGACAGGCAGCGATTTTTCTGCAATTACCTAATGATTGATTGGGTGTAGGCCCCTTTTGCGCAGGACCTGTGGCATGTAAGTTGCGGCACTGAGTAAACTATAAAATTTGTAAAGATTATTTTGGTCAAATAATATATGGGCATTATGAAGAATAACGTGCCAGAAAAATTTATAAAAAAGGCTATCGGAACATCGACGCCTTTTGAAGAAACGTTTCGTTACACTTACATCGCTTATGACAAACACTCTACAAGAACGAATTTAATAAAATGAATTATGATCATGATGTTAATCGGAACGCACACGTCAAAGTGAGAATCTTTCTGTGATTGGGGAATTTAACAAAAAATAAGCAAATTGTGGCGAAAATGAGCTGAAGCAATGTAATTAGTTGCGTAATATCTTTGAAAATATATTGTAAAATTGCACAAAATAAAAATAAACAAAAATGGACTTCTTTTCGGAAATAATCGGCGAAACAGTGATCCTTGGTATTGATACCCTGATTTTGGGCTTTTGTGTGAAACAGCTGAGTAAATGTAAACATATCCTAAATGCCTTACAGGTAAGCACGTAACACTTGTTTTTCGTACAATAAGACTTGATAAAAACTGCATGAAATTAAAAACTAACCAAGCTTTAGCTTTAGCTTGGTTTTACCAAGCTTTAGCTTGGTTAGCTCAAAGGGATTGCCCTTTATTATGATAAAATATAACAGCTATACATCTTATTCAGTTTATTTGTTTTGGTTTCAGACAGCACCAGTTCTAGATATAGATTCAACATTGAACAAGGAAATAAACAAATACTCTAACAACACTATTCCTTATGTGGTGATCAGAGGACTAGTTAAGCCCCTAGGCAACCCTATCACCAGCAACTATAACAACTCAGTTACTGGTGTCGTGCAAAGGTAAAACATTCTATTTATTATAAGTTTTTTTTAGTCCTGCAGTGATATAAAGAGGATTAATGTTATTTTAACCTACCTACTACAGTTACTATGCAAAATTCTAAATGCTACCAAAGGAAAGCAAAAATTTAACTTTGCAACATTATTTGCTTAGCATGGCTAGACTAAACATATTGCATTTAATTTTATAGGCTTACAATCAAAGAGCATGTGATAGCCAGAACATCTGCAGGTTTCTGGTCAGACCAGACACGCACAATACATGAGGTGTGCAACTCCACACCTTTTGTCCTTAGCAATGGGAAGTACAGCATTGAGGTGGTGGATGCACTGGCGGCTGAGTTACTTGGTAAGAAGGTTAATTAATAAGTTAGATTTGCAAGTTAAATAATAACAAAAAAATCTGTACAGTGACTTTGTGAGTAATGGATTATTAAAAATTTTCATTTATTTATACTTTCACAGATATGGATGTCATCTCCGACAAGTTTGAACCAATGTCGCCTGGTGTCATTGACCATGTGTGGGGTTTCTTCTCTGGCGTACGACAGCGTGGCCTACAGACCATGGAGGAGATGCTTCGTGATGGATCTTACATCACGGCCATAGGAGAACTTAGCAGAAGTAACTCAGGGGAGATGAAGATCCAGCCACCAAAAGATGGCCTCCCCTTGTATCTGACTACAGCTACAAAGTCAAGCTTATTGAAACGACTAGCTAGTTCGCGCGACTTTTTAAGGTATGTTGCGTACTTACAAATTTTACGAAACTATTATTTACAAGTGTTACTAACACTACGCTAGACTATGCATATAACTGTAATACAAATCTTTAGTAAAATTACCAGAGAAAAACATGTTTTTATATTTTTGAACTAGCTGAACATAGGAAAACAATCTTGCATCAACTGTGAATGTTATTTACGTAAACATAACTTGTATCAGGGTACTGCTAGTAATCTTCGGTACGGTAGCGGCAGCGGCATCGTGTCGTGTGGCGTACAAATACATGAAGCGTCGCCGGCGCCGCGCGCTCGAAGATTCCATGAAGAAACAGCTTGCTGCCGGACGACGCGAGCGGAGGGCGCACGCACGGGAAAAGAACCTTGCTGATGTACAACTTTGTGTAGTCTGCACAGAAAACCCTAAAGAGGTGTGTAGTAAGACCCAAATTATGTTGCTTGATCCTTGTTGAGATCTAAATGAATATACTGAACTGATTTTAGTTTTTTATACATTACAGTAATGTAATAACATTTGCATATTTTTTCAGATCATTTTACTTCCATGTGGTCATGTATGTCTCTGTGAGGACTGCTCTGACAACATCACAGACCACTGCCCCATTTGTCGAGAAAGGATAGAGTCCAGAGCACCCGCCTTCATTACATAGAGACAGTTTATGAATAAACAGTGTTCAGTTTTGACAGTGCAAATAGTTTACTTTCATTTGAATACAATTATTACGACAATGAGCACATTTATAAAATGTTCTTTACATGTAGGAATGTTCAATAATATTTAATAGCAAATTGTTTATGTTGTAAGTTTGTTACATCAATCAGTATTTGATCTGTTTTGTACATTCTGGTGCTATGACTGCTATTATGAGAAATAGTGCAATGTATTTTGTTGGAAACATGGCTTTTAATAATAAATTAATAATAAGATGGATTGGAACCTCACAGATAGAGATAACAATACTATTAAGCCTAGTGGTGTGATTTATGAAATTAATAAAAGTTAAAAAGAATAAAGTATGTATATTCATGATTTTATTGATGTCAGAAACCTATATGTGATCCTCCACAACTTGCAGAACATGTGTCATCTTCCTCCTGTTCATTGAATGGAGTGACTTCACTGGAATCTTCATTTGTGTCACATACTCCATTTTCTCCATTTAACTTTTGCTTCACACTTTCTTTATCATCCAGACCAAACTGTTCCAATAGCATATCAAGTTTCTTGTTACTAGTAACTGGATCAACATTGCTTGGATTGCTTTTACAGCTCCCTCCACAACAATCATTCTTATTACATGTATCATTATTCTCTTTATTTGCACTTTTCTTTTTTCCACTGATTCTTTCATTTCTTGCTACTATACTGCTTGTGTCATTTAAATCTTTAATGGCATCCTTTAGTGTTCCTTCATTCTCTGCCTGCTTTGCATTATACTCCTCAAGCATCCTCTTTGCCTTGGAACTCTTTCCTATGCCAAGTTTAGGTAGTCCCTTGTTAAGACCTTCAAGGAGCACACATGCTTTGCACACCTCCTGTGATGACACAAAGTGGCAGCGGGTACATGTCCTCTGGGTGGGCAGGGAGACTTCTTCTTTTACTGACATGGTTTCACCTAGAAACATCACCAATTATACAATAGGAAGAAAAATAAAGTTTTACAACTCGCTTAGGGCTTTCCAGCAATACAATGTTATTAATGTTAATTAATAGATATAAATATTAATGATAATAAATAAATAAGTAGGTTTTTTACACACCTGAATAAATTATATCCATGATACAAGCAGGTCTAATCTTCTCCATATCCTTGAGCAGAGCCCGTGCATGCCCCCTGTATGCATTGGGAGCAAACACACACTCAGTGGAGAAGTAGACCAACTTTTTATAATGGGCATACATTACTATCTCCTTCTCATATGTGTATTTAAGTGGTTTTACCCTTGGTATTGTGCCTTCACTGCCCTGGAAGAAAATTATATGAAATTTTATAGCAAAATAAATATTTGGAGCATCTTTTTTATTGTAAGGGTTGTAATACAGCCAGTATTGAGACTTACAGTGGTAATAGCTGTGCATCGCTTCAACCTTGCTATGTCCCCTCTTAGTACATTCATTAGCACAGTCTCAGCTATATCATCAGCATTGTGTCCTGTTGCTATGCACTTTACACCAAGCATAGCTGCTCCTCTGTCCAATGCCTGTCTTCTGAATACTCCACAAAAGGTACAGTTGTTCTTCCTACCAATTTGAGCTACTATTTCGTCCATAGTCCAGCCATACAAATCTTTATATGATAATATTTTTAAAGGCATTTCATAGTCATCTCTGTTTTGTTTTACAGTCTCAAGGCTGTCATCTCTGTATCCTGTGATACCCTCGTCTATTGAAAGCAGCATGAGGTTCAAGCCATAATTATACCTTTGATTTAGTGTCTTGAGCACATATGCAAGTACTGTTGAGTCTTTCCCACCAGAAGCACCAATTGCAACAGAATCTCCTTTATTAAATAACTCTGCTTTAGTGATTGTGTAGTGTATTTCTGTCTCGAAAGCCCAGAAAAAGCATTCTTTGCATAGAGCATCACCTGTTTTTGGTCTCTGAAATTATTATTGTTTAATTGGTTATTTTGTAAATATAATAATTTGATTGTAATTTTTTATATTAAAATTTACCTTTAAGACTGCATTTCTGCCGCAGCCCCTCCTGCACGGCACAGGCATTGTTTGATAAAGTAAAGTGATACCTAAACGAAATTTATTGCACAATAAAATTAAGTCTAAAAACTATAGTAATTGATATTCAAAATCGATTTCTGTAACCAGATGTTTATTAAATAACTTGTGTGTATAATTATAACAACTACTACTTTAGTAGATTATTTTGCTATCTTAGGTATTATTTACTATGTAAATACGTAATACAATATAATACAAGTCGGTCGTGAAACGCAACAAAATATTGAAAATATAACCTCAAATGTTTTGATGATGAATTGACATGACTGACAGATAATAGCGTGACATTTGTTTTTTTTTTTTTTGGATTTTATGGCCTGGAGTCCTTTAAGCCAGCGTGACATTTGACTGATGGGGGTGTATTAGAGATGTTACTGTATCAATTACTGAATTCTTTACTAAGGATTTTAATGCGTAAATTCCAAATAACATTTTACCGTAGAAAGTAGGAGCCATATTCTCAAATAATTTTATTTAATTTTTAATTAAATGATGTTCAGTTAAGACATAAGTACCTGTAATATGTTTTATATTCAGGCAGTGTAAAGGGTAAAGCTCGTAAAGACAAAAATGAATTTTATACGTTTCCCCCTTCCTGATAAAATTTACCAAATCATTTTATTTCAAGCCAACCTATTTACCTATTTATTGTTTCGTATAGATGTTCTAATGAAAAATTTGCGTTAGTAAAATTACAGTGGACCTAAATATAACACCTTACTGAAAGTTCAATGACTGATTGACAGTCTTAAATTCCGAACGAAACGAAACGTACCTACTCAGCCTGCATTGCATCAAAAGATCTTAAAATTTCGGTGTTTCTTATTATTACTATCTTATATTGTATGTTCGTACATTTTCTAGTTAGACATGTGATATTCAAAACCTGTTATGCATGTTGCGTGTGTTGAATAATGGTGATAAAGTTGTGTGTTAAAGTGACTGTTGATGTGTCCATTGATGGGGCATTCTAGGTGAATGTTGTTTACGGTGTGGTAAAGGTGCGACACAACAACAGTGCAGGGGCGGCGGCACGATGCACGAGCTACTCAAGCATGTGCTGACGGAACGGGACCTCACCCGCGCCGGAGACATCTTCGCGATCCCTGATGCGGACATCGTTGACGATCTCAACGAAGTCGTAAGTATTACTAAGGAATTAAATGAAAAGTTGTACAGCCCGTTTGTATGCAGTACCTAACAAGGATTAGAAAAGTATGTAAATTAGCTCTGAATGAATACTGTGGAATACATTCTCAAGTTATATTCTTGGGAAAACTATTGCAGTTTTTTGTATTGTCAGACAGAAGGGCAACTTGAAATCAATTTATGAATCATAATATTCTCAGTATTTAAATAACTATTAATAAATAAATAAATATATATCATTCAGTCTTATTAGCTGCAATTTTCCTGTTTGATTCTACTTGGAAGATAGTTGCAATTTATTTACCTATTTCATTCACCTATGTAAATATGAATATTATGTAAATAATGTTGTTCTACTGTAGTAGTGTCATAATCACCTACAACAGAGCAGAATTATTATTTAATGATACATTTATAATGTTGTGTTGACTACCTGCTGCTGCTACTAGGTCACTGTTGAATTAGAACAAATATTTTTGTAGGTACAACTATAAGATCATCTCCTTATCATCACAATGAATGTGTCAAAATCTCAAGTGTGCGTCACAATTGATAAGATTAAAGTGCATGCACATAATAATATGTTGTGTTGTTTCAGTTGAAACAAATAACTGAGATATCATCTCGACCGGACTACTGTCGGAACGACCGAGACCAGGCTCTGATAGAAATATGTGTTGCACGAGTAACATCCTGTGTAAAGGAGACAGGTACCCTGGACAAGTATTGCGGGGCTTTAGTAGCCCTGCTGGAGTCTTGTCTGCACCACAATTTGATGCCTCTTGGCCACCTCCGGGATGATGATCCACCTCATGCTAAGATTGCTTCAGATATCATAGCATGCATTGTTTTGGTAAGTTTTAAGTTCCTACTTTTACACAACCATGTTCAAATATCCTTAATTTTTTATCCACTGTAATAAACCATTGAGGTGTTAAAAAATATATTTAAGTATCAAGCACCTAAAAGAATAGAAATATTGTTGCTTAATTAAAAAAAATACCTATTTTACATTTATTTCTATATTTTTTTTGTTCAGGTATCATTCCCCCTTCAGTCTGACAAGGAGAACTATGGCAACAAGTCTGTGATGGAGCTGTTTCTGCCAGTAGCTGTGCAGTTCTTGCACAAAGGCAATAGAGAGATATCGCGGCACATGGCGCGCTACCTCTCACTTGCCGCCGTACATCACGCAGTGCTACTGAAGCCGCATGTGCAGACTATCATGGACTCTATTATGTCAGGTTAGGAAGCAAATAAGTTCAAATTTGTAATTTTTATGTCACCATGCAATGACACTGAATGTTACTATAAAATGTATCTGGTTTGGTAGGTAACTACCCTCTCTGCCGAATCCTGACAAACCTATATGAAGTGTCTCCTGAACCGCTTGAGGGTCACACACCAGCTTTGGTGTCGTTACTCCCGCACGCCGAGCCGGTGGAGAAGAGCTCCCTGTTCGCCCTGTTTGAGCAAATTGCAGCCCGTAAACCAGAGGCTCTGAAGACATGTGTGCCACAGCTGTTGTCCTACTTGTGTCCCCATACAGCTAGCCAGAGTGATCCAGGCTGCATGTGTGTGGATATACTGCAGGTTAGGCTAATATTCTAATCATAAAATAAATGTAATTTGGTCACATTATTGTGAGAATTTAATATTTAATGTTCATATAGGTGATAGCGAGTCTGAGTCGCAGTCGAGTTACGTTAGTGGTAGACCAGGGCCCGGCAGTGAAGCGAGCTGCGCGGGCGCCGCATGCCTCGCCACAGGCTGTCACGCTGGTCGCCAACATACTCACTCAGCTGGGATACACGAGCAGGGTATGTCGCAGGCAGAGACACATCGAAGGAATACAACAGGGTAATCAGTACCAGCACTGATGTTGTGCATCTGTGTAGGAGCTGGCCCAGGAGGCGCTGAACTTCGTGGTGGAGCGGTTGGGCTCCGCCCCGCGCGCCCTCCAGGCTGCATTACTGCGGGACGCCACCTCGCTGTGCAGTGCCTTCCCCGCACTCTTCACCGACAACCTACTCACTGCCGTGCGAGCCAACACCAGGTATGCGACCTACTTTCCCTGAAAAGACTTTACAAGATTTATGTTTTGTGTGGATAAACACACACTCTTTAAAAAGATTTTGAGACTAGCCGTAAATAATACCGCTAACAAATTAATATTTTCACCAGTAATCGTCCTAAATCGGGGTCGAGTCAGAGTGAAGTGAATCGAACATCAACAGGGGTGACTATTGTGAGATTAGGCGGGGGACAGACCCCTGCGGGGGCTAGCAATACGGGGGGTAGTGGCAGTACAGGGGGAGTTGGCAATGGGACTGGCAGCACGACGGGGAGTAGTACAGGGGCAGTGGCGGGGACTACGCCAAGTGCAGGGGGCGCGGCGGGTGGCGGGGGCGGGTACGCGCGGCGCGCCAAGCTGGGGGACTCGCGCAGCACGGGCCGTCTGCATCCCGGGCCCGCGCCGCATCGCAGCATGACCAGGCTCAACGTGCCCGGTAACTACACATTTAATATATTAGTGCATGCCTATTTGTTTCTGGTTGTACTGAATCTCATGTTCATCGCAGTCTGATTTGCCTATCTCGTATCAATAGAATACTGTGTTACAGGAGGTTCAGTGGGTGGTCTTCACAAGAGTATGACGCGCCTATCATCTTCGCAGCAAATAAACACGCCACCCAATGGAACCACTGGTACAGGTAAGGAAATCATTACAAACCGCTAGTGGCGTTGTTGTAGTTTAAGGTCAAATAAATGTTAAATGTATGTTCAGTAGCAAACAGCAAGCCGTCGTCATCATCAAGCGGCGTTGTGGGCAAGGCCAACGGAGGCAGTGGAGGCAACACCAACGGGGCTAGTGGGGTCAATGGGACCAGCGGGGCCATCACCGTCACCAGCGTGTGCGCGGCCCGTGCCCCCCGGCCTGCGCCCCGCCCGCACCACCACCACAACATACTCATAGGATCCACCGCGGGACCCGTGAGTACCTACATTACTGCTATCTTTACAGATGTAAATACTACATCCACTGTCAGGCGAAAACCTGACATAGTTGGACAGTTGCATTGCTTTCTAAGTGGTTGGTGATCGAAATAAAATCACTGAACATCACCAAAAATTGTGTAATCTAAAACACGTCATTTTTCATTTCAGAACCAAAATCAGACAATCATATCAGGACCGCCTCTATCAACACAGTCGATATCAGTGAACCCGCTCACTCCGGGCAAGTCATCGGATGGTTTGACGCCGATCACATCGGCGGTGTCCATCCAGCACTCGAACACTGCTTTAGGGAACGTATCGGTGGTGACATCAAGTACTCCGGGCTCGGGGCCTATATCTGTGAGCCCTACAAATCCGATCTCAATCTCAGGGCCAGTAACGGTGACGTCACGAAGGGCCAATAACACCAGCGTGACTATGATCAATACAAACAATGGCACGAACAATACATCCGCCTCCAACCATAGGATCAGTGTGTTCGAGCCATACCCCATGAGGGATACAGTGCAGCACTTCTGTGAGAAGCACCTGGATAAGATCAAGGCGTACATGGATAATGTGTCGCTGAGGCTGCCTCCGCCAGCTAAATGTACTATTGAAGGTTAGTATTGCTTTTTGTTTTGTGTAAAATGGAAGAAGATACAAGTATGATGTCCATCCCTCCTTACATTACTTTGAAGTTTGTGAGAGTATGCGACCCTGAAGGCGGGTGTATTGTCGGCAGAGCGTCGTTCGAAGAAGCAGGCGCGGCTGATGTTTGTGTGCGGACGGCGCGGGGCGCACTGCCTGTACGCGCGCTGCATGTTCTCGGTGCGCACGCGCCTGCCCCGCGTGTGGATCCACCTCATGTTCCTGGCGCTGCAGGCCCGCCATCCCTCCGCGCTGTCCTCCCGGGACCCCACCGTCGCCTCGCTCAAACACTGCTGGGACATACTCAAGTGCGAGAATAAAACCTTCCTCACTCTCGTCACTGGCGCCTTCCCTGGGATTAAGGTAACCACCGAATATAAATACCAAACTATAGCGTACACTAGTCATTGTGTAATGTTCGATACTGGCTTATTACATATTTCGGGGATGCCCGATTAGTCTCAAGCTTGGCCGGGGCCATTAGTCATGAATTGCACTGACAAACGGCGGGTCGTTGTTACCTAACGTGTGTCACGGTAATACTTTTACGAAAATTTTATTCGTTACCTTTAACCTAATGAAATATTTAACTGTATTGTTTAGGAACAAGAGATGTTACTGAACGAGTTGCGCGCTGCGGGATTCTTTGACGTATTCGAAGTAGTGGCGCGCAGGAACGATGGCGCTGCACTACCACCCACGCAGGTATATTTAAGAACATAAAGGAAGCAAACACAAAAAAAAGTCATTGCTTTGAAAGTTTTAATTAGATCCATAGATGTTTCCAACTAGTACTTAAATTTACAACTTTTTGAAAATGACAAAAATAATATCCTTGAAAATTGTATGGAAGACTCGGAAATGGTATATGGTCTCTTAATTGTACTATATATTATATTGATGTGATGCAGGCGACATGGGGCTGCTTCCTCTGTACGCACCCGGAGCGCGCCGTGGGCTTTCTGGCGGCGGACGGGGCTCCCGTCATCGAGGGCCAGCTCAAGGAGAAGAAGGGGCGCTGGAGGCTCTTCCGGCGATGGAGGACGCGTTACTTCACGCTCTCCGGCGCACATCTCTCTTGCAAAGGATCTGTGAGTACATTACTGCTATTTCATTTCTTCTTCATTTTCATGGTATTTTACACATCCATGTTGTGGCCTGAGCTGAGGTTAAGGTTACTTCTCATGCATTTTTCCTTGTGACTTTTTCCGAGATTTTTATACACCATTGATAATATGGTGAAGGAAACCATCACGAGGAAATTTAGACTGATCCATTTAACACCAATCCGCCTAGTACAAGCGTTTTGATTAACGCTTAAACCTTCTGCGTGTGAGAAGAGGCTCTTGTTCAGTAGTGGACGCTTGTAGGCTGACGATGATGATACTTTCATCGTGTCGTCTAACTATCTTTCATAAATTTGTTGTAAATATTATTTTATTTATAAAGGATTAATAATAGAATTTTGGCATCTGATTTATTCAGACTTACCTGCTTGTATTTTGTTCCAGAGTGGCGGTGAAAGTATCGATATAAACCAGATTCGATCAGTAAAAGTATCACGCGGCGCGCGGAACATTCCCAAGGCGTTCGAGATCTTCACGGGAGACCAGACGCTTATACTGAAGCCAAAAGATGGGAAAAACGCTGAGGAGTGGGTGCAGTGCCTCAGCATCGCCGTAGCCCATTCCCAGGCTAGGGACGCACCCGCGAAGGCCAACAGCCTGCCAGCGAGAGGACTCACGCTCAAGAGCTTCTAACTGTAAGTTACGAACAGTCTATACACAAGAAAGTAGGAAACTATAATCATGAAAACTCAGTTACGTTTCGTTAAAGTAATGCGCAAATGAACGCGTATTGTTTATTAAATCGTACAAAAATTGCTTGCTCATTAACTTTTCGCGTTAGTAGCTGAATAATACGCCAGTGTGTACTAATGTCTACTTATTATAGTAAATACAAACAGCCATACACTCATACATATACAATATGACTGAAAATAAGACTTGTATTAAAACATGCATTTTTATACATATTATTACATAATATATCAAGTTGTTAAAGTAATGAATTAATGTGCACATTATTATAAATGATGTATAAAGTAAAATATTTTTAAATGCATAATGTTTAGAAACATTGGAATATAATCGTATAAATGTATTAAAGACCAGTGAAACTTGCGCAAACAATTTGCGCAAAAATTGCGCAATGTTGTTTATCGTTAGCTCAAGGCAGATACTATATTGGGCTTAAATATATTCCTCTGGAAATATATCATTTGCCAAGTCATATGCGGTTGTAACGACGGTACAGTGTTGTATATAATTGTAATTGAAAATGCTCACAAAGTATAGGAATAAGATTTAGAATATGTTACCTACATTCCTTTTCATATAACGGGAATAAAAGGTATTTCATTTTATAGTCTTCCTTCATATCAGATAGAATCTATACTTTGCAAAGTCTCAGTGTATATTTCAATTTGTACTTATTGCTGTACATGTAGTTTTATTGTATGATATATATGTACTTAGTATGGAAACTATGTATGACGTTTCTAAAACATTATGCGCATGTGAAATACTTGGAAAATTGGCTGCAGTTATACGTTTTAAAATTGATCGATTCTTAAGTATTTTGTATGGATGATATGTATATTGCTTACAATTTTAGCCTAATTTTGGCAAAGTAAAGATACAATCAAAGTTGTAATGTCCATTTTAATAAGTCATTTATTTATTTATTATGATATGTTAGTGCCTTATACACGATAAGTTTGTTTTATTGCGCTTAAAGTACAATAGATATTTACAATTTTGTTTAGTGGCAGAGCAAAATGTACAGTGACGCGTAAGCAACAAAGTTATTTAGTCATAAAGGCTCTTTATTTGAGCTGATTTTATAAGTTCTTTTAGGGACACATTATCCGTCCGTTTTGTTTTAAATATCATATAAATAAGTATACTCAGAACGATATAAATATAATAAAATGTCATCCTAAAACACATTTTGCTACATTGATTTGTGTACCGGATTTGGAAAGGAATTTTATAAATCATTGACCCCAGAGTGAAACTCGTTTTTTATATAATTTATGTTTATCAATAATTTTATTTAACGAAATAATTTGTAAGATTTTTTGACAAATTGAGATTTTATAAAGATGTAAAAAGCTAGAAGACTGAAAGCTGGTCAAAGGTCATAGCTACTTATTGTTGCGTGTCTGACAGACTAACAATACTAAATGTGTTCTGAAAACTTGAGCTCAGTCCCACAACAAATGCGGAAGGACTCAGAATACAAATCAGTTGTAACATATTTATTTTTGGTTAAAAGTATTTTGTGATTCAAAATTAACATTCCCGTCCTGTTCAGTGCTTCTAAATAATAATAAAATTATTATGTACTGTTGTGGTCTCAAAAATCATTATAAATGGTTGTAATGCGAATGACATTAGTCTTAAGTAGTTTTAAGTTGACAAGGGGAGGAACTTGAAAAAAAAATAGAGCAAAAATGGAACCTTTTAAAGTATTGATTATCCTCCCCAAGATTTAATTTTAGTTTCTAAATCTACACCAGTACTTAACTTGCCATCTCGCATTTTACGAAAGCACAATTTATCAATTTTTTTTTAGAAATAAGTTTTGCTTTATATCTAACATTTAGTAATCTGTCACTCTCTGAACCTGAGGTTGCTATCACCAAAAAATCAAGTGTTCATTGGTAAACCAAATTGTTTCTTTGTTAGATTATGTTTAATGCTTGCTTGTAGCCGGGTCTGAAGACATTAACTGGAACATTCTGGTATGATAATCTCTTAAGACAGAATGCCGGGATTTTAGCTTTCGTTTTCGGCCCTTTGTAGTGCTTATCGGTGCTTCAGAATGTTATAATAACTTATATAAAATAAACCAATAACGTCCATTATACAAGTTATACATACCTATTATAATATAGAAGTAATCTAGTTGTAAATATATCATATTGTTATCTAATTGAAACAGATTTTATTGAAGGATACGCCTGAAAAAGCCACCGAATTTAAAAGAAATGTTTAATGTATTGTTTTAATTATTTCAAGAAACTTTGTATTGATGGTTTAACATGATTTGTGATTATCTCCACTGAATATATACATTTATATATATATATCTACATGTATTGTGTTCTTTAGTAAATGTTGAAGGTACATGTATTTTTAAGCCAGTGCCCTTTTTTATCCAGTTTACTAGTAGGTCATAGACATGTAAGTTTTAGTCATTCATAACTCGACTCTGCCTTTAATCTGGATATTAGATCTTCGTATTTATCTATTTAGGAGTTTTTGTTTGTAATGTATTTCTTAGTTTATACCCAGTTGTTGTCTTCCATTTGACGAAAACTATATGACGATGTACAAACATCGATCAGTTGATAAAAAATACTACTTCTTCAAAGAAATATTTGTTAAAGTAATGAGGCAGAAAAAACAGGCTATGGCGTACTAGTATTCTGCAAATAGTTTAAGACGATACAGTTGCCAAAATAAATGATAATAACATAGCTTCTATAGCCAATAAACAGTTGTACATACAAATATTTATGGTAAACATGTTGATTAAGTTTAAGTGCTGCGGACAACTTATGAACTTGGTGCTACAATGTAATAATATAGTGTAATTCTCGCTTCCAGTCGGTATACGAGTGGCACAGGGCCCGTATCTTGTACTCTTTGGCTCATGTACTTAAAACTGCCCTTTTTAATAGTTATTACATTAGTTGTTTGTATCCATTGTTGTTTTATTTTAAAATTTAATGACTACATTATGGCAAAATTAGTGATAAAAAGCGGAATGGAATTAATTAAACACATGATGTCAGTTTATAAATACGTTTTATTTATTGACTATCTACAACTATTACATTTAATATAACACTTACTATTAATATATCAACAAAGTCTAAAATCTATTGCTCTGTGCAACATAGTCAAATTATGTCTCCAGGTTTCATACATTTTAACTGCTTTTTAAACCCATCATTGGGTTGGATAGCGGGCCTTTTAGCTTTCACTAGATCATAAGCTTCCTGATAATTCATATTTTCGTAATGCATTAAATAAGCTATGGCGACCATAGAAGTGCGCGAAACGCCCGCATTGCAATGAATTAAAATATTCTCTTTGGCATCCACAGCTTTCCGAATGAACGGCAAACTATCTAATAATATCTCTTTTATACAAGTTTCAGGTAAATCCAAGCAGTTGATGAATTTACTGTTTACAGATACTTGAACATTTATACCTAAACTCAGTACATGCTTGATATTGTATGTTAGTATCACGTCGTTGGCTGTGCAATCTTGTGATCCTATATATAAATAGTCAGATATCAATACAGGAACATTGTCAGGCTTCGTGTCAACTACAAAGCCGTAACTGTTAGAACAAATTGCAGTTACCGTAGAATCTTTCTCTACATACCGTTTTCCGTCGACTTTCGTGACAACTGTTTCAGTTTCTTTCAGTTTGTTCTTTTGTTTCTGCAGCTGACTTAGAAAACTCATTTTGACAATTGAAAATAATATGGTTAAATGCCAAAATCAACCTTGTTTAATAAGTTAATTACGACTATTTTACTGTATTTTTTCTATATCTTTCAATCAAATTCACTATCACTAAGACTTTCTTCTGTTTCCTGATTCTTCTCTGGGTCGTAAATAAGATCTTCGGGGTTGTAGTGTACGTCACACAAGTACAGGCCGTCAGGAGGACCAGATTGGATAAAGTTATGCCAGGAGTGCTTAGATGGCACTTGCAACATAACTTTAATTTCTTCAGCGGGCAGCTTGCCTATCGCTACAGCGTTTAGTGTTCCTATCATGCGACGTATCTGAAATAGTTTCAATCAATATTGTAGTGTAATATTCGGTGGCCCATAAATTATTTATTTGAAACCCGTAACATTGTTGTTGATTATACAAGGGGTAGTGGTCACGTCGTGCGGGTATCAAATACGCGATATGTTGTGCAGGCAACGGTTGACGAACCACTGTACCAATTGTGTAGTTTATGTGATTATGTCTTGAAATATCGAATTTAGGCAGTCAAGCTAGTTGCGGATTGCTCAAAAATACATAAGCTTGATAAAATATTAATTCAGCAGACCCCACGCGAACGAACGTAAAAATAAGTTAAATAAATACACGAGATGATTAAGGAGGGAGGGGGTCGAATCAAATTTCATTTAATCTCACGTTGAGGAGAAGGCAGTCTCGAAAAATATCAGGCAATATTTAAGTGTTTAAAGAAAAGAAATATATGAATATAAATTTAAATTTAAGGTTGGCTGTTGGAGGGACAGAAAATTTAAAGTGAACACCTCACGTAATTTAGTGACACCCTCTAATGAATAATCATTATTTGTAAATGTTAATCAGTATTTCATCAAATACTTACTTGGTTATGTACAAATCCTCTACCTCTAATCTCAATATCCCAGTAGTCAAATATGCCTTCTTCTCTAGCGTAGCTGGTGATAAGAGGCTTGCCTGGCCTCACCACAATAGACTGGATCTCTCTTCTATTGTGTTTATGTTGTTTTAATTTATCAAACTTTTTGAATGTTGTGAAATCGTGGGTACCTATAAAATAGTTTGCTGCTTCTTTGAATTTCTCTATATCAAAGCCTGGTAACCTGAAATGGAGAGGAAGAAAAAGTAAGACAATGTCAAAAAATATTAAAAAAAATTGAATTTAGGAAGCATAGCAAGAAAATACCTTACAAAATGACACCTTTTCCACTCCTCAATAGGTATGTATGAAGCAATAGTTATATTTTCAGGCAACACAATACTATCCTTTTTTACAGCTAACCTGAAAACAAAATAACACATTTTACCAGTTATTTATAATAAAAGTACCTAATAAAATTTGTAAATATGCAAAAAATATACCTGTATAAATAACTTCTGCCAATTGCATTATGTCTAGCATTAAAGCTATCAGGAACTCTGATGACCTTCTTGACAAATATACTGTTATTGTGTAGGTAGAAAAACTTGTTCAGTGTGTAAGCTATCCCTTCAGGTTCGTATATCTTGGAACCGAACCGGTCCAAGTCAAAGTGCGCACTAGTGTTCAATGCATGGACTCCACCATCTGTACTGTAATATTATATTTAACAGAGTAACTGTATTTAGGTCACTCATGTGATTGTGTATCACAATAGGATTGTTATCGGTTTATTATTATAATATTTATGCAATTTCTTACCGGCTGGAAAGGACAAGGTGAGGATAGTTCAGAGACCTTAATTTTAAAAGCGCTAATTCCATTAAACCTTGTACACTTTCTGGGTCTGGATGGTTGCGACCTTCTTTAAGCCATATTTTCTCTGAAGACCTGGAATATAGCTGTTTAGTACTAATGTACGCTTTGTTTGGATATTTCATGTAAACAAAAATATATTACAAACCTAAAAGGTGTTCCTATGTATGAAAAAAATGTTAAGTATCTGGCTTTCATTATACTTTATTATAGCAGATTTGAAAGGAGTTTTCATTGAAAATTTTAATACCTAATTACTGAATAACATTCGCCGTTCATTATAGGTTATGTCTCTAGCTGACAATGACATCTCTATATGACAATTGACAGCTGTTTTGCTGTTTCTTGAATTGCTTGGCCTCCAGTCAAGTGGAGTCTATTTTTACATGTAAATCGGGTTTTAATCAATAATTTAAATTGTTTGCGGTGTGAAGGCTTCATTACCTGAAAATGAGATGAACTAAAGCATTTTTTAAAGAATTCTGAGTTAAGAAGCAGTCAGAAATTATAAAAAAATGTTTTGTATATAGTTTCTAAACGATTGCCTTTCACTTTTTGACAGTCGACGATTTCCTCGTGTTGTTGTCATGTATCTGTCAGTTTAGCATTTTCATTGATAAAGTCAAAAATGGCACAACGGACGTGGCATATGTTTACCTCGATAACTTTAATATTTACAGTTTTATCAATTGTTGGAGATGTTTTGTCTCAGTCGGCAGCACCTTGGTACGAGAATATGCCGGCAGTTACGATGGACTACAAAGTACATATAGATGCAGGCAAAGAAGATTGTTACTATCAATATGTCCCGTCGGGTGCTACATTTTATGCCAGTTATCAGGTAATTAATTACTGTTTTCTGTAATAAAAGCTATGCATTGGGTTCACATACTGTAGCTTATGACTTAGAATTTATGACAGCTGATGATATTGAAGCTTGAACTCTTATATTTCGGTAAGAAATAGTTTGAAAACTTTATGTCAACAGGTGTTGAAAGGCGGCGACGGAATGTGCGGTTTTGCGGTGCGGCACCCTAACGGTCAAATAGTGCACCCATACGAGTGGCGGCAGAGCGCGGAGTATGCGGACCAATCCTCTTCGGGAGGATATTATGCAGTGTGCATCGATAACCAATTCTCAAGATTTGCTGGGAAACTAGTCAATTTGTATTTGTCGGTAATTAGGTACGACATGTGGGAGAAATACGCAAAGGAAGTTGAGGAACTGGACATGAATATTAAGAATTTCACTGTAAGTTACATTTTATTCTATAAAACTTTTTCAAGTTGAAATAAACAAAGTTACTACATAGGCAGTACAAGTTACTACAGAGGCATTGCAGTTTCTTATTAAACGTGGTCTACTTATTTTCTTACCAATCTGGAAGCTCCGGAGACCAAATCGTGATCGATGTATTTCCCACTTTAGATTTCGGCTAGATAGTAGGGGTTTTCTCCAGTATGACAACACTGACACTTTTTAGCGATAATTTAGGTTTATTTGGTTACAAAATATTTAAATTATTTGTTTATTTATTTAGTTTTATATATTGCACACATTTGACATGATCTTCTTTTTATTCACGAGTGACATTAAATTTTTCTAACAGTTAGTTGCCTAGCAATGTACCAAAGAGCTTTTCACTAGTGCTATGCAACCTCAACACTTTCCCTCACTAGTTGGAAAGATCTTGCAGACCCAAATCCTCTCTCAGTTTAACGAGTCTGGGTCTTGGTACTGCCTTCGTCAAAAGGTCAGCCAATTGCTCTGTGGAGCTAGTTTTCTGCACATTCAATAGACCTTCTTGCACAATTACACGTACAAAGAAGTGACGTATTCGGATGTGTTTCGTCCGTTTATGAAATTCGGGATTGTGGGCAAGGCGAACGCCTTGCCCACAATCACGATCCCAATGCGGCTGCTTCATTATCCACGCTTAAAGTTGATATGTCCGCCAAACTTGTAAGTTGAGCATAGATCCTCTGAAGCCACACAAGTTCTCGTGCACCTTCGCTCGCTGCCACAATTTCCGCTTCGGTTGTTGAAATCGCGACCGATGCTTGACGTTGGCTTAGCCACGAAACAACTCCATCAGCATACATACAAATAACGCCTGTGGTTGAGCGTCCACTAAGCTCATCACCACCGTGATCTGCATCACTATATCCTCGAATTACAGCTTTGCAAGGACCCGAACTGTATTTGATGCCATGGGACATTGTTCCTTTAAGGTATCTGAAGATCCTCTTGACTCTCAGCCAATCAGCTTCTGTCGGATTCTCCAACTTCCGTGATACTACCCCAACAGCATACGCGATATCGGGGCGCGTCCCTGTCATCAGGTATGCTAAGGCTCCTACTGCCTCTCGATAAGGAAACTTTTTCTCAGGTGCTTTCCCTGTTTCTGAAGTCACTGTTTCGATTGGTGTAGAGACGGGATTGCAGTCAATCATATTGAAGCGTTCGAGGATCTTCCGCGTATAAGCTTGTTGGCTTATAAATATAGATCCATCCTTGGAACGTTCTATTTCAAGGCCAAGGTAATACGAAGCCGGCTTGCTTGTGATTTTGACAGCTTGTCCCAGCTCCTTCAAAAATTTTGTTGCCAAAGCCTCGCTTGTAGTGGCCATGAGTCCGTCATCCACGTACAACGCCAACAAAATCTTATTGCCCCCTTCTGTCTTTGTAAAGAGACAACAATCAGCTTCATTCTGTGTGAATCCTTTTTGCAACAGAATGTCTTCAATGCACATGTTCCAGCAACGAGGAGCTTGCTTTAGGCCATATAGACTCCTCTGTAGCCTGCATACTTTCGAAGAGCCATCAGAAAAGCCAGGAGGTTGTGACATGTATATTTCCTGCTCTAATTTCCCATTTAAAAAGGCTGTCGCGACGTCAAATTGTGTTAAATGAAGTTTCTCTTGTGCAGCAACGCTTAAAAGAGCTCTAATGGTAGACATCCTGGCTACCGGACTATATGTCTCCTCATAATCTAGCCCTTTCCGTTGTCTGAACCCTTTAACGACCAATCGCGCCTTATATTTGTCTATGCTTCCATCTGGGTGTCGTTTAATCCGAAAAACCCATTTACATGGTAGCGCCTTTCTATTAGACGGGAGCTCGCACAGTGTCCATACATTATTCTCCTTGAGTGACTGAAGCTCGCTGGCCATGGCTTTCCGCCATTCCGCACCGTCAGTTCTACTTATTGCTTCATGGTAGCTCTCTGGAAAGTTTTCTGTGCCTACAAAGCAGACGTAGTCATCGAACTTCTTAGGGGGAGCAAGAGTTGACCTGTCTCTAAGGTTATATCTAGGTTCCTCTTCTCTCTGGGGCTCATCTCTCAGGGGCTCGACTACAATTTCCTCTTCTTCCCCTTCTAGTCGAGGCACCTCTACTCTCAGAGGCTCAACTATGTCAAGAGGTTGCTGTTCCCCTTCAGCCGGAAAATTCTCTTCCCCTTCAGCATCGACAAACTCTCCATCATCATCTTGCTCAGTAGTATCAGTAGCATCCTCAGACCCTAACCGTAATGTGAATTCAACATTACTTTGAAAAGTTATGTCTCTGGATTTGAATGTTTGATGTCCGTCCCACACACGATATCCATCGTCGTTTTCATAGCCAATAAGAATGCCTTTCATGGCTTTCCTAGACATTTTGTTACGCTTCTGCTTTGGGATATGTGCATAACATTCACTACCAATAACCTTGAGGTGTGATATTCGAGGTTTTTTGCCGTGCCATAGTTCGTATGGAACTTTGTCTGTCACTCGACTTGGGCCTGTTCTATTCAGAACATACGCTGCGGTATTAATCAATTCCGCCCACAAAATTTGCGGTAACTCATTCCTTGCATGCATCATACTTCTCGCGGCCTCTACCAGGGTTCGGTTCTCACGCTCACTACACCCGTTCTGTTCCGGTGTGTAAGGCATTGTCAGTCTGTGCTGTATACCAAAATCCTGTAGTATTTTCTTGACGTCCTTATTATCAAACTCGCCACCGTTGTCACTAAGCAAGGTTTTCACATTATGCCCAGCATTCTTTGCCTCTTTCAGCATCTGCAGCAACTTGTCCTTGACTTCTGACTTCTGACGTATGAAGTAAACCATACGGTAGCCTGAGTAGTCGTCCTTGAACAATACGTAGTACCGGAGTTTAGTTATGCTTGGTGCAAAAGGACCGCATACATCTGTATGGATTAGCTCTCCACATACAGTAGCTCTTTCCCTGGTTCCAAAGGTCTGTCTTTGGGACTTCCCATATATGCAGCCTTCGCATTTAATATTATCAGGCTTGAGGTTCACGCCTAATTCACGTTTTACGACGCGTATTACATGCCGCTTGTCCTGATGTGCAAAACGCTCATGATAGAGCTGCAGCATATTGGAACCGGTGACAGCATTTACCTGTATAGCTCTCGGTGTTGTTGGAATTACCGTTTTAAAGTCCAACTTGTAAAGGCCTCCCTTTGGGATCCTCCTGCCAACGACTTTAGTCATGCCTTCAATTTCCAACTTGCATTTTTTTGTCGTTGATGTAAAAATACTGTTCTGCGCTCTGTCTTGTGCCGCCAACGGTGAAAAGAGATTTTTTGTGAGTGATGGTACTAGCCAGACTTCTTCAAGAGTAATATGGACTTTAGTTTCGTTGACCTTGGATTCAACTTTAATAGAACCTATTCCAACTGCAGGAATCACAGTCCCATCCGCTGTAGTTACTGTGTGATTTGAATCGAATTCACGAAAATCCGTAAACATCTTTCTTGAAACGGCTATGTGCGTGGTTGCTCCGTTATCAACATACCAAGATTCTTTATCTTGTATTTGATTAACTGTGCACGCGTTCACCATCAGCGATAAGTTCTGCACTTGGTTAGATTTAATGTCTGAATGTGACGTGCTTGGCTTTGGTGGTCTTCCATCCTTTATCCATTTCTTGCACTGTCTAACTCTATGTCCTTTACCGGAACAGTAGTTACATTTCAGATCATTTCTCTCCTTCTTGTGCTTACTCTTTTGCTCTGCAGGTGTAGTCACCAGTGCTTCCTTTTGGATGGTGCTCTCTGGACCACCTAAATCTCTTTCAAACGCGCAGAGATGACTCGTAAGACTGTCGATCGTTTTCTCAGACTGCTTCAGCATTAACCAGCTCGACTTAAAATTAAAATACCTGTCATCCAGAGTATGTAAAACCTTGCAGATAAGGAATAGATCAGGCAGCTTAGCTGTTGCGTCTACTTTCTGGATCTCCACTACTAGGTCGTTCCATAAATTCTTTAGCTTTGACAGAAGTGTAGGAATATCATCCTCTTGATCCCGTTTTAGCCCAAAGAATTCAAGACACAAGTTGTAAGCCCTGTCCTCTGTCTGCCTATCAAAAAGTCGATGCAGTTCTGCCCAAACTTCGTGTGCCGTTTTGTAACGCATAACCTTCTTTAACGTTTCTTCAGTCATATTGGTTGTCAGCATCAGGAGTGCACCGCTTTGAGTCCTCTTATATTTAGCCATTGCAGCATTATAAGTGCTTTGAGCAGCATCTCCTGCACCAGGTGGTAAAACTGGCATTGGAAGTCTATTTTCTACTGCTTCTAAAGCACCTTCCGTACCCTCAAGCATGACTGAAATTTTGTACTTCCATGTTTGCCAATTGTTTTTGCCCTCTAGTTTTCCGATCTCTAATTTCGTTGAGAAATCCATGGCACTTTTCAGTCGTCCAGTGGTGGTGGGTCCCAATACCTATTAAACGTGGTCTACTTATTTTCTTACCAATCTGGAAGCTCCGGAGACCAAATCGTGATCGATGTATTTCTCTAGTATGACAACACTGACACTTTTTAGCGATAATTTAGGTTTATTTGGTTACAAAATATTTAAATTATTTGTTTATTTATTTAGTTTTATATATTGCACACATTTGACATGATCTTCTTTTTATTCACGAGTGACATTAAATTTTTCTAACAGTTAGTTGCCTAGCAATGTACCAAAGAGCTTTTCACTAGTGCTATGCAACCTCAACATTTCTAACTTAAACAGGGTGTTAAAAATTTAAAATATATTTTAAAATATTATAGCATGGCCCAATAATGAACAAAATAATATTAAGAAGCTTTTTAGTCAAGTTTTATAAATATGTGTGTGTCTGCAGAACTCAATCCAGTTTGTGGAGAGGAACATCAATGACATCCTGCAGTACCAGTACCACTCCAGGGCAAGAGAGTCCAGAGACTACAACTTGTTACAGGACAATAATGTATATGTGCTCAGGTAAATATATCATTCACCTTTTAAATCATTTAACACATTCAGTGCCCCCGACGCGTATGTGCGTTTCCTTACGTGCGTGTATAGAACGCACAGGTGCGTCGAGGGCACACAGAGTAGCGTAAGGAAACGCACATACGCGTCGGGGGCACTGGATGTGTTAAGAGAACTGATAGCATGAAAATCCTGTTACAAAATTAATAAAGAGCAACATTTCCTTCAGAGCTCAACTTTACTGTGCAAGTAAATAACAAGTCAAGAAACTTGTTTAAACTATTTACATATACATATATTGTCTAACTCTGCAGAACTTTATTAACATCCAATTTTGATAAGAAGTTTTTGTGTAAATAAAAAAGGAACTGTATATTTATAATTCTAAACTGTAGCTTGTATAATATTAGTACATAAATATTTTTTGCTTGTAACTCTTCTCACTCACAATCTATTTAGCTCAATTAGAAAAGAAGTGGTCAGGATGAATAGTATTCAATAAAGCTCAATTGGCTGGGTACTCAATTGTAGACAAATATTTGTGTGAGAATTTGTTTAAAAGCTTATCAACATTGTCACTATTATACTGGATACTCAAATTATTAGAACATGCTTTTTTAATAGTAATTTGTGAGATATACATTACTAGCTTCCTCCCGCGTCTTCGCCCGCATGGTATGTTAATAAAAAGTAACCTATGTGTTAATCCAGGGTATCACCCATCAACTTACTAAATTTAACCAAATTAGTCCAGCCGTTTGTGCGAGAAATCATAAAAAACATACATCCAGACATTCTCACAAACTTGCACATATGATATTAGTTGGATAGTATGATTTATTTATTGAAAATAACTACCTACTTTAATAACTGAGAGAAGCTGTTTTAAGTCGTAAAATATTATTTTGTAACATGTCTGGTTATTTTTTTTATTATTGGAACTTTATGACTTTCCTACAATTGGACATTGAATTTATTATAAATGTTCTATTTCAACTTTTACTTCAAACAAATCTAGGTTGCACTTTGTTATGTAGATTCTGTTTCAAAGTGAATAAGTGTTATGATTAAAATAGTCACGTCTCTTACTTAAGTCCTTGTGGCTGCATAATTCCATATATAATGACTTATGTAATAGTCATGTGTTATCCTTAATTCTCCAAAACTCCTAAACCCCAGCAGGCTGGCAACTCACTAGTAACTCTTCGATGTGTCCATGGGCGGCGCCGGCTACTTACTAATTTTCACAAAGATGCAGGCAAAGAAGACCAGGGTAGACCTTAACACTTCCCGTCAGTAAGTTCATCAGTCCCATTTAACAAACCATACTGGCATGGACTGGACAAAATCAAAAACCTTAATACGGCGAAATTGTCGAGAAGTTAGATCTGAGAATGAACCCTCCCTGTTCTCCTAGCGAGTTTTCAACTAACAAGATAGTCACAGACAATGATGGTGACATAAATATTATTTTTTTCTTTGCAGATGGTCTGCGATACAAATCCTGGCTATAGCAACCACGGCTACACTACAAGTATACTTTGTGAGGAAACTATTTGAAGTGAAGGAGAACTCGTCAAAGACAAGAATATGATTACATTCCCCAAAACATACGAATTTACTTACTGTTACTCTCCGACTGATCTTCCATTCCAACTGAAATTATTGTTGATCTCTCTTGTTCATCATTTTGTTAGCTTGTTTATTGTGTTCATTGGTGTATATAGCTGGCAACACAACTCAACAGAGATACATATTAAGCTCCATTTTATTAGCACATTTTTAAACGGTTGTTATGTATGTGAAATCTCGTTTTTCTTGTGGGTTAAAAGCTGGTGTATACGATACGTACGGCTGGTTTTATTAATCCAAGTTTTTGGCTAATTGTAGTCGAATTAATGTTGAAATAATATATTTTTTAATATGCATTTTTTTAAATAGAATATATTCGTTTTCACATACAGAGCTATCTCTTACCTGGTGTGGTAATAAAGTGGAGCTGCTTATTGAACATAAGAACTAATCTTACCCTCGCTCGTTCCTATCACATTTTCTGAGATTATTTTAATTTTTCTTGTTTATTTTTCTTCGAACCAGTAACAAATTCTGCGCACAAATTTAGTTCATAGTTTAAGTACAAGCTTTTTTATTTTTTTATACAAAAGACATAAAATCGTTTTCTATACATTATTATTAATAAGTTTAACTTTTCAGAGTTTATTTTTTGATCGAAATATTGAAGGATCTGATTATAATAATGACATTTTAAAATATTTTTGATAAGAATTGGATATTTATTATTTATTTGCTTTTTGACAATGCTCTTAACATTATTAATTTTATTTTGTTGTTAATCTGTTAGGTTAACCCAGCATTTAACAAACGAGTGTTTGAGTAATGAATGACCGATGTCAATATAATAAACTGAAATGTTAAAGTACTTAAACTTTGTTTTTTTCTTCATTGTACCTTTTTTCAGCAGGTAGGTAAAATCGAACATCGAATCGTAGGGAAATCGCCCTCTTACTGACTCAAAACGACACCGTTCCTTGTCCTGCTCCAGGCCGGTACACGTTCCCGCCTTGACGTCACTAAGATCATTTTATACCTTGCGGTGATGTTGCGAGCTCCCACTTCTTTATGGTAGGTATAGGGCAGCAAATGAGTACGATACACTATCAGTGTAATTCGTATCTCTATCTCCTTTATATAATACTTGTTTGAACTGTACACTACACTACCCATGGCCAAGTTTCTTATACATTTCCATCTAAAGGTTGTCTGGAAGAAATCGCCTTGTGTGATAAGACCGCCCATTGTAATCACAAGATTCGTTCATAGTAGCCAATGTATTGATGTATTGCTACTTGGTGTATGTGTGCAATAAAGTATATATAAATTAATAAATAGTTCTTCAATATTCAATAACTGACTGACTAATTATAATATTAAAAAACATTTTAGTATTTATTTCAAATACTAAAATGTTTTTTTAAAACAGAAAACTGGCGTGAAACTACTCAGCGTTGTGTTTCGCCGTGTGAGTGAGGTTACCGGAGGCCCAATCCTTCCCCACCCCCAATCCCTCCTCAATCCCTAAATCTCCGAATCCCTAGTCCCTAAAAGGTCGGCAACGCACTCGTAACTCCTACGTTGCGGATGTCCATGGGCGGCGCTGATTACTTACCATCAGGTAATCCGTCTGCTAGTTTGCCGACCTATTACATAAAAAAAATTCAATATTAGATATATGAATTATCTGTCCAAAAAATTAAAACATCATCAAATCAAAATGGTAACAATGGTATTGAAACATGTCAGTGCAGTAAATGACTGAAGAGTTAATTAATTAAACTTGGTTCTACGATAACGCATCAACCATATCATAATAAAATTCACTTGCGATAAGCGAAACTAAGCATAACAAACACGTCGATAAACTTATAGGTACGTTAGGAATAGGCCACATAATATTTATATATATTTATAATTATGCATTTAAAATTACATTTTATTTGTACTTACTTGTGTCTACTTTACCTAGGTACGTAGTACCTATAAAACATACCTAAGTGGTTGCCACCTTTTTATGCAGCTAATAAAGTACATAGGTAAGAAAAAAAAGTACATGGGATCAAGATAAAGTACAATTTATTTTTCTTTATTTTTATATTTCAAAACATATTTTTTATTGCTTTTTGCAGTTTGCATTAAATAAGTATTTCTACTAAAACATCTTTACAGTCTTTATTAAATTCAGAGACGCTTTGTTTCTTTCATTTCTTCATCTCGCTGTACATCACAGACTTTTCAAAATCTCAAAAAAATCTAATCATACAAAATAAAGTATTTTCGTGTACTTTATTGTTTTCATAAAGTATAGAGTACAATTATATGAAATAGAGTACAATACTTTATTATAAAGTACGGGTGGTAACCTTGTACCTACCTAACACAAGTCTGTTAAAACGCTTGAGGGTGCTATCCTCCTTTTTACGTCCCAGTCGCCGTAGTAGGCAACACTTCAGGCGTCGGGGATTGAGAGATAATCTCTGGCCACCGTAACCGCGGGTTTGCGAACGGCGAGTACCTAAGAGTAGATTCGTCGCCCAAACAGAACCAGACTCGAGCGTACGATGCGTAGCGATCCACGCGCGCCTCAAGTAGCCAATAGACTACCACACGGGACCCTATAGGTCTGAAGATCAGCTGGGATTGCGGGGCAAGCGCAATAGGGCACCGAGGCTTAGGCCTAGACCAGGAAAAGAAACGGATGGGGGTGGGGATTTAGTCAGTAGGTAAGTCTGACATTAATTTTTTTTCTTTTATAAGAATGTTGCCCCACACTAGGATTTTTTTCTGTGTCATGGGGGCGGTTATAAACATACAATTTCACATACACATGACACCCAGACCCGAAACAACAATAATTTGTAGATCACACAAAGAGTTGTTCCGTGCAGGAATCGAACCCGCGACACGATACACGGCAGCCAGTTGCTCAGCCACCGCAAAAACCGTGCAGTCATAATTTCTTCTACCCTGAGCGGGAGAAGCACGGGGAGAAGTCATTCATTGATTTTTCTCTCACAAAAACAGTCTTTTATGTAGTAGTTTTTTCTTACCACTCATCGAGCTTCGTTTATTTAGGGCAATTTGAACTTCGATTATATAATCTATACTAATATTATAAAGAGGTAAACTTTGTAAGTATGTAGGGGGTAATCTTTGGAACCGCTGGTCGGATTTCCAAAATTCTTTCACTGATACTTGGATAGCTACAATGTGCTTGAGTGCTATAGTGCTATAGGCATCACGCTACGACTAAATGGAGCCGAGCAGCGGGTGAAACCGCGCGAGAGTAGCTAGTGTTTAATGATTACTTAGCTCCACTTATTTCAAAGTTACTGTTTTCCTAATTAACAATCAGTCTACATTCTATAAAGGGCGATGAAAATTTTATAATTGAAAACTTAGATTTAGAGATATTGCAAGATTCCCAAGTTAGGAGGTAAGGATGGAGCAAGAGCATGGAGGTAAGCTATGGAGCAAGAGCACACGAGAATTACTATCAAGGATGCACACATAATGTTAAAGAGCTTGTAATCTACCTGTATTAAAAACTAGCGGCCCGCCCCCGCTTCGCACGGGTCCAACTATCTCGCTATCAAAGGGTCACTTTTTCCTAATCTTCCCCTCTACTTTTCTAATATTTTCTTTTATAAGAATCTTCTCCTGAGAATGACAAATACAACAAAAAAAGAATTGGCCAAATTGGTCCAGGCGTTGTTGAGTTATGCGCTTACAACACATTTTGCGATCCATTTTTATACATAAGATTTAAAGACTTCTAATAATATTTGAACATTTTACCTAAAATATTTTCTAATTTGGATTACCTCTAAGCTTGCCATTCCACTGATTATGGGGCCCAATAGGGTCGATATTAAGCTTTTGCATTTTGCGGGTACCTCCTTATTGCAGGTGGAAGTAGCAGGCCTGTAGCAGGAGAAGGTACCTACAGGGTGGTACTCAGTCAGTAAGAGACTGGTACACCCTTTCGCCTCATCCAGGTCGAGAGAAGTGATTTGATGATTTTTCCCACTCAAACAAAAGCCTCGAGTTCTCCATTATCAAATTTTGTGTGCACTTTATGATATACCTACTTACCAGAAGATAAAATTATTTTCCGACGTGACCTTTGATGACGGAATTTTTCATAAAAGCAAGTAAAGTAAGTAAGACTCGACCTTCGAGGTAAGTGAATAGGTCATAAATGTACAGGTCAATATAGTTATTTTTTAGGTAGGTCCCCGAGATCGTAAGATGCCTAACTGCCTGCGGTTCTAATCATTTGAAGATCTCGACACTTAGCGAGATATGTTGTATATGATTTAAAAAATAGTTTAAAAGCTTTTATGTTGATTATGTCATGGATTCGTCGCCATAATAAATTAGCCTTTATGTATATAACATTTTCCTTTTGCATTCTACAATCTAATGTAGGTACCTATTCTATTTCAAAATGAACAACATCTAAAATTACTAGTGTATTCACAGGATAAAACAATGGAGTAGGATAATGAATCAGGTATACTGACATTCCAGCTAAAAATAAATAAAACAAGGCCATTATGTAATTAAATTTTATTTATTTATTATCATACCATAAATATATAACGTCCATGATTTGTTACATTTGTTTCCTAATTCTATTTACACAATAATTTACTTAAGTACAATACAATACAATAATACATCGTAACATGAATTTATTTGTTAATAATATGGTGCTGAATTATAAATATCACACGCTGTAGATGACCTTTAAAATGTCAAAAAGTTTTCATATAATTTATAGGTCATCTGCAGTGTATTAAAACCTAAGTGCTAGCCAAGGAATGTATTCTAAAATACTCGACAATTTCACGACAACTCATCCGCTTATGACTAGTAAATTTTTCAAACAGCGGGCAAGTAAAGCTTTACATAATACAATACATGTATATTATTATCTTAATCTAATCAGTAAATGTCTTAATTAAACTGTACAACAAACTTCGCGAATCTCATACGTAACTGTACACTTCACTATAACTATACTAAAACTAGTGTAAGCACAACTCTGTATCAACAATTACATAAAAAAATATTAATAAAACATCATTCGTCATTTCATAATCGTCTTTATAATTAAAATGTTAAAAGAATAATATATTGGAATATATTTAAGACACTGTTTTATTAGGAAACCTTGGTTTTGTTGGTATTATCTAACAACCGGTCACGCATTAGGATTTGCTTTTTTATTGGTGTAAGAAACAAACAAACGAGCAGGACCACCTTATGGTAGGTAAGCTAAAGGTGCTGCAATTAGGTTGCCAGCCTTTTGGGGGTTGTTAGGGATTCGAAGCCCTTAGGGCTTTGGGGATTGGGGATAAGAAGGAAAGATCTGAGTTTTCGGTAACCATACTCATAAGACAAAACACAACGTAAGCGTTGTTTCACGCCGATGTTTTGGGAGGCCGTGGCAACACTCCAGTCGAGCCGGATAATTCTTGTATACCTTGGATTGCAGAACCCAAGTTCTAGCCATTACGTTGGTAGGGTGACCATGGTATCCTCATAAAATAATGTTCTTAATATATGTTACGTAATTCGATATCGTAGTTTGAATAGTTTGTTCATAGAAATATAGCGGAACTATCACAAGTAAGCACCTTTATTCAGAATCGTTACAAACACTACCGCGCTATATACTCAACTCAAGCTAAGGCGACTGGACGGACCCCGTCTTACAAGACAACTGGGATGGCTTCCAAATAGTCAAAATCAATACTCTTGTCAGATAAAATTATTATTTGTGTACGAAATTCTATATTGTGATGTCATTGGTACAATTCAAGGCTCGTAACCGATTTTTAAAATAGCGGTTCATTAAGGTTTTCCTCCGAAATTTTCTTCTTCAGAACGTGAACATTTTAAGAACTTTATTTTTAACTGAAATTTTGACCGATTTATTCGACGAGCGACTTATTTATGGTTGACTTAGCGCACGAATTTAATTTATGCGAGCCGCGTTTTGTATTGTGCTGCCGAATTACTCGGTTTTTATTTCTCAAAACCGAACCTTTATGTAAATACTGTTCCATATCGGTTTAAAAACCTAAATGTTAAGGTTTTTGAACATATTACCGGTAAGTATTCGAGGCTGTTTACTACAAAGCCTTCTTTATAGATAAGCCTGCAGGCTGCAAAAGAACAGATTTTGACTAAGGAGTTATCCCAATTCCTGCACGATATTAATCGCCTAATGTTAGTATATAACCAATAACAACGACATTGAGACCTGTATCCTAACTTATTTGTGAGATTCTAATGTGATGATATCCAGCTATTCCTACATAGTATTTTAGTCTTTAATTCCATTGAATATGGTTTATTTTCTTCTATATGTTTGGCTGCCTAATAAATGCTTTTAGTGCTAAGGGAATTAAGGCAGCTTAGATCGAAATGATTGAGAAAAATATTATTGGAAATGTATTATTTTATATGCTTGATGATGTATCTTTAAAATAAAATTCATTACACACACAAATTCTTAAAACTCGTAAAAATATTCATTGAAATCTTAAATTCAACTGAAAATATATAAAAATTCAGATTGAAATTATCATTTAATACTTTGTCTTTTTAGCGCTGTGATATACCTTCCTACAGCTTTACAGATTCATTCATACAAGAGAAAAATACGCGCCATACCTGTGATTTGTTTGAACAATATTTAAAACCAAGTTCAATAGAAAATCAACTTTAACACTTTGCAATAAAGTCAAAAATGTATTACAGAGTGAAAAAATAAAATAAGTTGAGAGTGTCACCTCAAAGTTAGAATTGTTCGTGTAGTACGTGGTTTAGGAGGTCAGAGGTTCCGCTTCCGGTGTCCGAGGTATGTCCCGGAGAGGGCGAGGAGCCGGTACCGCTGGCGCAGGTTGCGCGCGCGTACGTGTGGGGACGCTATCTCCGCCGTGTACGCGCCCGGGAACCAGCCCGCCTCCCCGTCGCGGGTGCGCTCGCCGTAGTACCAACCTGATGGACAATAAAAATTATTTAATTATTATTATAAAAAAAAAACGTTTTTCCACACTTGTATTTTCTCCTGACTCGTGGTCGACATACATACAATTTCATACACACATCACAACCAGGCCTGAAACAACGATTTATGGATCACAAAAAGACTTGTTCCGTGCGGGAATCAGTTGCAAGTCACCGCGCCAACCGTGCAGTCAAATACATTCATAACCTATCTCCAATACAATTTTCTAGAGTAGAACCAAGAAACCACTACATCGACAATGTTGTTTGCCGATATCCGACAATACGAGAGATGACTCACAGTCATTAATTGTGATTTACCAGCTTTTATTTAAATTGCAATAAAATGTAAAGTGGAAACTTGCAACTTAGATTAGGAGCAAATCTATAACCGATTTGGTAATAGGTAAAATGGCATGACCACAAATGCTAAGCTGTATTACACTAAGTATAAAAAGTAACTCTAAATTGTACTACAATCTGTCTAAATATGATATACAATCTCGGTACTTATATAACTCGTTTTTAGTTTATAAATTATATGTATTTTATATTTTCATCAAATTTACATTATCATTACTATAACATAACATACCTTCACTAGTCTTCCTGGTAACGTTAACGACATCTCCTTCAGCTAGCGGCAGTTCATCAGGCTGCGCAGGCGCATATGCATATAAAGCGCAAACTTGTGGACAATCCCAGCCAGCATAGACGGCTTCGCCCTCCGACGTGGCCGCGGGGGGCTGCAGGGCTTCGGCCCAGCGAGACCACTCGGTCTCACTGGGACAGGACATGAGCATCTCGAGAGTGCGACCTTCGTGGTTCTCCAGTAACGTGATGAGCAGAGCGTGCTTGGCCCCGCCGGCCCCGACCTCGCTCGAGCAAACTTCCAGCAGCGAGCGGGGGCAGTGGTCCACGCATATGTATTGCTCTTCACTGGAAATTAAAGTATTCTATTAGTACTATATATTCCCTGGCAAGGATTCGTATATTTATTTTTTACCTACTGGCAACATTTTTAGTTCAAGTTGGAATTATGTGTGAAAGTGCAATTGGGTAGTTTTGTAAAACAAAAAATAATTATTTTTACTTTTTAAAATGTAATTCATTGATTGGACTATAAATAACATAATATTACAAATTTCCAGCAAAAAAAAAAACTATGTTGTGTATGTTCCATTCATGCGAAATTCATAGAAAAGTTTTCCTAGTTTTTGATATTTCAATATTAAATAGTATTGAATTTGAATTTCTCTAGTTGGTGTTTGAAATTTTCCATTTAATTACTAAAGAATAAGGTAAAATATGTATTAAGAAACACAGCTAATCTTGCAAACGTATTCCTTTATAAAGAATTATGATTATGATTATGAAATATCGTAACTACGAACGCCGGGATAGAAAAGAAAAATATATACATACCCCTTCTTCTTGGCAATGACGAGCAGATCGTTGAAGAGGAACAGGTGTAGCGGCACCTTGTGGAACTTCTTCCCGAAGGTCAGCTTCAGCTCATCCGACTTCCAGATCAACTGCGTCATCTCGCCGGACCTCACTAGCCAGCGGACAGGCCTGTGGTACGGAGAACAATTATTATTATATTTGACATTAGCTTCCCGCCCCGGATTATAGAAGTTTTTAGAGTGGGAAAGCTAACATCGTCACGATGGGCTCGATCGGAGTGATACCACGGCTGCACAGAAAACCGGCGTGAAACTACCACAGCGTTGTATTTCGCCTTTACCGGAAGCCCAATCCCTCCCCTCCCCATCATCATTTCCCAATCCTTAAATATCTGTCCGGCTACGCACACGTAACTCCTTTTGCGCGTGTCCATGGGCGGAAGGTATCCGGTAATCCGTATGCTCGTCTGCTGAGTTAACCCATAAAAAACAGAAACTGCAGCTCAGCTATCTAACAGTGCCGGGGTTGCGGGGTAAGCGCAATGAGGCACCGCGACCAGAGCAGGAGAAGGAACAGGGGGTTTTTATTCAGTAGGAGTCTGACACTCCCTCCCGCCCGGCCCTGGGCCGGAGAAGTCATTTGATCATTTTCCCCTAAAAAAAAGCTATCTAGCAGTGAAAGAAATCCTTTTGGAAATCCGACTAGCAGTTCCAAAGATTAAGTAGATGTAAGCAGTAAGTAAGTTTGTATGTAAGGGACATACAAACTTACAAATTTTACCTCACTATAATAAATATTATATACTATAAAGAGGTAACATTTGTAAGTTTTTGTATAGATATAGATTTGAGATGTTAGTATGTTATATGATTTCCTCTAAGGTTACATAGTGATGTAACTAAAAGTCCTAAAAAATTAGGAATAACTAGCAGACCGCCCCTGCTTCGCACGGGTACCCGACTGCCCTGGTGTCAGTCATTTGTTTTGCAATCGAACGACCACGGCGTCGAAAGGGTTGTAAATTACCGTTTTTCCCCTTTACTTTTCTAAAGATTTCTCTCTTAAGAACCTTCTCCTTATAACAACGAACACAACAAAAAAAGAATTAGCAAAATTGGTCCAGGCGTTATTGAGTTATGCGCTTACCAATACATTTTGCGATCCATTTTTATATTATAGATTACTATTTTATAGCTGACCAGATGGCGTTAGTAGACCTTTCATCTTTTCGCCCAATAGGGAATAAGCTAGTGTTACACAATTTGACGTGACATTTTTGAATGCTACTGTGATTGGACAAACGTGATATTGCTAGAATAGCGACATCTATTATATAAGAAATGATAGCACCAACTAAAGTAGCTGGTTTTACATGTGTTTTTTTGCTAATTTGACTGTATGTATTCTCTCCATCGGAATCTACACTTTGGAACGAGCAAATAGCTTCACTAAGAGGACTGACCGACAGACTGACACTATTTTTTATTTTAAATTTTGTTTGACGTTCAAAAGTGCCTGTAAAGGTCTAATTGGAATAAATGATTTTTGACTTTTTTTTTTTGACTTTTATTGAATGTATTGTGACAATACTTCTATCTGGTGTAGGTATGTGTAGTTGAAAGCTTTAAGACAAGTAAAATATTATGCAATTGCAAACGCTAAACACTACGAAGTAAATAATATTTGTGTAGAATAACTGTCATTGTAACTGTACGTTGTGTAATGCCATTCAATGCGCATGCCACTTTAATTTATGAGACCCCGTTATAGATCGAAATCGATAATCGATATCGAAAACGATCGAGCAGATAATTTCAAATTGAGTAAAGGTTGCAAAATATAATTTTTAAGGGATATTGTATAGTTTACCTGCGGTCCCTCCGCGAGCAGGCCGGCCCGAGACAGGGCGGGGAGCGTATATGCGCGGGGAAGTCGATGGCGGCGCACAGCCGGAACATTTCTTCCACGCGCTCCGTGTTGCGCGCGCCCTCGTTGCACTGGGACACGTACTGTAACGTGCGCGATATATTAGTATTTTAAAGTAGTCTCCCAGAATAAAAAAATGTGTAAAGAGTTAAATTAGATAGATATGACATTTTGGTTCGGTTTTAGATACGGTTCCGGATTTGGTTATATACAAAGAGTTGATTGCCACCGCGACAATCGGATTTAGTTGTTTGAGATTACCCGTTAGTTTCGTATACGGATATTAAATTGAAAATAAAAGTAAAAAAACATGGATTGAAGTAAAACAAATAAAACAAACGAGAGAGGTTATGTTATGACTAGAAATAAAGTGCGGGCGGTGAAACAAACATCTGTTAAAACAAGCTTTATCTAGACATGGACACTATTCAAAACCTTAGTAACGGATAAATTATATAGGTCGATGGTAAGTATAGTATAGTTACGTTGTTGAGCGTGAGTAATGCGCGTGCGCAGGCGTGGTACTCTATGTCGTGCGCGTCGAGGTGCTTGAGCACGGCGTCCAGCAGCAGCGGCAGGCGCGTGACGCGCTGCATGGGCAGCAGCAGGAACGAGTGCAGCGACAGCGACTGGCACGACGGGGCACTCTCCAGTCTGCAGGGGGGGGGGGATACACTTTAACTTAAACAATATGTAAGAATTAATGTTTCAAAAACACAACATTACAATGAAATGGGATTAAATACTAATTAATTTAAATTTACTCACTTCTTAAGCGCGGCGACGAAGGCAGGTCTCACCTGCAGCCGCTGCAGCGCCCTGACCATGAGCGCCTGGTTCTCGCAGTACTTGACGTACACGTGGAAGTGTAGCTCGGCGTGCTGGCGGACGATGTCACAGATCCCCTGCAGCAGGATGTTCTCCTGCCAGCACTTCTCCAGCTCCGCCATCAGCAGTTGGGAGCATTTGCGGACTGTGGAAGGAGAGGATATAAAAAAAACCGCTCAAATTTTTGAAACAATTAAACAATGAATTTGTTTTTGCAAATAGGCCATAAAACGGCACTTTTACACGTCAATTTATATGTGAAAAACTAGATGAAGCCGGCATTTCCTATCTGACCACTCTGAGAAGAAATGCCGAAACCAACTCAGAGGTCAGTCTCTTTTCAAGTCCAGACAATGTAAAAATAACATAATGTGAAAGAACCGTGCAAGTTCATTCTGTAGCGGTCTTTTGCTGAAAGAACCACACCAGTTTAAGTGGACCCGTTCTGAAGACAGGCACGCAAGTGTCAGTTTGCAACCAGTATAGCTAGTGCTGCTGAGTTGTCCGACGAACAATACCGATCTTTTGGTATGTCAATTAATCTCAAACTCTATTTGGAATGTTTTTTACCTGGATTGAAATAACTATTCAAAAAATGTTGGTAAAAAATTTAGGAAAATGCATATTAAAGTACGAACCCGATAGTTTTAATAACTAATAGTTTTAAGGTGTCGTGGTGGCCCGGAGGTTAAGGAGCCCGCTACTCATGCATGAGGGTGTGGGTTCGAAACCTGGCAAGTACCAATGTGACTTTTTCCAAGTTATATGTACTTTCTATGATTATTTAGACACCACTGACATACGGTGAAGGTAATCATCGTGAGGAAACCTGGACTTATAAATTCCTATTTATAAGTTTAAAATCGCCAACCCGCATTGAGCAAGCGTGGTGATTAATGCTCTAACCTTCTCCTGTGAGAAGAGGCCTTTGCTCAGCAGTGGGCACTTATAGGCTGATGATGATGATGATGATGATGATAGTTTTAATTACCAAATCTAAGGACAAACCCAATAACTATCACCGTTAAATAACTCAAATGCCTTCATTTTATTAGACCTCCTAATTGTGTTAGATTCCTAACTCTATGGTTACAGAATGGTCTACTATAAAATCGACCAATTAGGGACAGGCTTTGGACAGTTGACAATTTTAAGATTGTAATTTGATAGTTTACAATCTCGATAGAATTTTACAGTAATACATATACTTGACTGAATAGTGTGGGAGAACCATGTTTCGGCACGAATGGACTCGACTCGACTTGAACAAGAGCGATGTGTTTTGCCGTGCGAATGAGGTTACCGGAGGCCCAATCCTTCCCCTCCCCCAATACCTTCCCAGTTCTTGGATCCCCAAAACCCCTTATCGTCATAATGCTGGCAACGCACTGCTACTCCTCTGGTGTTCATGGGCGGCACTAATTGCTTACCATCAGGTAATTTGCCTATTCGTTTGGCGGCGTATGATATAAAAAAAACTGACCAGGCAGTATGGTAGCAAACAGCGTCTCCCACTCATGTCTGGGCAGTACATGCGGGTCTCTGAAGGCTGGGTGCGCTATGAAGTTAGTTTCCAACACGTTCAGAGAGTTCAGGTACGATGCTTCTGAAGTTAGCAGCTCAAACTTCGCTTCTTGGAGACGCTTCTGTGCTGGTGCTAAGGAACCTGTGGAGATAGAGTAAGTTAGGGAAAATTGTGGTGGATGTTTGTTTTCAAATTGATCAGCGGAAGTGTCATTTTACAGTAAAGTGTGCCCTGTTACTTACAGATTGTGGATCACACAAATAATTATTACATAAGGGAGTCGAAACCGCCACGGAATCTGGTCGCTCAGATACAGTGCCAAACATGCTATCAAAGTAACTAAAGTGTATGTGCTATAATCATTAATTTCTCATCTTTATCATAAAAAAAACCATTCGTATTCGTAATACCATAAAATTAAAAACCACTTACTGAGTACAGCCGAGTTGAGCACTTCAGGTACTTCACACCAGAGAGTGCGAGAGGGCCCACGCGGCGCCACGAGTGCCATGGCGGAGGGTCGCGCGGGCGTCTCACTCACGGAGGTGGTGGCGCTGCGCTGCGACCCTGCCTCGTACGCGTCGGAGTCCGAGTCTCCGGTCTCACGGCACACAGACTGCAGGAGAAATTAGAAAATCAGATACTCAAACTTAATTCCATCACTTTCAGGTGAAACACGTCTCAACCTGAATAAAGACCGTCTTTTATGGAGGTATTTCCAGGAGATTTAGCATAATCCTCACTACACTTCACACCGGCTAAATAAGCTTCTTAGAATACGTCCGATGAATAGAAGGAGGTTGGTAGCCTTTTGTAAATTGCAGCTGCAGACTGAATTTTATCTTTAACTACTGTTAATCCTTCTCTTAAGGTCCTTTTCTTGATCAAAGATGGTCAAAGTTGTGGACCCAGCAAGACTGTCCCTATTGATACATCCACGTTTTCGAATTAGAATTTAACCAGCCCGCACTGATTCAGTTTTCACTGGCTCTACAAATGATGAAATATTTCTTTTCACACACACTCCGCAGCTCACGGCGGCCCACTGTTATTGTTTACAGGAAACTTTACAAACATTCGAGACTAAACAATTGTCATTTTTCTAGAAACTATGTCATACCGAGGTGAAGGAATGACAAGTTTATAACACAAATATTTAGCATCATTTATTAAACATTGATACTAAAGTGTTTTCTAAAATAATATTCAACCGGATGCAAGACCGGCAGCAGCGTTCCAAAAAGTAAACATAAACATTAGTATGTGATAGAAAGAGATGGAGAAGTCATTGCGCGACAAATTCATAAATGTGGAAATTCACCAAACAACCAAATCTACCCACATCTACAAGGCTCGTAAATTTAGATAGATAGATAGATAGTTAGAAGGGCCAGAATGTTGATCAAGTGGAGACCACGGACCGAAAGATGTAGTGTGGGCATGCCTCCCGCTAGGTGGACCGACGACATTATCAGATGTGCGAAAAGGCACTGAATGCTAGGAGCAAACTGTTCAACGTGGAACATAAAGCGGAGGCTTTTGATCAGTCGTGGTTGTCTGCTGGCTGACGGCTGACGATTTTAACATCAGGTGACGGATCTTTAACGGCAAAGCCTCGAATGTAGAAAAAATCCTAAGCCCATAGTAGATTTATCACAGGCTTATGAAAATGAAATCGTCATTTGATAATTTAGAATCATTTTGCAGCATTATACATAGGTACATCGTTCCCATTTTATTTTTCTGCACCCTGTAATAATTAAATCGTTATAAACGAACGGGTTCTGCCGATTAAAGACTGAGGTGTAATTATTTTAATGACAGATTGTGGAAAGATTTCTAATGCAGTACTGGCTGGGTACACATGGCGGCGATAAAAGGCGAAGTGTATACTGTGGGGCCGAGGGTATTGTTTGAAAAATCACTGACTAGAAAGGTAGCGGAATTGCCCAAGTGTGTGTGACGGATTTATAACCTGATTTAATCAATGAATCTGATATCCACATATGTAATCATCGGCAAAGTTTTAAGTGTGGGAGTCAAGCTTCGGCACGAACGACGGTTTGACCGGAGTGATTGGATACCACGGCCTCACAGAAAACCGGCGTGAAACAACAGCAGTGTTGTGTTTCGCCGTGTGAGTGAGAAGACCCAATCATTTTCCTTTCCCCGTCCCTCCCCATTTCACTGAATCTTAAATATCCGAAAACTAAATCCTCAAATGGCCGGCAACGCACTCGTAACTCCTTTGGTGTTGTAGATGTCGATGGACGGCGCCAATTGCTTACCATCAGATAATTAGATAGATTGACGACTATTTAAAAAAAAAGTTATCAACGACTGACGGCAAATAACTGTAGTAATACAATAACACTTGGGAGACTTCTTGGGAGTCAGATCTTCCTAACAGAATCTTGACTTATTTTCACGGAAGTATAGTTTCGCTAAAGACCGATGACCGATTTGTTTGGCCCGTTGTTTTGTGTTAGGTCATACAAACCGAAGTCTAGTCTGTTCCGTGAAGGTCGCCACAATTACGAACAATTAGCAACAAATTAGCGGCCAACGTTTACACGCCGACTCTAAAATTGGACACACGCTGGATAAAGTGTAATTAAACTGTTTATTTCCTTAAACACACGTCACTTCGTTAGGTACCTGCGACGAAATAGCGTGAAGCCCAGTGAATCCTAGTCGTTGACGGATATGGGAACTTCTATGACGATGAATAACACAAGAGGATAGTATGAAACAGTGAATATAAAATTGGTTATCCATAAATTTAGTTAAAGCATTTCTGTACGTATTACAAATAAGACTACTAGGTAATTTTATGAAGGTGAAATTTATTTGTCCGAATAATCTCACATACTTCACACAGTATAAAATATAACAAGCTAATTTTAAAATGCAGATTCGAAAAAAAAGAATGGAATCAAAACCATATTAATCTATGCTCATTCTAGAGTCTATTTCATACTAACCTTACGTAACTAGAATTAGTTTTAAATAAATGTCGTTAATAACACAAAGGACCTAATTTAAAGGAGATCCGAGTGTGTCCGGCGCCAACTTAATGAGCATGTTACGTTAAGTTTTGTAGTAAAAGTTGTAATCTAATTTGTACGAAAGCTTATCGTCTGTGCGCCTGTAACCCATTTTTTGTGCCTCCTTCCGTGAGATAAAGGTTTTGAGTACCTGTTCGTAATTGTGAGCCAATAGGAAAGATAGGACAAAGATAAGAATTTGAAATTGGAGATGCTTTTTAGGAATTATGTAACAATAGTTTATCTGTGTTGTGCACCAACCATATAGTAGTCCATACATACACAGAAAGATAGGTACATAAATCTTGAATATAACAAGAGTTGTCGACGTCAGAAGATAATGAAGTTGATTTGGTGTATGTCTGTGTGTAGTTGATAAATTTTGATGTTGAAAATAATCCTCAATTTAGTTCAATACATAATATTCTTTATTACACAAAAAATATTCAAAAATTAAAATACATGTTTAAAAAGTCAAAAAAATACATATACAACGAAATTTGCATGCAACGGGAATTGAATTCAATTAATGGCCGAATATTCATGTTTATTCATTACCAATAACAGATATCTCAATACAAAATCTAAGGGATAAAAGTCGGTTTAAGACATAATTTGTATGTAGAGTAAAAACACGAAATCAATCATATATTTTTCGTTTAGGATCAGTTATTAATTTGGAGTATACTATCATTTTAGTATTGATTCTTTGCTCAAATATCCAAGATGGCTACGTTTTTGTATTCCAGCACTAAAGAAACTATATCAAAGATATATAGGAGATGATGATAAAATACTGACCTCGACTTTGGCAGCGTTGTAGAACTGGTAGAGAGGTTCGTGGGTGAACAGTGAGTGGGGCAGTGGGCTGGCTGGGTGGGAGCCTGAGGATGCCCCCGATGACGAGGAGATATTTCCTGCTTGGTACAGACCTGCTTCAGCGTACCTAGAACAATATAAAAGAGTCGTTAGAAAAATAAATACAAAAAGGACAATGTGACCTTTCTTAGCGTATGTTTTATCACCTTTCATATAAGTTTTAGATAGATAAACATATGTGGTACATACTCTCTTAAAGTTAAGCGAAAATATGTTAATTTTGTGTCTGAATTGCGAACCATGGTCGAAAATGGCACGTACAATTAAATAACTTTTAAAAATCGTTTCTGTCAGTCTTTACAGTGGTGATAAGGTAATGTGTAAGTTTGAATTGAAAAGGAATTTGCAATTTGTCTTAAGCAGGAGCTCCTCGCTGCGTAGTTTTATGTTTATTGCAATACGCTGCTTTTACAAAACTAAGTTGACTCACACAAAGGAGTCCGAAGGAGATAGGTGATCGACTGTCACGTTCACACGAAACAGACCATATTGCTAGTACATTTATTTATGTCATAAGTTGGCAAACGAGCAGACGGACTACCTGATGGTAAGCAATCAGCGCCGCCCAAGGGCACTTGTAATACCAAAGGAGTTACTACAAGTGCGTTGCCAGCCTCTTTTTTGTGGGTTTTTAAGGCTTATACTTAAACCCGATTTCGACCCGGCCCATTCGTGCATGAATGCATCTTACTCATTTGTGAGTAACATTTAAGTATGTAAGCATTTCAGTTACTGGTGTCAATAAATTTGTGAAAATCAGAAATTAATTATTATTCTTACTAAGACAATAGCGTGATACTTATTAAAAACCGGTATCATTTTATTTTAAAAAGATAAATAACTTGTGCATCATTGTTTTTCTAATATATATCCCTAATACAGGTGTTATTATAAGTAGCTAAATATATAGGTATGTATATTAACTATAGCTTACAAGGTCATTGGTTCTCAGTTATGACGTAATTCCATTGTAAACATAGGTACTTAGAATATGTTTGATTGGTTGAGAAATCATTTGTCATCGCATGATTACAGGTAGTGTGGTAACTAGTAGGTAAATCTAGGTTTCTAATTGGTAATTACTTTATTACACAATAACATCTCTTATTGCCTGACAGACAGAGTTCATTTTTACAGTTTAGGCGACTAACCTTTCGGTAAAAATTGGTAAGACACAGATGCAGACTCGACATAAATCGCAAAGAGTTTCAAAATGGAATTACCAACAATATTTTTTTATTTGTGTTTTACTTAAATGAAATAGAATAAGTAAATAAATAACATAACTCATTACATTGGACAGATTATATTCGGTATTTTCCTAAGTAAATAGTAAATAATATCGACGTTTTATTTAATAACAATTATACTTTCATTCATTTCATTGATTTGTCGATACTTACTCATTTTTAATTATTCTAGCAAATTTTTAAGAAAGTGTTACCTACTTATATTCTTTTGTCATAAGTTGCCATTATATAGAAAAGTATGTATTTGAAATTTGGATAAATGTATTAAAATTTAAAAGTACCGTATTATCATTTCTACAAAAGACTACACACAAAATACATAAAGATTATAAGATTGCGATAAGACTTATAAAATGATTCGATAAAATGTGACGAATCGAAGTATGACACAATCCATCCTTATTTCCTCCTACGAAGTATGGTTGTATAAAAATCCAGATTGGTACAAATAGGATATAGGTAGCAACGTAAATATCATCTTGCTTACTATCTCAAAGATAGCACGTGACTAAGTAACGAGATTATATTAACGACAGCAATTAATCATTTATGTTTTAGAGATAAATCTACAGGTGCTTACATAGCCCTTATGAGTACGGTAGGTACAAACTAGCTTCACTGACGAATACACTGGCAGACAGGCAAAAGTACCTGGTTCCTGGTTATGGTTTAGTTGGGATAAATGATTTTGACTTGACATTACTGAAGTATCAAACAAATCAACAAATAAAGTCATAGAAACTATTAAATCCGCATGCACACCAGATACGTGAACAGCTGTCCTTGATCCCGGATCAAAGTTAGCTAAACTATTCAAATTAGCAAGATGATTTATATTATTATTTATGACGCCCAATCAGAGTATAAGAGTATTTAAATTTTCCTTAAAAGCTTAAGGATAATGAGTAGGCAAGTCGAATACATTGACCCCAATAATATGTGTTATTAATTAGCGACAATTAACGCCACAAAATAATAAAAACGTTACGATTTATGCGGTTTGTAAATTAGTGCAAGGTGACATTGGTCTTAATAAGAGTATGGGTGGCGATGTTACGACCATGTGGGATGAAACGAGTAGGTTTTCATAATAAAAATATCACGAATATGTATTAAAAGTCATTTATAGGTTACCTCCTGGCTGATCGTTTATCCTTTTTATAACTTTCTTTATTGACACTGGTATTAAGCAACACTAACTTTATTTTCACACTTGCAATTGTCCAGTACTAAACACTTTCTCATTGAAATAAAGTACACTACATAGATTTAAATTTTAACACTCATTAAATATTATAAATTTATTTTAGTTTATTAAATTGTGCGTTAAAAACCGCAAAGCAACGGATTCGATTCAAATCCAACCAACGTCCTTCTGCGCGCGCGCATACTATCGAACTTTAAGTTATGAGTTGCTCCAAGTGACTGACCTTAAGCGGATTAACCTACCGTACTCATTATGAACTTTTTTTTATATCAGCTTTGCGTTTTTTATGCATGGCGGTTGACATCTAAATATGTATTTAGTTTCATTCGTTTAACTGGTATTTTTATGTGTAGGAATATACTTTTATAGAATAAATTAATCGCTACGTAATACTACTCAAAGAATCATTCGATCAATGCAAACTTCACATGAACCATCTACTAAATAGTCTACTAAACATTTGGTTTGGATAAGTGAGGCCGTTTTTGAGCTAAAATGACAACGAAAAGAGTCATCGGTTTTTAGAAGTATTTCTAGATTATAGTTAAGTATAATAGATTGAATCTTACTAATATTATAAATGCGAAAGTTACGATTTGCGCGGGATAAAAATATGATTTAAATAGACAGGCTATCTAACTTTCTGAAATGATTTCTTTATCTTGTTGACGTATTCTAGAATTACCCGTAATACGTATAATCGCCTTTCGCTCATGCAATGGGCCATGGGTAACGGTGGTACGGAAAACTGGCTTGTGAGTCATCGGTTTCGTTGGTAATGGTGGACGTCATATGTTCGCGCCACTCACCAACGTCTGAGCTGGAATACCTCACAGGAACATCTTTCTGGGTTAAACTGGATTTATTGTTAACACAACAGTAGGGGCACCCGTAATTTATTTAATCTTTAAACGCTCGCGTTCGCTTGGGGTTTAATGAATTAATTTTTTTTCCTCCAAAAATAAAATAGTTGATTCAGATCTGGATGTAAATTTATATCTTGGTCAACGCATTCACGACACAGGAGATAATACAAGTGTGGGGAAGGTTTTTTTTAAAGAGAAAAATATAGGATATGGTCTTTAAAAGGTTTTGTACTCATTTTCAGTTACAGTCGATAAAATTTACTTCAACTGTTCTGAGGATATTATTGTCTTATGGTCCTTTTAAGAGAAACAACAAGTGTCTGTTAAAACGAAAGTCCTACAAGCCTTGTAACCATAGCATTAAGAGTCCAATCCGCTTAACCAAAATATTTCCTTTAGGTCTTAGCATTCTTACAACAAATTTCTTTAAAACTGGCAACGTGGTTTACCATAAAAACGGGTTACAGTAAGTAGGTAAAAGTTTGTGTGAATTTCTCCAAGTGGGACAGAGAGTAAGATCGCGGCGTGTCCCTGTTGACCTTTGTCATGAACCCTGGCAACCGGCGCCGGCGCCGAATGCCAAACGGACCGCAATCGTAACTGTAGCGTAAATGTCGTGCCGCGCTACGCAACTGCGCGTGCGCTTTTACAAATCATACTTACTGCAATGGTAAATTAAATATGGCCGTCCTAAGTGTGTCAAGTTGCGTTTTGTTATGCATTAGCTTTTGCCAGGGGCTTCGGCCGCGTGTTGTGTTGATAAAAAGTCTATGTGTCAATCCAGGGTACACCTATCTACATGCAAAATTTCAACTAAATCGGTCCAGTCGTTTTTGCGTGAAAGAATAACAAACCCACATCCATCCTTCTCATAAACTTTCACATTTATAATATTAGTAAACAAGCCTCTGTGTACCCTGTGTTTTCCAGATTGTCTTTATAATTTTTAATCACAATTGATTAAGTAGTTTTTGTGTGAATGAGTAGGACGTCCTCAGGCAAGGTGGAGTGATGATTTGCGCAAGATGGCTGGCAGGAGCTGGATGCGAGTGGCCGAAGATCGATCCCAGTGGCGTGCAATAGGAGAGGCCTATGTCCAGCAGTGGACTGAAAAGGGCTGATGATGATGATGATGATGATGAGTAACAAACATCCTCCCTCACTTTCAAACTTTTGCTTTTAAAATATTAGTAGGACTTTTATTTTTGTTTTTGTATTTGGTAAGTTGTTTAATTTTACAAAACAAAAATGTCCGGGTATTTTATTCATTCTTTATTTATGATTGCTAAAAATATTGTTTTATGTTTAGCTAGTGGGTGGATATATGTACCTGCGGTTTTCATGTAAGTAGGTTAGCAGACATCGTCTACAGTCTGTAATTAGTTTTAACTGTGTGTGTGTAATTGAAGGAAAATACCTAATTCTGTATAATAAACAAAATTGACGTCAATGCTTTTGTGTTGGGGCACTGTGTTTACGTACACGAACATATGATAGCAATGAAAGAAAGAGGTTGTCAAAATAAAAGGAGTTAACGGGACGCTATATGAAATATTAAACCTATTGTTATTTGTCTATTTTTTAGATAGCTACTTAAAAAAGATAAGTTTCTAATCCGTCCCGCAGAGCCCAGACTGTAGATACTTCATATTAACTTGGATAACTCCAAAAATTAGATATCTCGACAAACATGGTAAAAATAGTGAAAAGATAACATCGACAACTGGAAAACCACCTCTCAAAAGTACAATGGATTGCTTTGCCTAGCTACTAAAGTTCAATGACACAAATCAGTAGAAAAACAGATCAGACCAGCTGTTCAAATTAATTTAAGTAAAATAAGAATATTGAGAACATTCTACGCTATTTCCCTACACGAGAAGTCTAAATAGCGAAAAGTGCGCGTGAAGATTTAATATTTGCGTAAGCACACTTTTTGGTTAAAACTATGATGACTATCATAGCCACATATCTTAAGGATCAAGTCCAATATAAGAGATAGCTTAAAAAGAGAATATTATCTACTTTTCATGATCGATAGATGGCGTTTGTGTACCTTAAGGTTCTGTTAGCCAAGTAGAGCTAGCTGGTGGAAGACTATAGTGTAGTATGTATAGAAATACAGGATACATAGACATGCAACTTACCAGGATGTATTGGAGGTGTTCGGAGTAGTATTAGGCGTAGTGTTGGGAGTCGTATCGGCTCCACACTCCGCGTACCACGATGTCCGCGCCCGCGGGCTCTTGTCCTTGCGCGACAACGTCGGCAGCAGCCGCTTCAGTTCTGCACACCACAACGTCACATCACTACACATCCACGTAATGACACAGATTATATAAACTGCTTACTTACTGAATGACATTTACGATTACTTTCCAATTTATTTAATTTGTATAAACTGTCTGTGCGTTACTAAGCGGGATCTTTGAAACCACATTTTTCAATCTTATATTATGTCATTCTTTAAGTAAATTCTATCAACAAATGTTCGATTCCCATGTGTAATGCGGCGATTATAGGTACATTTAAAGGACGATGCAACATTTTTAATTAATATGAAGCACTTTTTAATTGATATCAAGCCCACAGACTAGTAGAATGGAAATGTAAATCTTTTGTAATATGCAAAACTAAATTTCCAAGGTACGTAAATTATTAAATTGAAAATTTCTTAAATGGATTACAAAAAGAAGTGGTTAGTTGTCAATAAAATATATTCTGAATGGGAAAATTCTTTATCGCTCCATTGTCCATGGTAGCTAGATTATTATGTAGGTGTGTGAGGTAATTACGCTTGACAAGTAATGTGGGAAGTTGAACATCTGTGCAGTCAGTTATAATCTGCGTCACTCAATATGTACTTATACGTATGACTAGTCACATGCAATCTGCTTTTTATTGTCTGTGCTGTCATTAGAAACAAAATTTTATCCAATCGTCAGGCACAGACACATCAAGCTACCCTTAATATGACGATTATATTTCATAAAGTTTAATCTTTAGTGCATAATAATGTAATAAGGCATGTTAGTTTGATGAGCATTTGTCTGTGCAACGACGAATTAACTTAATAAATGTAACTAGGCAGTAGTTTACTATTATTAACTTCTTTCAAATTCATGTCAAAATGATGTAGGCTTAAGAAAACAATCTTTGCAACCAAACTTCACAATGAGCGATTAAGGAAAAGAACAATTGCAGGCCACATTATAAAATGTAGGACATGAACTTGAAACAATAAGAAACATAATGTTACAAAAGTGCAATACAAAATTTACATACGGATAATAATAAAACATGTTACATCTAGTACGTGTAGGCAGACTGTGCAAAGTTAAATCATCGTGATTATTCACAATAAACATTTCGTGCTAAAAAAACGCAAATTTTATTCATGCTAGTTAAATTATACGTGCATTTTAGTATAGAAAGAAGAAACTCACGACCCATCACACAGTGCCACACATCACAATTAACGTACAAATTAGGCGGGAAAATAAAATTTGAATTGTAGCAACGAGTATCCTGCGATGGCGCTCGCAGATGACTAACACAACACAAACCAACAATTACTCACAAAGTACTTGTGCAGACTATTGAATAAATTGCACGAACCCGCGCATTGTGTACCTACAGAGGTCGCTGGCGTCACCACCATAGAATAAATATCTTTGTAAAAAGAAAAACACAATGTCGCATACAGCCTATTGAAAAACGACACACCCATAATTCCTTTGACATCTAAATTAAATTATTTAACCAAATTGATATTTCTAAGTCAATTTTATTTTGATTGTTAATTAATTGTCAACTGGCGATAACTAGTTAATGCATAGAGTTGTTTTGTACCAGTCCGTATCATACTGTATGAGGTCATTGGAGACTGGTTTTAAAATATATTTTTACATAGTCTAGCGCTAACTGTGATTTATTGAATTATATTATTATTGTACCTACACTGTAGTTTTGTTTTATGACCTAAATTAATAAAACTCGTTGCACGATACTCTGTCCTTATTATGTAAAATTCTGGAACATTATTTTCATTGAAACAAATTGGTTCAATGGTTTAATAGAAGGAAGTTCTTATAGATAATTTTGTAGAGAGTGGAATGGACACTCAGTAGATAATATATGTCTGGGTTTGTTACTTTAACTGGCATAGATAATATACGCAGCTGTAATCTAAACAGTCTAAAAATGCTCTTAATAAATTGTTTTTTTATTTCTCTCATCTTAATCACACATGAATTAGAATAAGCTTATTTGTATACACTAAAATAGGGTCGTGAAAGACATTTACTTTTAGTTTGCATTTGATTGGTATAGATGTGTTAAGAGCCATAACCACGTGTTACTAAAGAAAAAAAAAACATGAAACATGAAATAACAAATTATTATACCATGTCCTAAATAAAACGAACCTTACCCTCACGCATTCATCATTCATTGCAGTATTAACAAAGACTTTGGAAGTAAGTTTTAACACGGCAATAGAATGAAAAAATGTAAAAAGCATAGACCATATGTAGAGGAATTAAAAAAGAATTAGAACGCAAGACAGTGCAAACAAATAAACGTGTACAGTGCAGGACCCCAATAACCCCGCTGTGGGAATAACTATTTATTTTTACAAAATCTCCGTGAAACAGACTGAATACGTCATACTGACTAAGTTGCGGTTAACCAGCGTCTAGATTTTGATTACGAATTAGCAATTTTTCACTGGAATCTACTGAACTACATTTTTTTTCTAAATACATTTTGAATGCAAAACGAATGAATTGGTTCTGACGAATTTATGACGAAGACTTCGGTATATTTTATTTATAATAATTCGCTAAGTTTAATCACCTAAATTTTAGGCAGAAAATATTATACCTACTTTTTCGGATTTAAAAATGGAAAATGGAGAATATAGATTTCAACGTTAACTTTCAATTGAGGAAAAATTTACTCGGGAAGTTACTTATACTTGCAAGTAATACGGAGGTACCTTTAAGCGAGTAACGTTCAAGCGGATAATAGGCCGTGTTATAAGACAAAGTGATTACTACAAGGTTTTTACTTCTGTTAGTGTCTGTGACTAGCGGAAAATTACAATAATTCGCCGCATTCTGCGAGGAATATTATTTGTAAATATCATTTTAGTGTCTATAAATATCCAATTATAATTCAACAATTGATAAATAGGTATGTTGTTTACTTAACGAATTATTAATTTAATGTTTTCATACCTTGAACCTTGAACAATAGTGGTTTAGAACACGTTATGCGGAAGACATTTCCAGTGTTTTAAAAACTTTAAGTTATTTATGTTATTGTTAGGTATTCAGTCATATATTTTTAAATAGTTATTCCCACGACACAGTGGGCACTGACCTCAGTTTAGCGCTGTCTTCGTCGTCAACTCAACGGCTCGTTATAACTATTTGGTAAACCATAAACTTAGTCTATGGGCGAAAAAATTACGCGATACGGACAACTGTCAACTGAAATATTATATTTACAAAGATTAAAAGTATTTAATATATGTATAGAGAAAAGATATATAGTCAAGGTATTAGAGAATGAAAATTATGTTCTAAATCAAGGAAGATAGAATCTATTATAGAGCTAGAAGGTTTTACTAGGATATTTTTGTATTTGTAAGAAAAATGTTGAAGGCGAAAGTATAATAAGTGTTGTAAGAAATTATTTAGATAGACGTTTGTCTACAAGTCTTTGAAAAGGAAATCATTTAGATTGATGTTGATCGTATGGTAGGTATGCTTAAATAATATTGCACTCATTTTACAGGCAATTATTAAGTATATTACTGCATGAGGTTATCGAACCAACATTAGCTGAGGTAGTACTATATTTAAAAGTAGGTTCTTTCAGTTTGTGGCAGCCAAAATCTTATGTAATTTATAGAAGGGTGTTGAAGATCATTGCTCTAGCAGTACTCACCACAAAACGCAATAATTTTGGTTCGATTTGATGTAGTAATTTTGACTGCAAAGTCCAAACTTATAATCAAATAGCGTTTTATACCAATGATTAGTAAAGCAATATTATCTAGAATTGAAATCGTAAAGGTTAATTAGCGCTAAACCACACCGGGTACTCCAGTTGACGGCTGTGCGTTACCTTCGTTGACAGCGCTAAAGTCAGTGGCTGGTGGTGACGGCGCGCTGGGCGGGCTGGGCGGAGTCGGTGGTGCCAGGGATGGGGTGGCCGTGGGGGCCGTGGTGGCCGTGGTGGTGGGCGGGGGTGGGGGTGGCGGCAGCGCGGGCCGCACGGGGCACAGGCAGGGGCTGGAGTCCGCCAGGCGGCGCCTACCGTCGCGACGCCGGGGGCCGCTCTCTGGTGATAGCGTCTCCGTGCTACCCGGCTGCCCGTTGTCGCTGCTGTTCATAAACATTTGCATTAGTTTCTGATTTTGTATATCAAGTTTTTAGTAAATATAAAATAAGTAAGTAGCAGGCACTGGTTGACGCAATTGGCGCAGCCTTCGCTAGTAGATAGACATTATCTTTCAAAGTGTGTTTTATACTGAAAACATAGTACCTATTATTGTTTAGTAAGAACCTGCCTCTAAGCTGATACTGAATTTTCTGAATAAAAATTACATAGTAATATAAAAGAATCTCATTGTAGGTAGGCGGATTTTGGAAAAGTGGTAGGTATTTTTTCATTAGGTATAAAAGTGAGTTAAGCAAATCTATTTCGAAGAAGCATCATACACTAGTATCAAAACTCACCAATTGCTGAATCCGGAGTCACCATCCATAGAGTCAGTTAGGTAGAAGGTGGAGTTGGTGATCTTCAGGGCGCTGGGCACTTCGGAGTTTATATCGACTGCCAACGAGGTGGCGCGCCTGAACCGAGACTTGAAGGAAAAGTACGCTTTCCTGGACAAAGTTCCACTGTCCTTCTTAGGAGTCTCGTTCGTTGGTACCGTGGGAGTCGCGGGCTTCTCGGGAGGAGGTTTTTCCGGCAACGGAGGAGGAACATCTCCACAACTCGCCCTCTTATCCGAAATAACAGTCTTCAACTCTTCCTTCAACGACCCGTATACCTTCGCTAAGGGAATTTCAGTCTTATTTTGTCCAAGCCGTGTGTCTTTAAAGTTGATATTTGTGTACACGGGGTCCTGGTTCTCACAGTTGGCGTAGATTGGGGTTGGGGATTTCTTCTTCGCAGTGTCGTAGATGTTCGTAGGGTTGCTCGTGGACTTTGTGAAAGGTTTGCCGTCCATCGCAACTGTAAACAGAATGACTTGGTTAGTTTATTTCTAAAGAAGAAAGTGGGTCAGTATTATATCTCTAAGATATCTAGATAGATAAAATCATACGATACGGTCTGAGTTATTTCATGATTACAACGTTATCAATGATGCTTTTTGCTCTTACCGCCTTTAAATAATTTAAGATGATATTAGAATATTTGTAACGAGTTCATTGGTCAATAGATTAAAGAACAAAGTTTCAGTATGTTTGGTTTAAAATAAAAAATATAATAAAATGTAGTATTCAGAAACGAGCCGATTATTTCGAGTACTCCACTATCATCCGATATGGTCTAGTGGCTAGGATACCTGGCTCTCACTCAGGAGGCTCGGGTTCGATTCCCGGTATCGGAAATTCTTTTTGTCTATTCAAAAATTAGTTTTTACTTACCGGTGTATCTTTTAGTGAGATTTCGTTTGATTTGTCTCATTTTTCGTTGAGCTGCGCTGGCTATTTTTGTTAGGGTGTACTGCCCGCCTCCGGTCGGCGGATTGGGTAGTCGGGATGCAGGCAAAGATGGCGGCGCGTACGTGGACTGGAAAAAATAAAATAGAATATTATATAAAAAACATCACAGTGAAAAAATAATTCCCTAAAAGAATACCAACATCCATTTTATTTATTTATTTCGACCAACAGGGTTATTCACAAACGTGTGCCCACAGAGTAATTGCAAAGTAAACTAATTAATTGTGACACACGGACACATTGTATTTTCCCTATGTAAACTGACAGTACGTAATACGCTTTCTGTTTTACATTACGTTATTGTCCTCAAACGACTACGGTAATCCCGACTATACAAACTGTATTTGTATTTGTGAAACGCTTATTAATTTCAAGGAAGCAGCAATATATTAATAGTTCAAACAATATCCGTTAGATGGCGTTACCTGTATATTAAAGTAGTATAGTGTAATTTTGTGGAACTCTTTTTGCAATAATTTGGACTTCTAGGTTTTAATGTTGAATTGAAAATGGAACACAGAATATACTACAATTAATATAACAAGTATTTAACTACTCTTATCATAGGATATATTTACGATCTTATAATAATGCGATAAAGTCGAATATCTATTAGAGCAATTTCACAAATGGGACTAAACTCATGTACTATACCATATGTGTAATATTTTTTGGTTGAACTTAAAAAACCAATTTACCTTGTCGTGGTCATCAGAATCGCTATCACTGTCGAAAGAATCGAAGTCTTCTTCTATTGGTATAGGTGGGGGTGCGTGGGAGGGGTGTGTCTGCGTAGGCGCAGGTTCCAGCGACTCGTACAGGTGACCCGAGTCGCTGCTGTCACATTCTGTTGATAAAAACACAAAAAAACAGTTATTAATAAGTACAATTAAAGAACTACTAAAGATTGCAGTGAAATTGACAGTTATTTGATCGTCGAAGAAAGACAGCTAAAAAACATATTTTAACATGTATGGCCTAATTATCAGCAGACATTTTATGTATATAGTCTTTAACAGACTGAGAATTCCGAATTTTATTATCGTCTGTTACGTTCACATTTTTGAGACAACCACATTTATAACTACAGAATAATTTTGGCAGACATACAATTAGCCCGCTCATATTTTCTGGGAAACAGCATTAAGTATGGATTGATTGACGTAAAATTGACGATGACGTATTAAGTATGACGCATCATAATCATTGATTATCTAAACACAATGAATAATTAACAGAATACGGTAGTTTCCAACTAGTCAAATTCAATACTTTTATCCAAATGTCAAAAACGATACTTTTCTATGAAAATTGTATGTAACATTGAATTATGACGTCATAGCATTTTTGCGTCAAATAGCTTACTTATTTTTTAAAAATTAGCTAAAACATATCTAAAACTTAGTGTATCGATCGATCGATGAATAAAAGTATAGTTATTTTTCAATATTTTATCGTATTAAAACGTCGAATTAATTTATTTTTGACCTAGGAAACTACCCAATTAGTGTGTAAATTCGATATCTATTAATATTTTCAATTATAATAATTTAGACCACCACAAACGCAACGTAGGTACTATTGTAGACCCATTTGCCTGTTTTCGTGTATAGAACTGTTATTGAGCGAAGTATTTACAAGATTTTGGAGTTAAAAAGGAATTATGGATTTTTTTTTAGTTAGACGAACATTTTATCAATCATGCATGAGGTAACGAAATTATACTATGGATGGATGATTGACTGAATTAAATAGTCAATATTCTGAACAGCGCCATCTATCGAAGCAAGATCGAAAATAATAAGTCTTTATTTTGTTGTATCACGTTTTTGTAGAAACCGTGTCATTAAATGGTTTGAAACTGTCGGGATATGAATGCAGACACTAATATTTTTTAATTCATTATATTGGGTAAATTAATTGTTCAGGTTAATTTGTAAAAAATCGACTAGAGACGGAAAGCTAGACTAGAAATTAATTGCTGGTAAAAATTGAGTGCTACGAGTTCAAGTTTCTAAAATCCTTTCTAATGCAACGCTTTTTTGTAGTAAATCTTATGATTACCTGCATTTAGAGAGCATTAAGTCATTTATTATCTAAATAATTTCTCCGGTTTCTCCAGTTCGCTAAAACTAGAAATAAATTTAAAAAGAAAACCAACTAAATCTTGCAGATAAATCATTCTAAATACAGACAGACAATAAATCGATTCTTAATTTATATTATTAAGGGCTGGTTTTTCAATAGATAAATGTTATCTAATAAAATTGTTGCTGTCACTGTCTTATACAAATATTCTGACGCGACAGCATCATAATTATTCCCCAGGTAACTTTTATCTAACCATTGAAAAATCAGTCCTAAACTGACTACCTACTAAGTGCTGGTGTGTGGTCAAGGTCTGCGGTTACCCTCGTGACATGCGCGTACGCATCCGTTACATACGGGTTGACACAACAAGTCTTGCGCAAGTAAATGTTTTGACATTCAAACATATGATACATAATTTGATTGGTTAGAAACGACGAAGCTTTCGAACGTAATAATAAGCTAGCTTACATATGGAAATGTATAAAAAATGCCAAACACTAGAATTTTCTTCTAGTGTTTGGTATTTTTGCTTTCTGGATAAAAGAAAATATTGACTGTGGTAAAGAATTATCAATTTGTGATAATGAGTGTGTGTCAACTGTGAGTTTTCTATATTGTAAGTTTATCCATAGTAACAGTTCGGAATTCTCTATAGACTTAAAGTTTGAAGTAGGTAAGTATACATAATTATTAAACCAACAACGTATTGTATTATATTATGATATGTGATAAATTAATAATGATTGCAATACAAATTGCAAAGAATTCCATTCTTTTGTAATCATAATGGAATCCTAGTCTATAATTTGTATAAAAATGTTTATTAATAGCAATGTTTATAAAACAACCAACAATAAATTAAATACTTAATACAAATTCTGGAACTCTTCTGAAAGAGTAAAAAATGGCCATAATCTTTTTTTTTTATAATCTTTCAAATGTATTTTAGGTACATTAGCAGACTTCGCACACCCCCATAAACCTGGGTGTCAGTCATTCAAACACATATTTTCCATGATAAGAACCTACTCCCGAAAATAATAAACCAAAATTAAAGGCATTTTCCAAACATATTCAGCAGCTGTCCTCGAGATTTGCGCATAGCAGCATACATATTTAGCGATTCATCTTAATGTTATAGAATACTATTTATGTACCTATATATTTTTTCATCTTCTTCACACAAAACAGTCCTTAATGCCTTAAGGCCTTATCTAACAGTCAACCATAGGATGCTGCATAGAAACCAGACAAAGATACGATGTCCCAGAACAAAATTTAAAAGCAACGAACACGTGAACTATTATTTTTTATAACTCAATACACAAGCTTCTCAATATAATTATAAGTTAAGTATTTCAATACAATAAATACCTAGTACATATTAAGACATAGATATTCATATATATTGTTATATATTTATATACCTATAATAGTGTTTACTTCTAATAAATGTAATAAACATATCAAGGTCTTTATTCCCTTCGTTATATTATATAATATCTGTCAACACATCTGCCATGTTCGTTAAACAACTCTTGTGCAAGTTGCGGTCTATGGAACATGAGATCGTAATAAATGGTTTTCAGCATTGCCTCATTTAATCGTGTCGTGGATTGTGTGTTGCTGCATCGTACGACGTTGTATTACCAATTACTTGGCTGGTTTCTTTAAGACATAATTAAGTTTGGGCAGTTTTTGGACATCATTATAAGATCTGGAATTATAGGCATTTTAAGTTATTAAGCCAATCAATGATTTAAAATAACTACATAGTATAAAACAAAGTTGTTTTCTCTGTCCTTATATCCGTATGTATGCTTATATCTTTAAAACTACGCAACGGATTTCTGATGCTCTTTTTTAATAGAGAGGAGAAATTAAATAGACGAGAAATTTAGAACCAGCATTGTACCAGTGCGAAACAGGGGCAGGTCGCTAGTTCAAAATAAAATAACGATGTACTTAATTAAAGAGGAAAAGTATTCATAGGGACTCAAAGTAGTTGATTCAAGTGAAGCCATTTTAGCTCTAAAGAAGAAATTTTGCAGTTATAATAAAATCTAACAGGGAATTGTGCAAGTCTGAATCAACGTCAGCCATTGACCCCACCGTTACATAACGTTTAGCTGGCTATAACATTCTTTAGCACAAGCCTGCATTACATTCAGCATATAAGAGTCATAAGTTTGACAACACAAGTACCTAAAAAAGAAAACAGTTGAAGACGAAGAAAAAAGTTTTTGAATGCATAAACTTTTTGCACAAACTACCAAAGAGGTTTTAAAAGTTACTGTAGAAGGTTGAAGAAGGTAACGAAAAAGTTTACTATGTTTAAAATGCTAAGAACGTCGAGAAGAAAAAGAGAGGTTTTACACATAAACGGAATACGTTTACTGATCTAGAAACACTGAGTGAAGGACATGCATTCAGCCGTGTATGTAAATGTTATTCGTCGCTGCTTGTAGGATCTGTGGCAACTCTTACGAAATCTGTGGTCGGGCAGGCGGTGGTTACAAAGTTACAAGTTAGTGCTCTGTATGGTATGACTGATTGACTCAAAAATTTGCATCATGAATTAACTGCATCCATTTATAATGGCAGCTTATTACAATGGTAAATTATGGTGACTCGATACAAAAGTTTTCTAGCGTTTTATTTCATTTTAACTGGCATTTTATTTTACCACGTGCAAAAAATTGACGAAGGGATCTATACTAATCGGCTAAAGACTTAAATGACAAATCGGACACTAATATTTCTGCAGGATAAAAATAAGTGAGCTTGTGGTGGATTTGCAACTCTGTTTCTAAGAGTTGAAGGTGGAATTTTGCTTGCAAGCGTGAAGCTTTTGGCTTTTATTTTACAAGGATAGTTAGGAATCGAGTTATACCATGGTCAATAAATAAAATTTATTGGTATATACAAACAAAGTAAGTACTTTACTGATGTTTGATGAAATCGTGGGTTATTTCACTAATTGCGAATCGTAACAAATTTTAAAAAATATCAGTTCTATGTGTATTAATCAATCCAATCGGAATGCACGATCTTAGTAACGTGTAATTGAAAACGATTAAAATAAATGCGGAAGAGCCTCAATAAAAATTTGGCGTACCTACATAATATAAACGTATTATTATTATAAGTACTTACTATTAATGCATGAAGCATGATTCACGGAATCTATTTATTAAGGTATAGGTAGTAGTTTAAAAAGAGTAATGCCTCGTTAATTTAGTGTTCTACATATTTTTTTCTATTTCCGTACTAGGAAATAGGTTACGAAACCCCACTAGACAAGGGAAAATCTCACAGCATAATATATATATTCCAAATATAAAATTTAACTTGGAAAACATGGTCAGATATCTTATCAAGTATCTCGAAAGAAAATAGCATACGAAGAGATATAATTCCGCAAATAAAAGTTAAATATCAAATCTTATTTTATTAGCAAAATATTGCAACATTGATGGTAATATCATTGTCACAGATAATAAATAGCGCCATTAGCCAAATCAAACAACGGTGCAGCACATAACGATTGCAATAAAAACTATTTGGTTATCGAGTGACTGGCCAGTATTTGATCAATTGAATAGATACAGTCTATCAATAAAGCGCTGTTGCATATTAAGTATAATCTGTATTTTTGGACATGTTTGAGTCATAGCTTAAAGCCAAAAGTTTACGTATGACTTACACGCATAAGTATCTGTTTCGTAAGTGGTGGTCATGGGATTTCCCAGGTTA